TATAGAAAGGAACCGTTCCTTTGCGCTCAAATTCTGAACGAAAAATCGGCTTTTTCTCCGGCCACAGTTGTCTTTGAAAAGTAAGACTATTACCGATGAATAGCGCTTAGGCTGTTTAGTTTACCCTGAAATTACCCAAAAAAGTGAACGGTCCCTTTAAATCAATTTTTTTTAATTATTTTTTTTTTCACGGGTACTTCAGCTGTCTAGAATTTAATATTTCGCTTTTCCTAACAGTTATTTCGACACAGCCTAGACTTGTATGAACCTAGTTCGTTCCTTGTATACCCTCTACAAATTGTGAACTTTCACATAAATATCTAATCTTAAGCATTGACCATCTTTCGATCAAGATATTTCCGTGTTAGCATTCGGACGGAGAAATCTTCGAAACTGATGTCCGGGGGGTGTTATAAATTTGTAGATTCAAACATTTACAAACACATAAAAAACCAAATTTTCAAAAACGACAAATTGAATGTGAATCATAAAATCTACAAATACAACCCCCTTTCCTTGCACTAAACTATAATCTACAAATACACCCCCCTTTCCTTGCACTAAACTATATTTGTATCATCTGGCGCAGGGCGCCTCGAGAGAAACAGTAGGCGCCGGGTTCCCAGTACACTAAGAAGGAACAGAGGGAAAGTGACCATTATGTGAAACTATCCTTCTATATAACTATCTATCTATCGATCTATCTAACCAGGAATCAGTGTAATCTCCATGAATAAGTGATAAAGTGAAAATGTGATGTAACTGTAGTTTTGTGATTTCAAATTTTAAAAAATCAGTTTAATATCAACAATGAGGTAAAAATAAATAGGGTTTTAAATGTTTCAGCAAAGTAAAATTAAAGTTATCTAGAAGTAAAATATTTTTGAATATTTTCCATTAAACTTGAGAATTAGACTAGAGAATTAAACTTGAGAATTAGACTAGAGACTTAAACTTGAGAATTAAACTAGAGACTTAAACTTGAGAATTAGACTAGAGGCTTAAACTGGAGACTTAAACTTGAGACTTAAAAATGAGACTTAAACTAAACTTGAGAATTAAACTGAAGACTTAAACTTGAGACTTAAACTTGAGACTTAAATTTGAGACTTAAACTTGAGACTTAAACTTGAGACTTAAATTTGAGACTTAAACTTGAGACTTAAACTAGAAACTTAAACTTGAGACTTAAACTTGAGATTTTAAAATGAGACTTAAACCTCAGACTTAAAGTTTGAAATTGAACTAAACTAATTATTTAATGTTGTTACAAAGCAAATAGTTTTAGCATTAGGTTGAAAATAAACTTATTTTGTGAAATGAGTCCGTTTGCACTGCACAATTGCCGTGTCTCATGTTCATTGGACTATATAAAGTCATATATTAAGTCTTTAAGTCGTCTTCCTATTCCAAAGTTTTTGTTCTGTTTACTATACTTTTGAAAACATTAATCGTCATAAAATATATTGGAAATACCGAGAATTTATGCTATTTGGCTGCATTTGGTTTGATTTCAATGACATTATATCAAATACTATTTTCAAGGCTCTTGTAATGAATGTAAAAGATATTGATTCGATCATGTGTTGGCCTTAGAAATCATTTAATAAATGAGGAATCAAGCAAAAATCATAAATGTAAAAAGGACTGAAATAAAGAAGAAGAAAACATGAAATAAAATTTTTTGAAAAATGTTAATACAATAAAGGTTAAAGGAGTATATGAAATTAGAGAAAGAAGAATGTTAAAAAGGCTTTATTAAACTTTAAACTTTTAAAGTAATGATTATAAGTTTAGACAGGCCATAAATCTTCCCTGGGTCATAGATTAATTCAAATAACAGACAGGACACTAGATGTCGTCTTTTCAAGATTTATAAATATTTCGTTCACAATAACCCTAAGGCAGAGGCCCAAAGGAGTTACGCGAAGTCGGCGTAGAACATGCTCTAGATCTCTGTCTTTAATTCTACAGAGAGCGAGTTTAAAAGAAGAAAAAAGGGCTTGATTGGTTTAGACATTTCAGTTTTGACATTTTATCAAGGTACTAATCCAAGGAAAGTTAATTTCGGTCGCGTATACTCTGCGTAAATGTTGAAACCAGTTCTCTCTGGGCGGAATTTGTAAACAAGAAAAGATGCATCGGTGTTTGTTTAGTATCCGAGGAGGTTAAAAGCATTTAATTTTGATAATTTTGAAAATTCACATAATAGTTTCCTATGACCAGAATATTTCATAGATTATTTTTGTGAAAATTGACAATTTTTGTGACATCCGTCTTGTGTTTACTTTTCCGCCCAAAGACAGTACACTGCAGTACAAAAAATATGTACACCTCTGAAATAACTTTCCTTGCATTAGTGCCTTGCATCTTATAATAACAGCACAACACCCGAAGGCAAAAGCCTTTATAATATCTTATTATAATATGAAAATATAGATTTAAAAGAATAGAAGAATATACTAGCTGGAGTACCCGACGTTGTCCAGGTCTTAAATAAGGAAAAGATCTAATCTTTTATTTTATCCTTAGTCAGAATTTACAAATTTCGACAACATAGTAAATAAAATGTATTGTTATATACTCATAGAAGTATTTAGTAAATTATTTCCTGTCATATGTTCTCAACATGACATTTGTAATTAGATTTGTAATTGCAAAGTTAGACTTACAAGACAATGTGTAGTAAAAATGCAAGTTAGAAATGCATTTTATACAATTTCTATGTTCTTTCGTTTTTCTAGCTGTCTCTCAACTGTCAGAGTGTCGCACGCAAATATTAACTACAGAAAACTGTAGAATAGGAAGACGACATTTTGCAATACTAAAGTGCATTTGATGTTGTTTCAAAGGTGATAGTTTTACTAGTAAGTTATTATATCACTTACTATGTGAAATGGGTCTGTTTACACTGCACAACTGCTGGGCTTCAAGTCCATTGGACTACTTTCATTACTTGAGTTTAAAAGTCGACTTTCTATTCCAGAGTTTTCTGGTTATCTCTGTAGGCTAGGCTACCGTCATCGTCGTGTATATATAGATTATATATATATCATATATTAATACAATGAATACGAATTTAGATTTCAATTTTCCATATCTACCAAGCTTTCTAACAGCATGAATACATAAGACCTGGAAACAGAGAAAAGCAGTCAATTAACAATTAATCTTTGTTTACTTAATAGAACACATGTAATCTGAAATAACTTGTTAGAAATCAACACTTAGATAGAAAATTCCTCTTCATTGTATTGATATAAACGCCAACCAATGTACACATTTTTTTAAATAGGTTGACAATTCTCAACAAATTTCTTATTTTATTAAGAAGAGTTTTGTTCTAATTTTTTGTGTACTTCTGAAAATTTAGTTTGATTTTGAAACATCAAAATTATCTTGTAGGAACGAAATTATTTTAGAACGCAGGGAAATCAAACCATTTCTGTGTAAAAAGTGTTTAGTTGACCTAAATTAACTTAATCCATTTTGTTCAGGTGTATAAAGATTATTTGGATTGTATGGATCATCCCTCTCCTCTCCACAAACATTATTTATTCAATCAGATTTATGCAGTCAAATCAATTCAGAGCATCAGGTAACTAATATCGTCTTCAGTTTTCACTTGTTCATGGAATCACAGTATTATAAAAAATCTTTTAATCTTTATATGACAAAAAAGAAAACACTAATAAAAAGAGAATATTAAACATTTTTAATTGCAAAATAGAGGCCCGCATTTTACTCCCAAAACAAATATTTTAAATTTTCAGATTCGTTGAACTCTGATGTGAGAACTTCTTCCGATAATTTGAGAAGTGAATTATCCGAGGGACGGAAATATGAAACAATTAATCGGAATTCTAACAAGGAAAATAAGTTTTTATATAAAGATTCCAGTGCCATTAGAGAAAGTGCCAAAGCAAGGGATGAATTTAAACCAATTCAGTTTCCTACTCCCCAAAGGAATTTGTTGATATTATTTGTAATTTTGTTCGACATTTTTTTTTTCTTTTTTTTAAAGAAATAATTTATTGAATAAAATTTCCTTTACGTACGAACTTTCATTTTCTACGTCGCAGCACTTAGAGAAAGTTTTTCTCCAACCAAAAACAAACAAAAAATTACCTCTTTCAGATAGAAAATAAAAATTATTTTAAAAAAATAGTTTTAGAGCCCTTTTTCTTTAAACAAAAGTGCAAGTAAAACAAAAATAACCTAATATTTTGGATTAAGCTCCAGTGGTTCATAAAACCAGACCAATAGCTAGGTTGTTTCGACAAGAAAAACATATTTGCAAGAAAATTACGTGTATAAAAATAAGGCATTTTATAGATTATGTCTTTCAACAAATTAAAATTTCGTGTAACATATTCTAGAATTCTAAAATTAAGTGTTTAGTAATTATATTCGTTTTGAAAAGTATCAACTCTGTCCAGATATGATGAGTCTAATGTCATGGGAAATCTTGGAAATCAAATCCGTGAAAATCCTTTAAATCCGTCATCCTACAAATCCGCACTTACTGGTGAAAGTAGATTTAGTTCAAATCTTGATAAACAGCTGAGCTCTCTTCTCGAACAGTCAGGAGAGTTTAACGATTTATACCAAGGTAGCGCAGAAGACGACTCCTCCAATGTTGACCGAACAACAGAGGTGTTTACTCGACCTCCTAAAAGAGTTTATTCCTCTACGATGTTGACTACATTCAGTAAAGGTAAATTATTTAAAACTAGCTTGGGAACCCAGCGTTGCCCAGGGGAGTCATAGTTAGTCCCACCAATTACGATTTTAACTATTTTTCCCTATAGTAGACCCTCTCAATTTAGAATCTCAAAACCAAGCTAAGAACATTCTAGAAAGTCTCCCAAGTTCCCTAATTTAAATTTGAAGCAAATCTGTCCAAGGGGTTCCTGAGTTACGATCGGACAAAAAAAAACAGACATATAAACAGTCAGATAAACAGAGATTGCAACTTTATTATTAAAAATGTCGAAACTTAACTTGGCAAATTGCCATTAGTTTGTGTATTTGGTGTCAAATTAAAATATTGTATTTCAAAATGTAATGATGTATTGCATAATAAAAGTATCATTAACTAGAGATAAAAAATGCATATAAAATAATCCAATTTAATAATAAGTGTCATATTAATAGAAAATCTAACATGTAAAACCGCAAATCACAAAATTTGATATAATTTAGTAAATATTTTCATAAATAGAATCTAGATTTCACTCATTTAGGCAGTTTTCACTCACATATTTTCTTTTTTATTCAAAATTACTAAATCGTTATGATGACCTTTTAACAATACATACCTTTTATACAAATGCATGTTTATGATGCTTTGCGTGTGCCCTTCTAATGAGCAAAAAGTCGTTATGAATTATTTTAATTTTTAGTAAAAAAGCTCCTCTCTTGTAATGTATAGCTTAGACCATGTTTTCTTCGGGCATCGCAAAATAATTTAGCAGATTTTTTATTTTCATAATTTCCAAAATTTATTAAAATCCTGATATTTTTGCGAGGCAAAATTATCCGATTTCGTAAGGGCCTTAACAAAAACACTTCTTTTAGGATTTAGTGAACGCGATATTGAAGTGTACACCAGACCGTCAGGAAAAGATATCTATTATTATTATTTTCAACAAAATAAAATAAACATAAACTAAACCGATTAAAATTGCCAAACTATTTGATGCACATGGCCAAGGTTGGGAACTTTTAAATGAGATTGACATAAAAGCTTTATGATTTAATCTGTTTCTTATGATTAATTGCAATTATAAAATACCTCAGATAGAAAGTTTGAAAACGTTTATAAATTAAAATAAAACTTCATTAAAGTTTTCAAATACCTAGCCATTCTTAAAAAAAATTGATAGCATGGCCAGTATAGAATGCAGTTGATTGGAAAATACATTTAAAAAAAGTAATTGCGTATCTGTTAAAACAGTCATTGAAAAGACCTCCGAAACCTACATCTCTAAAACTGAACCTAGAGTAAGACACCTGGAGGTTTATAACAAACCCAACCTTTCTCCTGGTACCTATACACCCACTAGTTCTTCTCCAGGTTCTAGTTCCTCCTCTCCGTCCCGTGACCTGGAACCATACTCAATATCATCAGTACAACTTGGAACTAATAATATATCTGGACTGGAAACCCATTATAACTCCCTTCTAGGTAAATATCAATTGTGTGAAATCTGAAAAAATAAAGGATTTAAAAAATTATGAAAATATTAAATTTTTAAATGAAAATTTATTGTTTTAATGTTAATTCACACGTTTTTATGGATAAGAAATACAACGTTTAAATTCAAGCGGAAGGCGAATACAATGAAGACGACATTTTTATTTAAACTTAGACTATTGACAAGCTTTTATCGAATTACAAGTTTACAAGTAATCATAGAGAAGCTTTATTAATTGTTTATGTGTATCCATGATGTCTAACAACTTAAAATAAATCTATAAAAAATTGAAATCGAAAGTCGTCTTGATTGTATTTAATATAATCGCTTACCACAGTAGTTGTTTTAATTACCTTAAAACTCCTAAAACTGTGGAATAGGAAGACGACTGGTAGACTAAAGTTATGACTCTAAAAATTCCGATAAAATTGTGCAGTGGACACAGATCCATTTCAATTTAAAATTAGTTTTACAGGTACTGAGACCGAATTTAAAAAATTTGAGCCGCGGCATAAATTTGAGACGCGGCTCAATATGGTTGGTTCCATTTTAAATTGTATGAAATTTTTCAAGATTTAAGCCGGCGCTCAATTAAAACCGGTTTGTTAGGGGGTTTGAGACGCGGCTAAAATTCATTAAATTCGGACTCTGGTAAAACTATTTAGTTAACAACAACTTTAACCACACATCGAATTACTAGCATGTTTTCTTCCTAAACCATAGCTTTATGGATCTTACTGTAGTTAAGCAACTCTAAGTAATTCTTTGAATAATAATTATACAGTTTCCCATTGCATTTTCTAAGTAGAGGTAATCTAAGAAATTGTGAAAAAATCAATGGAAAAATTTTGAATTATTTTTTTCCGAGATTTGCATCTTTTTTCAACCTTATACTGTAAAATATTCTCCAAATATTTGTTTCTTCTATGATTTTTTTTCTTCAGAATCTGCAGATACTGGATATATTTCTAAACTGTCCAGCTCGATTGACCGGCCCAGTTCTCCTAGCTCGCTTGAACGACCTGCCTATAGGTCCCGGCTCGAGCCATATTCAGGTAAGAACTTTTTTTGATAGTTAAAAGAAAGCCATAGACCGAAAATAAAATAAAATAAAAAATCTAAATTTGTGTCTTTTTACGATTTTGCTTCGTTGTCGTTGATTTTTTTTTACTTATTTTCATATTAGTCAAATGTTGAGAATAGTAACGATTTATTTTGTACTTTTGTCAGATCTTTGACAACAATTATTGTATCATAATTTTCAGAGAAAATATATTTCGTCAAGGTGTCATTATTAGAGTTACAGTTCACCGGACATAAACACCTGTTTAGTATTAAAAGTATAGAGAAGGAGTGATGATCATTTTGTTATGATGAATGTCAAGGTAGCAACATGGTCTTTATCTAAATCTGTTTAGCATTGAAGAAAACAACACAAGCTAAATCATTTATTGTCTTTTATCATGTTTTTTATTAGAGGGGAAAAGGACCGATCATTCTCTTTATAGTTTAATTTAATAATCCCTATATCTGTGCAACCTGATGCTGTAGATAGAACTGCGACTTTTTGTGAAATCGTAAATTATAGTTTTATTTTATGTGTTAAGTATGAGAAAAACGAACTTATCCGGTTAAATATAAGAAATTTACAAACATTTTTGGTCTTCTCACTCCTGTATGCCGAGTCCATTAGCGCCTCGATCCAATCAGGGTTCAGTCATGTGTTTGATGTCTATTCATCTATCTTTCTATCTATCTCATTATCCAATTAGAGTTATGAATCCTTATATCGGCGCTATCAGTAAATGGAAATATTTACTTCTACTGTAACAATGGTGTTCTCCATATCTCTTCTATAATAAAGAAGTTATGATTGAAAACATTTACAACTTCAATCTTTACTTTAGTTTACTTTAGTTTGACGTGACTTATTCTAATTCCTTTATCTTAACAACTTTGATATTTTAAACTGGATTTTCGGATTCTAACAAAAAGTTTCGATCTTTCGAACTTTCTTCTCCTGGAACCAAGGTACTAATGCAAGGAAAGTTAATTGCGGTCGAGTATACTCTGCGTACATATTGAAACCAGTTCTCTCTGGGCGGACTTTGTAAACAAGAATAGATGCATCAGTGTTCGTTTAGTATCCGAGAAGGTTAAAAGCATTTAACCTTCGAAATAACCTGGAACCAATCTAATTAAACAATGGTTGTGTTTCAGTTTCAAAAATTTGGAGTTTTTCCCAAAAGGCGTTTTACCAAGTGACAATTTCTCAAGTAGTAACTTCTTAAAAGTGAGGTCAGGTCTTTTGAGGCGCCGTAGACTGCAATGTGAGCCGAGCACTGAGGCTAGGATGGGCTAGGGTGCCAAGCGCAGCGGCTAGGACAGATTTGGAAAGTTGCCCTCGGGAAGTGGGCGTTTAGGATAAAGCCTTTGTAAAATAACCAAAAAATTGTATTTTTTTTTTTTAAAGCGAACACTCCCTTGAAATGAATATATTCAGGTGAAAGTGTAGAAGTTGATGAATTTGAATTTTCTGGCGTCGAACTTGAATACTCTACAGAGGATACCTTAGCACACCCAGGTATCGTACACCTACAGGAACAATATGGAGGTAGGGGGGGGGGGATCTCTCCAAAAAATCTGCTTTGAGGAACAAGTACTTTTTTAATGTAATAAAGTAATGAAAAAAAAAATAAAATATTTTTTAAAAATTCACAAATGAAGGTTGTGACATATGATTATATATTTACTTTATTAAATTGTAGAATTAAATTTTTTCCCAAAATAGAATACGTCACTTTAAAATAGCGTCTAAATAAATATCAAATATAAAACAAAATTGTGACATGTGGACTTATAACAGTGACTTGCGGAATCCTGCTAGCATTAACAATGAATGAAATTGTCAGAATTAAACACTTTTCAAAGTAGAAAACCACGATATCGTTATCAAATATCGGTTAAAATAGATTAAAAGGGTTCCAATGTGAATCCGACAATCTCTATTTAAATGAAGGGATTGCTGAAATTATAATAACTGTCCCTTTAAGCCGAAGGGGTGTTCTGGTTCGTACCAACTATACAAACATATGGTTTTTAGTTTTAAACCAACTGGTGTTGATATATTTATATATTTATCTATGTTGCCTTCAATTAAATAGAATTGGTAGTATTGTTTATGGTTCAAGAATAGGTGCTAATAAAATACTTAATGAAACATTATTATTTACTCTTTTTCTTTCTAAAAAAAACACTTCCTTTCGTTTCAAATGATTTGATTCAACTTGCATTCTTCAAATGTAATTGGAATGAAAAAAAAACTCTTTATTTATATGAATAAGCAAACTCACATTAATGCAACCTGGTGGTGTAAATTTAAAAAAAAACATTGATTTTAAAGTTTTTTATTTAGCAGAATTAACAGATAAAAGTATCAATAATGTCTATCGGATCAGAGCTGAAAACTTTAGAATGGGATACTAATATTAATATCCAATGTAGACACTTCTAATTTTCTTCCTAATTCGCTCTTTTTCTTTCTTTTTGGATATCCGTAGTGTGCTTGACTTAATGTGAGTCCACTCATTGAATGGCGCGCAAAATTTGAAATTTCTGGGCTTCTCTGATTGACTGTGTACGAATCCCCCAAACTCACTCTATTGGTTTGGTTTTGTATAGCCTTTTGTGAATAAAAACTTAAAATAATATTTATCTTCAAGAAAAAAAAGCTAAAGCATTGATCTCGATATCCACAATTCTAAAGTTTCCCACTCAGGGTGCATATATGTAAATTTAAACAATAAACACTAAACACCAATCAAAGATATAAATATTTTAAACGTGTTTAAATTAGTTTTTTTTTTGGCGTGGAAGGATTTCTTTGAAATTGAAAGAGTTTAAGAAAAAAAACTGAATAAAAGTCTTTGGTTTCACCCTATAAACTGACAAATGCTTTCTCGTAGCCCTAGACATGTACATCTAAGAATTATAACATGCTTGTTTCTAGCTACAGATAAAAAGAGTAATTGACAAAGTCCCGATCGATTTTTGCATAAGAGGAGGCACATTGCCCATTGCCCATTGCACATTGCACATTGCACATTGCACATTGCACATTGCCCATTGCACATTGCACATTGCACATTGCCCATTGCACATTGCGCTCACATTTCGGATTGCTGTGGCCATCATTAAGGTCGAAAACATGCCTATTACTGAAAAAAAGAAAATGCCACGAACTATTCTAATTCCTATATCTTTGCAGCCTGATGGTGTAAACTTTTGATATTTAAAGCTTAGATTATTTGATCTAACAGAAATCATATTTAAGGTCTACGACATTGGGTTGTAAAGATATAGGGATAAGAAAATCAGAGTTTGTGGCAAAGTCTCAAATCCTTTGAATAATAAACATAATGCAGCAGAAAAAAATATTTTTAGGTTCCATTAATTTCTCTGCTGAGCCTATATCCGCACGACTACCCTATCTTCAACCAGATAAAGACGAAATAAAAAGAGATCCTACGGAAGACCTCGAACACAATGATGAAAAATATGATAATGAGAAAAAATGGAAACCAAAAAACAAAATAAACAGCCGGGATTTCAGGTAAAATATTTTTATTCATTTTAAATAAATTTTGATTTACATTATTGCATTTCAGATATATTATCCCTGTATCCTTGCATCTTTGTATCTTGTATCCTTGGATCCTCGTATCCTTGTATCCTTGTATCCTCGTATCCTTGTATCTTTGTTCTTTTGTATCCTTTTATTCTTAAGTATCCTTGAATCTTTGCATCTTTGTATCCTTGTATCTTTGTATCTTTGTATCCTTTTATCCTTGTATCCTTGTTTCCTTGTATCTTTGAATACTTGTATCTTTGCATCTTTGTATCCTTGTATCTTTGCATCTTTGTATCCTTTTATCCTTGTATCTTTGTATCCTTGTATCTTTGTATCTTCGCAACTTTGTATTCTTGTATCTTTGTATCTTTGTATCTTTGTATCCTTCGTATCCTTGTATCCTGAAGGCACGTTATCCTGCTTCCTGGAGTTTTTTGATAAATCAAGCCATTAGATAAACTATCTTGGGTTTACCACACTCTGTCCCAATAATGATGGGAATTAAATATTGAAACATCAATAAATTTCAAATATATTATAATATTTTTAGAACATGCTGTACATCTTGTGATTTGTAATGTACTTTTCAAAATGGTGGCTGGCTCTTGAGTACAGGGTTACCCACAAAAGATAAGATGACTGTAGGAAATTTGTTCAATCCATCTTTTTACTTTCAGGTCTTAACTGGCTTACTTCTGTGCTTAACAATTATGTAAACCATTAAATACTTTATTGAAGATATAACCCAAAAGTCAAGCTACAAATTGTCCCAAAAGTCAAGCTACAAATTGTCCCAAAAATCAAGCTACAAATTGTCCCAAAAATCAAGCTACAAATTGTCCTAAAAATCAAGCTACAAATTGTCCCAAAAATCAAGCAACAAATTGTCAAATTTTAAGAGTTTTCGTCGTCTTTAAAGTTTCATCTTTTGTGGGTAGCGCTGTAAAAATTTACGAAAAAGTAATTTTGGTTTTATTTTGTAAATTGAAATTAAAAAAAGAGACCACATTATTTTTTATTAGTAATTGTTTCACTTGATGTTTTACAACTTTTGTTAAAGAAAAAAAATACAGACCGAATCTAAGAAAATATAAAGTCTTTCCATTTTGGGGACACCCTGCACTCTCAGTACTCCCAGTAGTGTTGACAACCTTGATTTATAAATTCTATCCTTGCAATAATCCTCGTGACTTGAAATTTAAAGGTTTCCAACGAGAAAAAGTTATTATCCTTTATTTATCTATTTAAAGTATAAATTTCAAGCTTTAAATATATTTAATCTTTCACAAGACACGTTCGCTTACAAAATATTTTTAGCTTATTGATGGAAACTTTATAAAACACGAAACTGAAGATTCTAAACTGGGTTTCAATTTCCTTGATGATATAGAAGTCTTAAATTGCTCTGATGTTATTTCCAGTTTATTTTTGAATGGCTATAAAAATAGTTCAACCCCATCTTATCGAAAAATAACTATTTCGAAGGATACAATTAATAACTTTACTAACGTTATGAATGAAAAATTCCAATTTTTCTCTCATTTTTGAACAAAACTAAGTGACACAATTACTTTATGTGTGTAAATATATGTTATAGAGCATATATGTATCTATTTACCTTAATTTTGTATCTAGACCTTCTTACTTATTTACCAATCTTGTATTATGAATGTTTAGAAAACGACCAAGCTACTCTAAACCAAACCGACCGTTGAACCAAGAGGATTCAGTCACTTTTGGTACAGTATACTTTCTTATCGGGCATTTTCGGTACAATATTGTTCATAATCGGTCATCTTCGGTACAGTATATTGTTTATTATTGGTCATCTTAGGTACAGTATACTTTATTATCGGTCATCTTCGGTACAGTATTGTTTATTATTGGTCATCTTCGGTACAGTATTGTTTATTATCGGTCATCTTCTGTACAGTATTGTTTATTATCGGGCATCTTCGGTACAGTATTGTTTATTATCGGTCATGTCCGGCACAGCTACTTTATTATCGGTCGTGTTCGGTACAGTATACTTCATTATCGGTCATGTTTGGTACAGTAAACTTTAATATCGGTCATCTTCGGTATACTTTATTATTGGTCATGTTCGGTACATAATTGTTTATTATCGGTCATGTTCGGCACAGCTACTTTATTATCGGTCGTGTTCGGTACAGTATACTTTATTATCGGTCATGTTTGGTACAGTAAACTTTAATATCGGTCATCTTCGGCACAGTATACCCTTATGATCGGTCATGTTCGGTACAATATATTTTGTTATCTTAAATTTTCGGTACAGCTTTGTTTATTAAAGGTCATGTTCGGTATAGTACAGTATTGGTCATATTCGGTACATTATACTTTATTATGGTTCATATTCTGTCCAGTATTGTTCATAATCGGTCATGTTCGGTACAGTATTGTTTATTATCGGTCATGTTCGGTAAAGTATTGTTTATTATCGATCATCTTCGGTACAGTATTGTTTATTATCGGTCATCTTTGGTACAGTATTGTTTATTATCGGTCATCTTCGGTACAGTATACTGTATTATTATTCATGTTCGCTACCTTTAAGTTTATTTTTGGTACAATAAAGTTTATTTTTGATTTCATGAGATACAGTATAAGTTTTTTTGAATCACATTCACTACTGTACTTTAAATGACATTCTATACCTTACATTTAGTTTATGTTTAATCAGTGCACATTTTATACTTTATCTCGTTTTTTTCGGCAATATTCGATATCACAGTAATTTTTGTTGTTGCTTTCGTATACATTAGGTACAGATGCAATCAACTGTAAACTTTGCTTTCAAATTATGCAGTAGAGTACAATTCAATTATTAAAGTTTGTTTTTACTGCACAATTTAGTCTTCTTAGTGATAGTTTTAAAATTTGTATAAGATATATAACATATAATAAGTTTTTTAATGTTTTGCGTTGCAAAGTTTTTATTTTGAGAAGATTTAGTCATGTCGTCTTCCGCCAACTATTATTTAGGGATAGGATTTTAAAAAAAGAACTTTTTTACAGTTTGATCCAAAAACAGTTTACTTCTCACCGTTTTTTATTCTTTATAAAGTGTGAAGTTCGCCACTGAACGAAGCATTTTATATTTGCAATTTACAAATATAAACAAAGACGATCTTTAGTTCACAGTTTTCTGGTTCTCATTGTATGATTTCAATATTACTATCCAGGTATTCTGATATCTCCTGAAGAGGGTACCGGAGAACTAGACTGTCTAGGACCTAGGAGATCCAGTCTTATATCAAGTATACAGGTAAACACTGCAGTACTGCACAATATATCCAGTATACAGGTATACACTGCAGTACCGTACAATATATCCAGTATACAGGTATACACTGCGTCTGCAGTACCGTACAATATATCCAGTATACAGGTAAACACTGCAGTACAGTAGTATATATCCAGTATACAGGTAAACAAGTATGCACTGCAGTATCGTACAATATATCCAGTATGAAGGTATACAGGTATGCACTGCAGTACCGTACAATGTATCCAGTATACAGGTATTCACTGCATCTGTAGTACAGTACAAAATATCCAGTATACAAGTATACACTGCATCTGCAGTACAGTACAAAATCTCCAGTATACAGGTATACGCTGCATCTGCAGTACAGTACAATATATCCAGTATACAGGAATAAACTGCAATAAGGTACAATATATCCAGCATACAGGTATACACTGCAGTACAGTACAATATATTCAGTGTTTTTACAGTACAGTTATCACATTTTGTTCCTCAATATAAAATTAACTAAAATATGAAAATCTTTTTAATTTTCAATATGCAAAGATGGTAATTGGACCACATTTTGTAAAACCCAGACGTTGGACTAATATGGATGCTGCATTTATTAATTTAGATCTAACAATAGTATATTCTTAGAAGCAATATTTCAAACAACAAACAGTATTAAAATCAGAAACAGATTTTTGCACATTAATTACAAAAATAATGGTCGGATTGAACTTGTGTCAAAAAACATCTTTATCATGAAATGTAATTAAAAATTATTAATTTAAAAATAATTGTGGCCGCCATGGTCTAATTATGACCCGGAGAGATAGAAATAAATGAAGTGAAATCTATCCGTGATATGTTCAACCAAAATTAATTTAGAAGATGGGCGCGAAGCGCCCTCTAAGGCTAGAAAGAAGGGCGCGAAGCGCCTTGAATTTCTAGTATATATATATATATATATCCTGAAATCCTAGTCCATATAAATACTTTACTTGGGTGTCTGTATGTTTGTCTGCCTGGTTGTATCCAATAAAAGTCAAAACAGTGAAGTCGATTGGGCCCAAATTATGACCCCAGGGAAGGTTTATGGATGCTCAGAATTGTCTCCTATACTGAAGAATGCTTGGTATGAAACATAATCTTAAAACCCCAAATCGTGTGTTGAATACTTCTTTCCATATATTTTTATTAATAATCTATATATATATATATATATATAGTCCTTTCCATATATTTTTATATAGTCCTTTATATGTATTCAAACCTTTTTAAAGCTTTCACCCACTTTTATGCATAAATACAAAGGCACCCAGTAAAACGGGGCGTTTTAAAGTTTAAATTAACAATTTTAAAGGGACTGTAAGCGTAAGTTCAAGTGACCCTCTATGCAAAAATTGCAATGCACAATTTACATCGGTACCCTTTATAAACAGTTCATTTTCATTTGCGTTTCTTAGAAGAAATAATTTAGAGAAATTCACAGAAATAAACACTTTTCGTATCAGAAAAACGACGGTATCTTCCACATTTTTATTAGATAAAGGATTCAAGGGTATCGTTGTAAATCGGACATTGACGTCTTTGCATGGAGGGTCACTTGAAATTACGCTTACTGTCCCTTTAACTATAAAAAGTGTATTTATGCAGCCCAGACTAGCAACGTAATTGTCAAGATATTTTCTTTTTGTTGTTGAACTGAAGAATCAAAACTGTTGCGTTTAAAAATATTATTGATTGGTCAATTTGAATTATATGGTCAGCCCACCAATATATTTTTCATGTCAAATTTAATTTCTAATTTGGGTAAAAAAAGCTAATTTTCTTGGTAGTTAAAACTAAGTGGTGCTGAGTTTAAGTAGGATTTCGCAGCATTTACCATATGGTCTTTGATAATAATCATAAAACTTTCCCTTTCTTTCAATTGTATAAAATATGTAATTTAAAATGATTTTTTAAATGTTATGATAAACATCCATATTTGCGTAATATGATGTTTGACTCATGGATTGTTAGACTCATGTTATGATTTTAAACGGTCTAATATAAACATAAAACACAGCAATTGTGCAGTGTACTCAGATCCCTATATTTCACAAGTTGAATATCTAGTTACTGCTATTCTATTCACTTTATAACAACGATAAATACAAGTATTGATTGCTTAATTTTATAAATATTTTTACAGTTTTGTGGTTCTACCTGTATCTCAATTTAAAAATTAAAAGTAAAAATATGTTCGTAAATACAGGGTGTCCCACGAAACATGACAGTTGGTAAATAGTTTAGAATGTCTTCTTCCATACAATAATAAAAAATATTATATAGGAGTCATGTTAAAGTAAAATTAACTTCAAAGCAAAATATATTTTAGCAAAAATTTTTTTTAACGAAATAAACAGCAAACAGCCTTTAATATCTAATGCAGTGTATGGAAGACGACATTCAAAACTATTTACCAACTATCATGTTTCGTGGGACACCCTGTAGCTTGTCATTTCCTTCTGCAAAACCTGTCAAAAAAGTATACAAATTTGGACAGCCCTCCAGATAGTTTTAAGGTTGTGTAAATGAACCTTTCTATTCGAGAAAGGGTTTCTCAATGCCCCTCCCTTAACCCCCCTTAACCTCATCTTTACATGAATAGGGTCAACTCCCTATAACATACATTTTTACATCGTAATAAAGGATTTGATTCGACATATGTTATGCATCTTTGTTTAAATAAAACCCCTCCTATGGCCATCATTAATCAGTCAAGGTTGCCAATTATATATTTACATCAAAACTTACAATTTATAAATGTGAGTAAACCAAAGTTGAGGGAGTAGAGTTTGTGTGCATTATTATCCTTTATATTTCAAACAATTAGACTATTTGATCTTACAGAATAGTTTGACATATTAAAGGTCTATGACAAAATAAGTGCAATACTAATAATAAGTTTTTTTTTTTGGCGTATTTCTGCATACTTTACAATAGTTTTAATTCAATTATTCAAACATTTTGAACAATTGCGGGCTCAGCGAGTAATAGTTGCAGGTGTCAAGAGCCCCCTCGTAACATAAATATAAAACATAAATAAACATATTAATATAATTTTAGGAGTTGTAGTTTAAGAAAAAAAATTCACAATCGGAGCCAGTCATATATTTGGTTAAATTATTATCATTGAGAGGTATAGGAGACTTAAAATATTAGAGTTTGTGACAAAAACTCATTTCTTTTCCTATTACAGTTTCTGCCAGAAACAGTAACTCTCACTTTTGACTCTCACATTGAATTTTTTTTTACTTTTAAGGAATAATAAGTTTAAGAAGTTTTAAACTTAAAAAAAAAAAATTTAGTAGGAAACAAAACGGTTAAAAGGCCGTTCCGTGTAAAAAAAAACAAGATAGCCTATAGATAGCCTATAGATAGCCTATAACAATTTAATGATTAAAGCTACAGATCTAAAAACTATATTTTTGAAAAGCCCATGAAAAATGAATGTAAACACATTTCGCACATATTTATATTTGTCACATATTAATATTTGTGAAAAACAAAAAAAATGTATTTTTTCATTTTTCCGACATATCTTTTTACTCCCCAGCACCAAAACTGTAAATGCAAGTAGTCTAATTTTTAATGAGCTCTACATGAAACATTAAGCTTTTCACATCCCCTAACCCCTATACCTTTACTCCATGGCCTTTTCTATGCGGGGATTTCTATTATTTGGAATTTATACAATATTTTGTAAACCTTTTTTTTCATAAATTGAATTTGAGTTTTAAACTAAACGACACTTACAAGAAAAAATTCTACGAGTTAAATTTCTTTTCTTTCAAGTTTTTAATTAAAATATTTTTTTTTTGAGATAACAGAGGTCTCAATAATATAAAGTTAATTCTTTTCAATTAAAACTATTCTTTTCAATACAGGATTAAACTTTTGCTATTCAGTAGAAAATTGTATATATTATAAAGGCTTTTAGCTTCTTCTGTTTCAATTGTGAAAATTTTCTCTTTGTATACATTGTAAAATAAAACTAAAAAAAGTTCGCAGGTTTTATATAAAAAATCGCGGATTTTTCAAATTTAATAAAAAATAAATTTTGGTGGAGGCAAATTTTTGAAATTTTGATCATTTATAAACCATTTCTGGGGTCATGTGAGGCCGGTCCTACACACAATTTAGGCCCGATTGGTTCAGCTGGTTTGAAGTTTATTGGATACAAACAGACAGACAAGCAAAGTATATATATACAGGGTGTCCCAAAAAACATGGGAATTCAGTGACGAATTCGATATCGACTTTGTTATGAATTAGCATTGTAATACCTAATTTCAAAAGCCATAATATTCTTATGTCTGCTAGAGTTTATTTAATGAAAAGGGTAAAAGACTGTAAAGATGTGTCTTTAATGTCTCCGCAAGATGAACAGTGAAGACGGACAAGTTTACTCTGTTTGCATACTGTAATTTTCTTGTTTTACTAAGAACAGCCGTATACAGTCAAAACATAAACAAACAAAATGTGAACATAGCAGACGAAACTCTTACAGAGTACAGCTTTCTCAGTAGGTATCACTATACTAAATCAAAGAATTATTTAAAAAGACGATATCGAATTCGTCACTGAATTCCCATGTTTATTGGGACACCCTGTAGATAATTACATCACACAATTTTGTAGATTTTAATTAAGTTATCTAAATACAATAAGTAGAATTAGAGCGATCAGAAGCGATTATTTATCGCGAACACTCCCTTTAAACATTCATTCTTTGGCTTCGTTTAGACTTATATCTTCTGCCAGAATCAATATTTCCCAAAATCTATAGAAGCAAACGTAGCAAATAAAATTTTGAATTCCGCGTTACTTTATATATGTTTAACCCAGTACTTCGGAGACACCTAAAGAATGTACAGTATGTCGTTTTCTAAACCTACCTTTATTTTTAATTGAATAATTATATAAAGCTTTTAACAAATGTTTCCGCATATTTCATGGCTTTTTATTTATTTTTACAATTACTACGATTTAGATACAGGGTGTCCCACTAAACATGACAATAGCAAGACGACTTGAAAGTCGTCTTTGATATTTGAATTTATTTGTGACATTTAGTCTTCTATCTACTTTAACATGTATGATTCTTGAAACAATTATCACATAATTCTCCTAGCCCTGGCATTTCCAAAAAGTGGTCTGCGTTTTTTTTTACTTTCAATATTACCGGAGATATAAAGAGTTTGGTTCAGATTTCAATTTTGTTAAATAAAAGCAAAATTGTCGAAATCTGAACGAAATTTTTCATATCTCGGGCAATATTGAAAGCACAAAAAATGCAGACCACATTTTGGAAATGGCAGGACTAGGGGAATTTTGTGATTATTATCTCTAGAAAATTACTTCTAAAATTAGGTTGACAAATAAATGCAGCAAATTATATCAAAAATCAAGACGATATTCAAGTCGTCTTGCATACTGTCATGTTTCGTGGGACACCCTGTATCAGCATAAATCCAGCTGCAAAATTGTCAAGACGGCATTTGATGAATTCTTTCGATGTTTCTCAAGTTCTGGCTTAAACTGTAAAAACGGATAGAAGCAATGCCTCACTCTTCTTTATTCTAGAGTATACTTGAACTAGAGATGAAAGCTAAGGAAACCTTAGAACAAGAATCTGGAATTCAGATGAGTAAGATTTACATATTTTAATTTTAGCCTTTAGGTATTTTGAAGTTGAGGTAACATTTTGTCGTGGGAGAGAGAGTAAAGATAATGAATGAAGTGAAAGGATAAAAATTTATTGAATGAATGTCTAGATGTAGAAAGGAAGGATAAATTAATGACTGGATGCTAAAGAAGGATGAAAAGTTGAATGAATAAATGCATAAATGTTTAGATATAGATGTATTGGATGAAAGGATGAATGCTGAGAAGGAAAGGAAGGATGAATGAATGAATGAATTAAAGAATGAATGTTTAGATGAAGATGTATAGGGTGATTACCTGGGTGTTGAAGAAAGGATGAATGAATAAATGAATCAATGAATCAATCAATGAATGTTTAGATGTAGATGTATTGGATGAATGCCTGGGTGCTGAAGAGAAGAGGATTAACCAAAGTTTTCTCCTACTCAGAAACTCTTTGAACTCTACATCTGACTTGGTGAGATTTTAATACATTATTTTTTTACATCCGGATCCTATAGATTCCCATGGGCGGGATCCCGACCCTGTAGATTCGCATGAACTGGATCCTGATCATGTAGATCCACATGGACTAGATCAGGATCATGTAGTTCTGAATGGACTGGATCTGATTTCTGTAGGTCTGCATGCATCCAAATAGATTCTAGTACAATGGATGGCAACGTAGAATTTGTACATTCTCAGTACAGTTGTATTCTGTCGTCACAAGTGTCAATTAATTCAGTTTTTGTGTCCGACAAAATTATCAATAATAGGGATAATTTTTGAATAAAGTAATTTTCTTACAGTAAAATAAGTGCAATTTTATGTGTTCTTTAGTTTCTGTTTTTACACTTTTTTATTAAATCTTGGAAAACATGTCAACTAATGTAAGTAAATTTTGTTTGACTTGTTATAATTGACACTTGTGACGTGTCGTGTATATTTGGTCCATTTCTCTGTTGCCACCTATCCATAGATCCTTGGACTAAATCTAAATCCGTTAGATTCTCATGGGCTGGATCCAGATCATGCAGATCTGCATTGACTGGATCGAAATCCTATAGATCCGAATGGGCTGGATCCGGATCATGTACACTGTTAGAAAAACCCGCTTACAATCAACAGTATTTAGTTCACGCACCAAGCCATGAAGATCCGTTGTAATATATCAACGATAATTCTGCTTGATATCAATTTACGGCCTGTACGCTAAATTCTAGTTACATTCACTTGAATTCTACTTACTTCAATCATCAGAAATCGAAACAAGCATAATCCTGCTTACGTTCATTACAGTGATCCGGCGTTCAGACACGTACCGGCACTCAATTCAATCAGAATACTACTTGGATTCTGCAGACTGCAGTGAGAGGTAGCTGAACTAGATATGGATAGATGAAATATGTCTGCAAGACTGCAGTGCAGCCGAGAGTATGCTATTATACTAGTTTAACTAGATATAGCTTGTATAGCTATTATACTAGTTTAACTAGATATAGCTTGTATACCTAATTCTTGATATTTCATCCTTTGGATTCTCTTATTTATGACAAACACAATTTCAGTTTTATAATTAAGGAGATAGAATTGCATAGCATTAATTTAATTTATGAACTGCAGATTAACTAATCCTTGACAATGTGAAGTGAAAATTTGAAAAACCCATAAAATTTGGAAAATTAATGTTGAATTTATTTCTAGATTAAGATGAAAGCAGGGCGAGAGATACTTAATGTTTCCAGGAAAAATCAAATTCAAGAGGCAAGAATTTATCATCGTCATCATCGTCATCATCATTATCAATGTCAGCATCATGAGCATCATAATCATCATCATCATCCTCAACCGTATTGTCATCAGCATCATTATCATCATCATTATTACCATCATCATTATTATTATCATCATCATCATCATCATCATCATCATCATCATCATCATCATCATCATCATCATCATCATCATCATCATCATCATCATCACCATCATCATTATTATTATCATCATCATCATCATCATCATCATCATCATCATCATCATCATCATCATCATCATCATCATCATCTTCATCATCATCATCATCATCATCATCATCATCATCATCATCATCATTATCATTATCATCATCATCATGTATTCTTTGTATGAATGAAGCATGGATGGATGAATGTGCTGCCAGATTACAATCCCTGGTAGTAATATAAACCCAAACAACACCAAACTTTCGCAATAGAACAATTCCGAGATTTGACAGTCACAACCAGATCATGTCCTGGGGACAACAAATCTCTTTCACAAATTTTTATTAACATCATAATCATTATTATCATCATAATCATCATTATTTTCATCATCATCATCATTATCTTCATCATAATCATCATTATTTTCATCATCATCATCATCATTATCTTCATAATTCATAATCATTATCATTATCATAAGTAGTTTTTTTCGTCATCATCATTATTATCATTTTATAATCTATAGTTGGCGAAAGCTCTGCGGAAAGTTGGAATTCATCGTTTCCATGTAATCCGCAGTTCCGATATATACTCACCAGATACCCTTTCTGATATACTTAGGTTAGTATATCTCAATATAATACGCAGTTCTGATATTTATTCCGTCTCCGTATGTGTGCACAGCATACTGTACAACTTACCCATAGCTGATTAAGAGTGGGTATGGTATTTCCAATGAACCCGAGTTTTCAGCACATTGCACATACCTTCATGCGTTATTAATTATACTTTTCTAGTTTGAGAAATGTTGATACTATAATAGCTGATGTTCATGGAAAAGAACTTGAACTTCTCATTGAACAACTGTCAGGTTAGCCCCCTCTACTTAAATCAATTACTTTTGATTAGAAGAAATCAGAATGGACCATTTTGTCAATTTTGTTAAATAATTTTTACAAACACAAGATTGAATTATTGATTAATGGTTTGATTGATTAAATGGTTAATTGATTGATTGATTTATAGATTGATTTATTGATTGATTAGTTTATTGATTGAATGATTGATTGATTGGCTGATTAATTAATTAATTAACTGATTGATTTTTCTATTGATGAGTTTATTGATTGCTTTTTTGACTAATCGACTGATCAATTAATGGTCCAATTGATTACTTGATTAATTAATTGATTGATATATGGATTGATATATGGATTGATTGATTGATTGATTTATTGTATATTCTAGGGCTGGCTGAACCAGCTGCTCAGTTTACCTGGATATTTACCAGTATTCTCAGTAGTGAGGTTCTCATCCAGATAGAACAACTCATCTCAAGAACAAAGGTATAGAAATATTCACCAGTATTCTCAGTAGTAAGGTTCTCATCCAGAAAGAACAACTTATCTCAAGAACAAAGGAATAGAAATATTCACCAGTATTCTGAGTAGTAAGGTTCTCATCCAGATAGAACAACTTATCTCAAGAACAAAGACTTCAATCGATACCCTTTTTGCCCTTTACTCCTCCCCTCACCTGGCAAACAAAAATTTAAGTTAGGTTTAAACATTTTGAGATATACTTTTGGTCATTTTTAATTAGCTTTACATTTATTTAAGATTTTTTTTTTCATTCCATAATTAGCTAGCTAAAGTGCCTGGAGTTGCCCGTGGAATTTTTAAAAAATAGAAAAAAAAAATTCGATTTAAAAGAAAATAATTTCGAATTAAAAAAAATCTAATTTTTGTGGCCTTTGCTACCCCCGTGGTACTCAAGGGTTCAGCCCATTTAGTTCAGCAGTTTGGCCACCTATAGTTGACATATTTATATGAGCGAAGAGCTTTATTATATATATAATTTTGAATCTCCACTTTCTTGATTTCATCTTTGTTTTTCTTTTTTTTTATTTCTGAATGTTTATTTCGCTACAGTCACGGGCAGCCGTAGTACATTTGAATTTCCGAACAGGGTCAACCTTTCCGGTCCCAGTTTGTACTGTATCGCCCGGACATTGGATAAATAAACCAGACACTCAATAGGACTCGCCGGTGCAGGAAGGTTGACGCGGTCAATTTACTAAAGGGTCAGGGGTGCATGTACACTAGTTACTGTCCACATGCTCTCTTAATGCTCTTGAATATTTCCTGGATTTGTATTAATTCATCCAAAAATGTGAATACTTAAAAAAAATCTTACTTTTTGGTAAATCAGCGGCAAGCATAAGTGCCAACAGGTGAAGGAGGTGAAGCCTCCCCGAAAAAAAGTCTAGTTCAGCCTTACATTGATGCCGTTTATGAACAATCTGGATTTTGAACACTGCGAAATCTTGCATGCCAGGATACATTTGTTGCATAAAACGGGCTTGATCGAATCTTCACTCTACACTGGGTACTGCAGGTAGTCCAAACTGGACAGTACGACTCTATTTGCATATACAGTAAATAATGTATCGTATTGGATCATACAACGTTTAGAGAGTTGTGGAGATAATACACAATTGTGATGGACTCCTGCAAATGTTTCAGCCTAATTCTAATTAGTAAAAGTGCAAATATAATCTGTATAATTTCCCTTGTCATTGTCATTAACAGTTTAGAGTGTGCTTCATGTCAAGTTGTAATGACCGGAGGTCAACAAAATCATTAATAAATTTTAGTAAAAAGTAAGTGGTCTCCAGAATAATGTAGAAGGTTAAGATGAAAATGTTTCCTAAATTTAGATTGTTTCGTAAAGAAATTGAGTCTTTGCCGCAAATATGTATTCCCTATATCTTTTCAACCCTTTGATTTATCAAACTTGGACTATTCTAACATAATTCATTGCTTGAAATATCTAAGGTTTACGACATTTGTTGCAAAGATTAGAGTTTGTGGCAAAAATGAAATATTAACTTTTCACAAATGCATCGCAATAAATATTTGGATTTTTGTAAATTTACCATTTTTGTTTGCAGATTATTGAAGTAAAGCCCAAGGGCTTTCCAAAAACGTATCATAATATGAAAATAGAGGGGGGGGGGGCAATTTCACCCCCCCCCCAGGTAGTCAGTTAGTAAACCAAACGTCAGGCTAAATAGGGTTAACCATTTCTCCTTATATATTCAACAGATAAAAGTAAAATTAGTTCCGATCGATATCTAATTCGATTCAATATTAGCCTATACCCAATTTTAATTTTCACGAACACTCCCTTTAATATTAAAATATATTTGTTTCTATATTGTTCAAGGTGATGTCAATATTTCCTCTCAGTTCACGACGACTTCTGAGAACAACTGTTAAACAAAAGGTGAAACAATAAAACATATTTTTATTTTTATTTGTTAAATTTTAATTGGTTTTATAAGATGACATGAAATTTTCGTAACTTTCTTTACAATTTGGAAACTATAGAATTTAATTTAAAATATTTTCTACAACTTTTAAATCTTTTCTAAAATGAGTTTCATCCAATTAATTTTCATGTTGGGTTAAACTTGAACTCAAATAAAATCTAACAGAAAAGGACGATTTATGTTGGAACCAAGATGTAGAAACACTACTTTCATTATATTGAAACATTGTTTAGAATAATACTGGTAGATTATTAGCTGTAGAAACATTGCTATCTTATATTGAAATATTGTTTAGAATAATACTGGTAGATTACTAGCTGTTAAAACATTGTTAAATTATATTGAAATATTGTTTAGAATAATACTGGTAGCTTACTAGCTGTAGAAACATTGCTATCTTATATTGAAATATTGTTTAGAATAATACTAGTAGATTACAAGCTGTAGAAACGTGGCTAAGTTATATTGAAACATTGTTTAGAATAATACTGGTAGATTATTAGCTGTAGAAACATTGCTATCTTATATTGAAATATTGTTTAGAATAATACTGGTAGATTATTAGTTGTAGAAACATTGCTATCTTATATTGAAATATTGTTTAGAATAATACCGGTAGATTACTAGCTGTAGAAACACTACTTTCATTATATTGAAATATTGTTTAGAATAATACTGGTAGATTATTAGCTGTAGAAACATTGCTATCTTATATTGAAATATTGTTTAGAATAATACTGGTAGTTTACAACTTTAGAAATATTGCTATCTTATATTGAAATATTGTTTAGAATAATACTGAAAGATTACTAGCTGTAGAAACATTGCTAACTTATATTGAAATATTGTTTAGAATAATACTGGTAGATTACTAGCTGTAGAAACATTGCTATCTTATATTGAAATATTGTCTAGAATTATACTGGTAGTTTTCTAGCAGTAGAAACACTACTTTCATTTTATTGAAATATTGTCTAGAATAATACTGGTAGTTTACTAGCTGTAGAAACACTACTTTCATTATATTAAAATTTTGCCTAGAATAACACTGGTAGTTTACTACCTGTAGAAACATTGCTATCTTATATTGAAATATTGTTTAGAAAAATACTGGTAGTTTACCAGCTGTAGAAACAATGCTATCTCATATTGAAATATTGTTTAGAATAACACTGGTAGTTTACTGGCTGTATAAAAATTGCTATCTTATATTGAAATATTGTATAGAATAATAATTATAGTTTACTAGCTGTAGAAACATTGCTCTCTTATATTGAAATATTGTTTAGAATAATACTGGTAGTTTAGTAGTTGTAGACACATTGTAATCTTATATTGAAATATTGTTTAGAATAATACTGGTAGATTACTAGCTGTAGAAACATTGCTATCTTATATTGAAATATTGTTTAGAATAATACTGGTAGATTACTAGCTGTAGAAACGTGGCTAAGTTATATTGAAATATTGTTTAGAATAATACTGGTAGATTACTAGCTGTAGAAACGTTGCTAAGTTATATTGAAATATTGTTTAGAATAATACTGGTAGATTACTAGCTGTAGAAACGTGGCTAAGTTATATTGAAATATTGTTTAGAATAATACTGGTAGATTACTAGCTGTAGAAACGTTGCTAACTTATATTGAAGTATTGTTTAGAATAATACTGGTAGATTACTAGCTGTAGAAACGTCCCTGCCTTATATTGAAATATTGTTTAGAATAATACTGGTAGATTACTAGCTGTTGAAACGTCCCTGCCTTATATTGAAATATTAAAGCTACTTCAACTAAGCTATAATCAGGTAATAGATTTAAAAATAATTGACCAAACTAGTAGCAAAGGAATTGAGTTTTTGCCACATGTGTCAAATGCTCAAATCAAATCTAAGTTCTACGACATTGGGTTGCTATGATATGAGGATTAGAAAATCAGAGCTTATGGCAAAGAGTAAACTCCTAATGATAATTAGAAAATGATCTCATAAACTTATAGTTATAATGCTAATACCCAGACAAAAGAATAAGCTTCAAAATAAGAGATTGGAAAACTTGTATATAACCGAAACATGTTACATACAGGGTTACAGAGACAACTAAACTGTAAAATTCATTTTTCCCCTACACTTTATTCATTCTTTATTTATTCTTTATTCATTCTTTATTCATTCTTTATTCATTCATTATTCATTCTTTATTCATTCCATTCTTTATTCATTCATTATTCATTCTTTATTCATTCATTATTCATTCTTTATTCATTCTTTATTCATTCTTTATTCATTCTTTATTCATTCATTATTCATTCATTATTTATTCTTAATTCATTCTTTAAATAGCAAATAGTATACCAGTTAAATGCAGTTGACAATATGCTACTTAGAGATGTTCGTCATTTGTTAGATAATCCTGTATATGCTAATTGTCAACATCTTGTAGAAAATTGTGAATAGTAATTAGGGTTTCCAATTCGGAATTCCGTTGCGCGGAATTGAGTGGAATTTACAGGGCTCGTCATTGCGCGCAAGTAAAATCCGCTTGCGTTGGAAACCCTGATAGGAATTTAGTCTTTACCAAAGCTGAAATTTCTAATCCCTGTATATTTCTAACGTAATGCTGTAAACCTTTGATATTTCAAACTTGGATCTAAAAGAATTCATAGTTTGAAATATCTGAGCTCTACAACATTGGATAGGGATTAGAAAATCAAAGTTTGTAACAAAGACTCAATTCCTTTATTCTTTTTTCCTTTATCACATAATTTTGTTTACCAGGCCTGGAAAGATGTGTGTAGAGGAGAGAAGGGAATATGTCAATGGTTAAAGGTGAATTAATAAAAAGATATCGCACTTAATTTTTCATAAAAAATAGATAGCACTCATTAATCTATAAAAAAAGTATAACGTTAATCTGAAGAAAAATTTGACAACCAGACAGTTTTTTTAAAATGAAGTTTTCTTTTTAATTTACAAAACACTAAATTCTGCTTAATAATCATTTTCAAACTTGGTTCTGATCGAAATTAATGTGGACTCCACATCAAACTGAAGAAAATCTCACTAAAGACTGAAGTCTGATATGTTTCCAATCCTAACTCCTTTAATTGAAAAGTTATTAAGAATAACAACAAATGTTTCGAATTTCTAATATGTCACCAAATGCTTCTCACATACTTGTGCATGAAATCTAAGCTAGAAAAAGAGTGGTACAAAGCGTCCTGGATGTCTAGGTATGTAAAGAAGAGAAAGGATTGGTTTCTACTTTCCTCTAATTGTAATATAATCAGTGCAACCATTAATTTCTATTTATACCATCATTAATGGTTTATATAGAACTCACCACTCTATCTAAAGATGGGCGCGTTCAACTTTTTTTTTATTACGTTTGTTCATTATTCGTGAACAATCCATTTTGTTCAATTTTTTTTAATCATTCAAAAAAATTGATTACGTTCGTTCTCAAAAATATCGTTCATTTTCCATCTATAATTTCGTTCATTTTCTCAGTGAACGATTGTTTAGTAAAATCGTTGGCCTTAATTGGTCATTACGATCATTATTTAAAAGTTTGTCGATAAGAAACGTTTGTTCTCTGAACGACACAATCATTCACAAAAATTTTGTTCGTAAATATTTTGTTCGTTAATAAAAAACGATGCCCATCTCTACTCAGCACTCTATACAGATATTGATACTGATTTAAAACTAATTGTTACAAATATAACTGTTACAATCACGGTAAACTAGCCAGGAGGAGAAGGTGAACTCGGAGCTTATGTAGTTTGGATTTTATGAACAAATATCCGAAATGAAAATCTATCCGGTCTTCTCAATAACGATTCAATAAGAGAGATTATGATTAAAAACATAACAGATTTCAATCTTACTTGTAATTTACATTAGTTTGACGTGACTTTTAAGCTATTAAATACTATTAAGCCTTAATAGCTTTTAAGCTATTAAATGCTATTAATATTAAGTCTTAATAGCTTTTAAGCTATTAAATGCTGTTAAGCATATTAATAATAGCTGTTAAGCCATTATGGGCTTAACCAATGGAGCATAACTAAGCATATACCTAACCTCCACTCAAATATGTTCCTGAAATGATCAATAACAAGTTTGGATCGTTCTTCGATCGCTTTTATTATATTTAGGATCTAAGCTCTACTTCTTGGAGACTATATAATCCTGTTATATCTAGGATCTAAGCTCTACTACCTACCTGGAGAATTACTTTAACCCAACCTTGAAACAAAGAAGAGAGAGTACTAGCTCCTATATGCTGATAGTTTACACTTCCTCATCTACAGATGAAATAGTAGATCTACAGGTTTATCAATACTTATTTATTTTATATATCATTGATATTTTTTGCATGACCTTACATAACCAAAGAGATGGGTTCTCGACGGTCAAAATAATCATTTTTGATTTTTTTTCCTAAAATCCACCAGTGAAAACAGAAAAATATGCAGAACACAAAAATACACTAAAAGTCATGAAAATAATTTTGTTTAATCTCAAATTTGACAGAAACATTGTTGTATCCCAGATTGTTCTTAATAAGAGTGAACAGTCCCTTGAATACAACCGGATGCCAGAGGAGCAGTACAGCCCGAACCTTAGAAGAGTAGACACGTAACTATACACGTCAGTCTGCCACTATCGTTCCGGGACCTATACGACATACAGCGAACATACAGGATACAGAGGGAACCTTACTGGATGAGCTGCATAAAAGAAGATGAACCAAGTTTCTGTCATAGTGCGCAACCCCGCCTACGTTGCAGATGTTGAGCTGGATGAAGATGAAGTTGATCCAGCTGACCTTACTCCTCTTGTCAGTGGGAATGCTCCCATTGTCACTGCCCCTGCCTCGGAGGATGAAGATGTAGCCAAGGATGTTGTAGAGGACGGGGATGAGGATGAGGAGATGGAGGATGTCCCACAGATTCTCCGGGAGGCGTTAATAGCCTGGAGGAACTCAACCAGGAGTTGAGAAGTATCCTGTCCCCTACTCTTGGGGACACTAGCTAGTCCCCTGTTGTCCCCCGTATTGAGGTATGGGACACAGGGAGGGCTTGGGAGAGTGAGTACAGACTGTATCCTAAATCTAGTAGAAAAGAGATCAGTGACAGACTGTCCAACCAGGTGTTGGATCTGCTCCGGATCATGCACGAGCGGATCAACCAGCAAACCTGGAATAACAGAGATATAGAACTGATTGACGGACTGAAGAATATATCAGTCATGCACACTAGACTTGGTAGATTAACTGAGAAGGTGCTCAACGGTCAAGCTAGGAAAGCTAACAAGTAAAGGGATTATGGCTGATCATCATCATCATCAGATCATCTCCATCTAATAGTGTGTATGCATTTATGAATATGTAAATAAATGTATCAACACTATAGAAAGCATGTTTATTACTTTGGGTGTTAATTATTGCACGAGCAAGTAATTATATAAAGGTTTACTCCGTGTGATGGAGATAGCCCGAAGTATAATGTTGCCAGGTTGCAAAGATAGCAATTGCATAAGGGTTAGGTCCGAGTGATGGAAATAACCCGATGTGCAATGTTATCAGGTTGCAAAGATAATTGATCTTATACAAGTTGAGTAACTTGAAGTGTGATCTTATCAAAGTTTGCTAATTTAAGTTTGCCAATTTATTGCACATTTTAGTAACACAACAAAATCAGTTATGAGTAACGGGGGTCGTCATATAAGCCGTGTGTGAAATGATTATTTTTTTTAATCTCAATTTTTTTTTTGGGTAGATTCCGGGTTCCACAACTGTTCCTTCTCGTCAGAAAACAACAGTTCGGGCAGTTTTCTCAACAGTTGGGAATGGAACTGTGGCACCTAAAGTTATTATATCAGGTAAACTGTCTAACACGTTGATAATAAATTATTCTTAACAAAATAAACTACATTGATACTTTAAAGATTATCAATAATGCCAGAATAATGAACTCTAAACGAAACTAATTAAATTTAAATTCTTCGCCTGAGAAATTTTTTATCGAACAAATTTCCCAGCCTGCTTTGGTCAAGCGGGTTTCAATTTATTAGTTTTAGACATTTTTTCTATTAAAGAGACACACTTGACAATCCCTGAAAGAAAATGTGATTCATAATTCATAAATGTTTTTCAGAAACCGTCTCCACTATTAACATAATTGATGAAGAAGCCACTACTACTGTAGAGAGCACAACAATGGTATGAATGCAAATATATTAAAAAAAGATTTAATAAAAACGTTTCAGGTATAATTTTTTCAAATGAACTAACCTGAAAAATTGGGCGTCCTAACTTTTTAAGGGTTTAAGGTTTTGTAAACGTTATTACAAGTGAGCCTCTAGTTCGGATTCCCAATCGACCACTTAAAAGCTTTTTCTGATCAAGATGAATTTAACCCTATCCCTGTCAGTATACGCTTTTTGGGGGGGGGGGTCAAAAAAACTACAGGGGGAGGGGGGTTCAAATTACCCCCCCTCGCAGGAATATGATTAATATCCACGTTTTTGTTTTTGAAAACTGTTTTTTTTTATTTGCGGGTTCTCAGAAAAATTTACTTGCGAAATTTTCTGTAGAAACACTGAAGAAATTATCACAATTAGATTCCTTTCACAATATTGATCAGATATGGGTGTCTAGCTAGGGTACAGCCGCTAATTCGTAATCCCTTTATCTCTGCAACCTGATGATGTCTCAGACTTTTTTATTTCAATCCATGAACTTTGTCATATGATAAATTCTAAGTTTTACATATTAAATTTTTACTCCCTCAGGTTTCAAAGAAATAGGGATTAGAAAATTAAAGTTTAAGGCAAAAACTCAATTCCTTTAACTAGCTTACTCCCACCGTTTACCCGCACTTGGTCGATATTACCGAATATCCATACCATTAGGGGCAAATCGGTCAAGGGGTTTCTAAGTTATGATCGGACATATGAAGCAACAAACAGACACGCAGAGATTACAACTTTATATATTAAGAATGATGATGATGAGGATTACATTACCGAGATGGCGACCTCGTCCTCCTCCACCATCACAACCACCACCAGCCTCACAACCTCCAGTAGGGGTTAAAATCAAACATTATTTCCGCCAAAAAAATTTTTTACACAATTTTTAAATTGCTATAGAAAATTCATTTCAATTTCTCTAAACTTAAGATTTTTTATGTAATATAGTAGGACCTACACAACTGAGAAATAGAAAGAGGCCTGTCAGACTCAATTTTTGTGACCTAAATAATACTATGTACAAGAAACACAAAATCTTCATGCCACGTATACACATATCAAAATCACTTATTACACGCAAATCTGCCCCTTTAGTAAAAGTAAATTCAACCTATATAAAGTATAAAGTCTGACCGTGTCAACCTTGTCGCACCAGCTAGTCCTGTCCATAGATCTAGGTACAGTACAAACTGGGACCGGAAAGGTTGACCCGGCTCGGAAATTCAAATGTACTACGACGGCTACCGTGAATAAGTTGATTTTCTAGTTAATACTTGAAAAATTATTTCCTTTTTAACAACATTAGACACATCTAAACTTACAGACATTTTGTTTACATATTGTCATCTGTATTTTGTTCTGCTATTTTCTAAAATTCTGTGATATAAAATTTGAATTAAAAACCCTAGACATCAGTCTCCTAGACTCTAGTCTCTTAAACTCCAGTGTTCTTCCTGCCCCCCTAGAGCTTTACAATATACTGGATACTACAACTGAGGATTCAAGATATTCTGCTTGTTCGGAGTTTACTGCCTGTGTTATTTACATATCCCAGGTGTTATTCAGAATAATATAGAATTTATTTGAGGTGTTATGTATGCCAAGTATGATATGAAATATGTTATTTTAGAACCATATTGGACTGGAGGGGTCTGAAGATAGAATTCATCAGATGATTGAAACTGAAACATATTCTACAAGAAGACCCGGCCTTAACATTGGCAGTGTTCATATATCAAGAGATATGCTAGACAGGTATTCTAGGATTTCTAGGATTTCAAACTTTTTATTTTCAGATTTCATTACCGATTCATTAACCTTATCTTATCTGCACATACTATTATCTTTATCTTATCTATACATACTCTTATCTTTATCCTATCTATACATACTCTTATCTTTATCTTATCTATACATACTCTTATCTTTATCTTATCTATACATACCCTTATCCTTATCTTTATATTATCTATACATGCTCTTACCTTTATCTAATCTATACATACTCTTATCTTTATCTTATCTATACATACTCTTATCTTTATCTTATCTATACATACTCCTATCTTTATCTTATCTATACATACTCCTATCTTTATCTTATCTATACATACTCTTATCCTTATCTTATCTATACATACTCTTATCTTTATCTTATCTATACATACTCCTATCTTTATCTTATCTATACATACTTTTATCTTTATCTTATCTATACATACTCCAATCTTTATCTTATCTATACATACTTTTATCTTTATCTTATCTATACATACTCCAATCTTTATCTTATCTATACAAACTCTTATCTTTATCTTATCTATACATACTTCTATCTTTATCTTATCTATACATACTCTTATATTTATCTTATCTATACATGCTCTTATCTTTATCAATACAGATACATTTATTTTAGCAATAAACGTTATCTTATCTTATCTTATCTTACTCCTATCTTTATCTTATCTATACATACTATTATCTTTATCTTATCTATACATACTCCTATCTTTATCTTTTCTATACATACTTACTCTGCTTGTATGTTTGCATCCAATAAATGCAAAAATGGCTGAACCGATCGGGCCCAAAGTAATTGAGACTTTGCCATAAATTCAAAGTTTTCTAATCCCTATATCTTTTTAATCTGATGTTGTAATTTTTGATATTTCAAACTTAGGTTAATTGATCTAATAGAATTCATAGTTTAAAATATCTAAGGTGAGCGACATATATAAAGATATATAGGGATTAAACAATAAGAGTTTGTGGCAGATCACACGACACCAGGAAAAATTTTTGGATGGTTTAAATCGAAAACTTTTGCCTAAAAACGTTAATATCAATATTTACAAAATCTGTAAATGCAAATTTTTGTGGTTCAACGAAGAAAATATAGCCACTTGAAAACTTTTACATTAAAATTATGGGCTGCAAAGCGCCCTGAAGACCTAGTCGTTATAAACAAATCAGTTAATATCATTAAATTTAAAAAAAGGAAAAACTATTTTCCACAAACTCAAATTTTAAAATCCCTATATCTTGACAACCTGATATTTGAAACTTGAATTATTTTATATGAGAGAATTCACAGTTTGAATTATGGAAGGTCTACAAAATTGGGTTGCAAAGATATAGGAATTAGAAAATCAGAAATTGTGGCAAATACATAGTTTACTTTACATAAATCAAAAAATTGCAATTTTGCTTTTGCCCAGATATGAGTTTGCTGAGAATGTGGTTGCCACTGTATCCGTTGATGAAAACACCTCCATCATTCATCCTGATATTCAACATTTTAACATTATCCAACAAGATTTAACGGACACACACCAGGACATACACACAGTCGCTAATATAATTAGGTGATTTATTTTTTGGGGCAAAAATCAGGTCAAGTTTTTTTAATCTATTGTAGTACAGTGGTTGGCGTTTATAGCAATACAATGAAGACGACTTTTCAATTTTAACTGATAGCTTCTCTTTGGTTCCATGTTTATGTGTATCCAATATCCATGCTGTAGAAATGCTTGGTAGAAATTACTCACTTGAGAGAAATAGTTTAACAAGTTATTTCTAGTTCAGCAGTTTCTCCCGAATAATTAGTTCTGACCTCTACCTAGATTAATATTTTATTATGTTGAGCTGACTCTTTCTCTCATTCATGATTTCTAAACTCAAGATTTCATTTCTTTCACAACTTTTACTTTCCGAAATGTTAAACTTTTTTATTTTACCTTAAAGAGATTGTAATTTCAAGTGACCCTTTATGGAATAATAATTTGGTTTTCTAATATTAATTTTAAATTTTCTATAAAATGATGTTCCACGGCCCAAAAGGTTATATAGCATAAATATGTGAAGTACACCTGCAGTATGGAAACAGTACAACAAAATGGCCGTTTTACACTTTTTTCTATTAAATTCCACTCTAATATGTATTCTATTCTCTTTGTAAAGAGGAGTGTCCAGATTTTTTTGTCTAGATTTTCATTCGCATTCGTAAATAGTTAATATTTCATATTTAGTATTTTTCATGATCTGAGAGTTACTTTTGAAAACATGTATTCCTGTTTTCTAGGATTTTTGATAATGAAGACGACATTTTCATATTTTCCAGGAATGTTCCAAAATCCAGCGCCAGCGAAAATTATTAAAAAAAAACAAAGTCAAAAATATTATGAAATATTAACTATATACGAATGCGTCGAAAAATAATCGAAGACTACTGTGTGTAATATTTAAATGATTTGTTTGGAATTAAATTGATTTGTTTACGAGCCGAGTTGAATGTTGCATCTTTCTGAATTTGTTTGGACACTACGTTCTTCGGTGTGAGTCGTTTTTAACAATTTTCTCCTTATAGACGCAACAGATAGAAGTAAGATTAGTAGCGATCAAAAGCGCTTATTTATCGCATTAAGCCTATACTCCCTTTCATTTTTCGCGAACACTCCATTTAAAATTTATCAAAAAACTTCTGACTCTAGAATGATTTTTGGATGATTTTTATAAACTTAATCAACCCTTTGTAGCTGCGAACATCACATCAGCTTTCTTTTTTAATAAATTTCAAGACGACATTTCATGCGCTCTTGCTATGTATTCTTTTATGTGAGATTGGCTTTATATATTTAAATACATTGCATATATATATATACATGATTTTGTTTAGTGATCTAGGAGTTGGGTTGGGTTGGAGTACTGCTGTTTTAGTTTTCTTTAATTCAGGTATTTCTACTTTTATAGATTTTAGAAACACTTTTGGAGTAAAAAAAAACTACTGTGTCTTCCACATTTTTGAGCACACTAAGGTTTCAAGGGTACAGTTGTGAATCGGGCATTTACATCTATAAAAGCTACTGTTTTGCCTTTTTTATTAATATGCATTGAAGAATATTATTGAATAGTTATTTGAAAAATATATTTCAAAGATTGAAAAGTTTCCAATTGAATGCGATTTAAATTCATTCTATTATCTGAAAGTGTATTTGAGATATATATTGTACGTTTAATGAGTACTATAAATTTAGAATTTTTTGTTAGTTTTTATCATTTGTTAAGCATCTAAACTATGTGTAGCTCTATCGGTTCTAAATATAGGAGATCTGTGTCCAGTTTATACATATAAACTATATTTAGGAGTAGGGGAGGATGTAGCTCTATCAGTTCTAAATAAAGCAGATCTGTGTATAACATCAGTTATAAACCTAAACCTGAACTATATTGAAACACAAGAATTTAAAAAACTATTAGATCTCTACAAGTCTAGGTAAAAAGTGTTTAGCATTTTTAGCATTTTGAATTTAGAACTGCAGAAGGTATTTTAGTAGTAACCCTTTCATCATGAATTGGCTATAGATTATTTAGGTGTCCAGGGCATCATAACAAACGAAAAAAAATCGTATACTTTTAATAGTAGATTATAGAGACACTAACAATTTTTGAAATGAAATTAATATCAACCTTAAATGAAGTCAACTTCGTTTTTAAATTCTATAGTATGAGGCACCAATGTAATGGCAAAAAATGGCCTGATTTTATTCCAAATTTGAAATTATTTAAAATCTTTTTTTAATTTTTTTTTAATGATAAAATCTGAATGTTTAAATTCTTATTTTCAACATTTTCTAGAAAAGTTGATGAAAACTTTTTTTAATCATTTAGATATTTGTTTTTTTAATTAAACAGTTGCTTTCATAGATTTCATTATTCCATTTAGTCAAGAATGTAATGCAAGGAAAGTTAATTGCAGTTGCGTATACTCTGCGTTGAGTGCGTAAATATTGAAACCAGTTCTCTCTGGGCGGAATTTGTAAACAAGAATAGATGCCTCAGTGTTCGTCTAGTATCCGAGGAGGTTAAAAGCATTGAATTTTGATAATTTTGATAATTCACATAATAGTTTCCTATGACTAGAATATTTCATTGATTATTTATGTGAAAGATGGATACCATGTCAAGCTTCGACATCCGTCTTGTGGTTACTTTACCGCCCAGCGACAGTACACTGCAGTACAAAAGATGCGTACACCTCTTAAATAACTTTCCTTGCATTAAATCCTTGTGTTTAGTTATCAGGTTTTGTTTCAGTTCCAAGTTTGTGATAATATCTGAGAGTCCAGATCAAATATCTCATCTTATTGACGCTATGGTGGCCAAATCAGGTAAAGAAATGGACTGTTTCCCAGAAATTTACTTTAGCGTTGAAACCATGGTAGTGTTTTATATTTATAGCTTTAACTTTATGGTGGTTTTCACAACTATATAACCTTTGTCCAAATTTAAAGTTTTTAAATGACAGATATCAAGTTTATAATAAACGCTACAAGGGACCACTATTGGCCCCCCTCCCCCTGTTCCCCTGTTTTGAAAACGATAGTTTCCAAAAGTAAAAAATGTCTTGTTAGTTTTTTAAAGAAAAAACAATGAGCTTTTATAAAGATCAGTAGAGGTTTATTATCATGCTGTGTTAGATCAAGGTTGTATCGATGCGCTCCAGTGAACAAAAAATGTCGTCTCCAAAGATAGATAGATAAATCCCTCATATGACGTCATTCTCCCCTCTATGATCTGTATCTTCATCCGTTTTTATCTATCTATCTTAGGAGACGACATTTTTCGTACATTGGAGCTCATCGATACAACCTTGATCTAACTCAGCATGATTATAAACCTCGTTTCAGAATGTTTATATTCCAAATTTTTTAAAACATACTTTTTTTAAACAAATTAATTTTAGTTACAGTTTCTTCAGAATCATGCAAAAAACTAATTTGATTTCAATTTTAATACATCTGATAAGATGAGTAATGCGAGTGTGGGAAGGCAGGCGGCCTTATGCCACAATATTTTCCCCTTCCATGCCACATATTATCTTTTTTTGTCTTCAGGAATCCATAAGATAAAACCTTACGGTCTTCCATGCCACAGCATTTTAGTCTTCCGGCAGTTATTGTGGCTTATTGCTGCTGGAAGACAAAAAAGCTAATATGTAGCATTGGAGGGAAAAATGTTGTGGCTTAAAGCCACCTGCCTTTCCTTCTCGTAAGGCAAAAATTTAAATTTGTTTTTATGTGTTTAGACGAAATTGAGTTTTGGTTAGATAGCATAGCTTGGTCCTATTTACAGTCCTCCAACAGTTTGTCAAACATGGCCGAACATCTTCCAGATATTGAGTAAGTACTTTTTTATCTTGCTTATCAAATTAAATATTTCTAATCTTATATCTTAAAGCATGCACTGTGATCTTACCAGGCCACATTTGTTGCATTAAATTTTCTGGGTGTACTCTACAGTGTGTAGTCCAGATTGGACGGTACGACTGAATGCATATACAGTACATGTTGTACCGGCTCGGATCATGCTACTTTTAGAGGGGGTTGAGGTGCTTTTATAATCACAATGCATAAATACAAGCAAAAAATTAGCAACATATTTAAACAGATTAAAGGTAAAAAGAAAAATGTCAAATCCTGGTGCTTTGCCTTATTAAAAATACCTAAGATGTGAAAATGGATCCCAATGGTTGTCGTAATTTTAATTCGTTGCTGAAACTTTGATTTTTATACCACATCTCATGATTCACCGACAAAGGGTCAAACGACCCAGGGTCAAACGACAAAGGGACAAACGACACAGGGTCAAACGACACAGGGTCAAACGACACAGGGTCAAACGACAAAGGGTCAAACGACAAAGGGTCAAACGACAAAGGGTCAAAAGTGCGACAAAGGGTCAAACGACAAAAGGTCAAAATGATAAAAATATTTTTTGATTTGAATCATAGGAAACTCGCAATTTTAATCACAAAAATCCGCCAAACTTTTTTGAAGATTTAAAACTTTAGTCTGATTCTGGCTTCCATAATGGTCGGGTTGGCAATATAATTGACCATGTTGCCGCAGCGCTCGGCCCCCTAGCTTGTCCTAGCCGCAGCGCTCGGCCCCCTAGCCTGTCCTAGCCGCAGCGCTCGGCCCAGAAAGTGTCTTAACCTAACCTAACCCTAAATAATAATAAATAAATGGATATAATTGACCATGTGGCCACAGCGCTCGGCCCCCTAGTCTGTCCTAGCCGCAGCGCTCGGCCCAGAATGTACCTAACCAAAGCATAAATAATAATAAAAAAAAAACTAACTGACAGAATTTAAAAAAATTTGCCCCTTTGTCGCATTTTTTGACCGTTTGTCGTTTGACCCTGTGTCGTTTGACCCTTTGTCGCGTTTTTGACCCTTTGTCGTTTGACCCTGTCGTTTGACCCTATGTCGTTTGACCCTGTGTCGTTTGACCCTGGGTCGTTTGACCCTTTGTCGGTGAATCCATCTCATATATATCAGTTTTATACCACATCTCATATATATCAGTTTTATACCACATCTCGTATATATCAGTTTTATACCACATCTCATATATACCAGTTTTATACCACATCTCATATTTATCAGTTATAAACCACATCTTATATCAGTTTTAAACCACATCTCATATATATCAGTTTTGGTAAAACGTTGACACATTTTATGTTAATTTTTCGAGACAGAAACAACAGATGGAACTTAAATAGGTTGCGATGAAAGGTGTTAAAGTTCCAGCCTTATACCCTGTAATGTTTCCTTAACAGTCCCTTACAACTAACTTAACTTCAATTGTCCAGTATGATGCTGATATCTGCTGATGAATGCGAATATTGTGAATCTCTTGAGGAAACTCAACTTGTGAAGGTATGTTTTTTTTCAAGAGGGTTAGAGGAGGTCCAAATTATTTTTAACCTTATCTCTGCTGGGGTACTTGAAAACCAGGATATGCTGGGGGGGGGGTCAATTTGACCCCCCTCTAAATCCCATAATTGATGTCCAAATATGACAAATGATACATCATTGGAAAGCTCGTGTGCTCTACTTTTAGAATCTGAAAAAAATTTGCAAATTTGCAAAAATTGAACTTTTTATCGCAAAATCCAGTTATATAGTAAAAATGTTTGCAATAAAAATTTGTCCAAAAAATGAAAAATCATTCATTTTTGAAAAGCCCTTGACCATGCCATTTTAAATGTGCAAAAAGTTTTGCAAAATTTTAAATAACCTGATTTTTAATCAAGAAAAACTAAAAATGTGCAAATTTCTTTTGACAGGGTGTATGCAAATAATTTGCAAACATTTCTTTGCAAAACTTGTGCAATTCGTTTTCTTATGTTAAAGGCTTTTAAAAAAGCTAAATTTTACTAAAATCTGACAAGTGGAAGTGAGTCAAAACAAAGATTTAGTTTGTTACAGGAAAAAGCAGTCATTCAGGCAGTGTGCCTGAGGACTCAGGCAGTTAGTATTAAAGCCCAGTTTTAGGCCTAAAAGGAGGGCTTTGGGTATGTAGGAAAAGTCAGTAAATTTAAACAGCCTCAGACCAATACTTTTTGAGTTATGTAAAAAAAACTACAGGGGGGGGGGTTCAAATTGACCCCTCACCCAGCAGGAATAGGGTTAAAAGTGTCTAAACATATTTTATGTGTACGTGAAATTCCAGATTTATTTACAGTCATTATCGATCGCAAACATTAACACAATAAAGACCATTTTCAATTTCAATCTTTTCATTTCTACCAAGCGTTCAAACAGCATGGATACACATGTAACATGGAAAGATAGAGAATCTCTCAATCATGAATTAATTAACAATAACAGATCGGACACTAGATGTCGTCTTTTCAGGGTTCAGGGTTTTTTCGTTTATAATAACCCTAAAGCAGAGGAGTTACGCGTATGCTCTCTCTCTGTCTTGTAATGCAACGCCGCATGCGCGTAACTCATTTTTGGCATCTGCCTCAGGGTTATTGTAAACGAAAAATCTTGAAAAGACAACATCCTTTCAAGTATCCATCTATGTGCTATTGTTAATTTATCTATGCTCTCAATAGACATCTACTTGAAAAAAAGCTTGTATGAAATAAAAACTTGATTAGAAAAGTCAGTCGTCTTCATTATATTGATATAAACGCCGACCAGTGTACAAAACGTCTGTAATTTTCAGGGGCTGCGGAGTATATCCAGCAGTATAAGTGAGGACCTGGAGTCTTTCTCCAAGCAGATTTGTGAACCAGCCTTATTCAACCCAACAGTTTGTATTCAGGTGTTTTTAACATTAATAATATATTACAGCTTAAATATTGACGGAAAGCTTTTCTGCTTCTCCCATTGTTGTTAAAACTGTCTAGTTTCTATTATTTTTCGTTGTTAATTTCAAGCTTTATTTGCATACAAACTGAGATTAAGATGTAAACCGCCAATTACACCATCTTAAAATTTCCATCTAATTCTTCTTTTGTTAAGATTTGTTTTCATGTTTCTCCCCCCCCTTTCATCACATTTCTCTTTGCCCCCCCCCCCTGTTTTTGTATACAAGTGTAATATTAATATTTTCTTCCCTTTGTTCTCTTATTGTTTCATATGATCTAATTCTTATTTTATTTTATTATTGGTTCCTTAAACATTTCTAACAAATAGATCTTTTTTATTAATTATCTACATTTATGATTGGACTATTTCTTTCATTCGTCTCAATTTCAACGTTTTTTTCTAATTCTAGCTTTTGCTCTTTTTATCTTTTTTTTTACTAATTCTTGCTTTTTATTGATTTACATCCTTATAACCAAATAGATTATTAAGTACAATAGGTGGCAACAGAGAAATGAAACAATTATACACGACGTCACAAGTGTCAAATATAACAAGGAAAACGAATTTTTTTTCATATTCGTTGACAGGTTTTCCAAGATTAAATAAAAAAGTGTAAATACAAAAAGTAAAGAACACAAAAAATTGCACTTATTTTACTGCAAGATAAAAACTTTTTTCTTTTATCACTATTATTAATAATTTTGTTGGACACAAAAACTGAATTGACACTTGTGACGTCAGAATACAGCTGTACTGAGAGTGTACACATTTTACGTTGCCATCTATTGTTACTAGAATCTATTGTCTTATAACTATCTTCAATTCTGATGATGTATGCTTTTTTGAAATTCATTTTGTTAATTTTACTGTTTTGCTTTTCTCTTTTTTTTGTAATCCAAATTTTTTCTTTTTTTATATTTAACCTTCTTTAATTTGGGTTTTATCTCAATGGAATAAAATGATACTGTGTTTAATGCATATTGGTTTCCTTTGATGTAAGTGTTAAACTAATTTTATTTATTCAAGGTTCTCCTTTACAAAATTTAATAAAACGGAAAGTGTTAAACCTTTTTAAAGAGTTTTCATCAATAATTCCGTTTTGCACTATTACACTTTAACCCTATTCCGGTTTCAATTGAGCGCCGGTTTGAATCTTGAAACATTGAATCTAATTTTAAGTGGAACCAACCATACTTGAGCCGCGTCTAAAATTTAAGCCGCAAAATTCTGTAAATTTGTTCTCTGAAAAATCAGTGAAATATATTTTTATTATTTGCTTGTTTAGGAGTTTCGTGCGGAAATGGATTCCTCCTTTAATGAGATAGAATCATATAATATTCTTCAATTAAACCCATCCAGGTTATATATGCATTCATTTATTCATATTCTTTATTTATTCACCCATTCATTACTATTCTTTATTTATTCATTCATAAATTACTATTCTTTATTTTTTCATTCATTCATTTATATTCTTCATTTATTCATTCATTCATTTATTTTATTCATTTACTTATCTTTTCATTTATATTCTTCATTTATTCATTCATTCATTTATATTCTTTCATTTATTTATCCTTTCATTAATATTCTTCTTTTATTCATTCATTCATTTATATTCTTTACCTATTCATTCATTCATTTATTTTATTCATTTATTTTTTTCATTTATATTCTTCATTTATTCATTCATTCATTTTTATTATTCATTTATTTATCCTTTCATTAATATTCTTCATTTATTCATTCATTCATTTATATTCTTTATTTATTTATCTTTTCATTAATATTCTTCATTTATTCATTCATTCATTTATATTCTTGATTTATTCATCCATCCTTTTATATTCTTCATTTATTCATTCATTCATTTATATTATTCATTTATTTATCTTTTTAATAATATATTTCTATCTATTAAGGTCATTTATTCATCATTTGTTTTATTCAATATTTGTCCAGCTCCCAATGGTTTTTTAAGTTTCACAAAAGTCAAAGTCAATAATAATTATAAATATCTTAAATTTAAAATATTTTGTTTAACCCCCTGCTGCATATAACTTTTATCATGTTTTTAAATTAGTTCATTAAATTATTAGTTCGTATTTGTTTACTGAATAAATTGTCTTGTCTGCTTGTTTTTTTTCAAATTATTTCAGGAATCTTTTATGCTTCTTTCCTTCTCCAATATTATTTTTAACTATTTATTTTTCAAATTTTTCATTTATTACAAAATTCATGTCATTTATTCTAAGGTTTTATCTATAGCTTATTCATTATAAACTTAGCAAATATTTCTTCGCAAACTTAAAAAAATAAATAAATAAAAATTATAAATATTTCAGATTTGTGAACATGGATGAGAGTTTGTTTATGCTAGCAGGGGATTATAAACGAGATTATCTAAATCTCTACAATAATTATCCTTCTATACAACTAGAGGAAGAGGACAGGTATTGGGGCCGACACTTTTGATGGAGATAGTGCTTTATAATATCTAATCCAACCGTAGTTTGGATATAAGTAAAGTAATCTATTAGTCGTTGCCGCCAAATAGATTATCAAGTACAATTGGTGGCAATGAACCAATTTATAAGCGACGTCACAAGTGTCAAATATAAAAAGAAAAACGAAATTTTCTCACATGAGTTGACATTTCTTCCAAGATTAAATAAAAAAAGTGTAAAAACAGTAAATAAAGAACACATAAAATGGCACTTATTTTACTGTAAGATAAGCACTTTATTCTAAAATTATCACTATTATTAATAATTTTGTCGGACACAAAAACTGAATTGACACTTGTGACGTCAGAATACAGCTGTACTGAGAGTGTACAAAGTCTACGTTGCCATCTATTGTACTTGAATCTATTTGGTTGCCGCTAATTTACTTATAGATCTCTAATGGGATTATAATAATTGAATAGACAGATATATAGATAGATCTTGTCACCTTTGCTATTCTATTGGTCCTGAGTACACACAAACACGTGAGTGAACCCTGATTGGATCCGAGGCTATACTGGACGTGTGAAACTACTATGATCCCGCGACAATTGCTTTTAAAATTTCAGATTTGAATTTATTGAAGTTCTTAATCTGTAAAAACTAGCTGACTTGTATTGACTCTATCTCTCATAGGACAAGAGCAGATTAAGTTTGACTTCGTAAAATACAAAAGTTTAAATCTCAGAACATCTTTCTATGTAAATATATAATATCGAAAGACAGGGATGGGCAGTTTCGACTTTTTTGAAAAATGTTCGCTTCACTTGTTAACGATGAAAAAAAATCTGAAACCAAAACGATTATTGTAAAAACGATCGTTTTTTAAAGTTACCTTTATTAGAATAAAGCGAGAAATGTGGCATATTTTAATGAAAAATAAAAGATATAGTTGAATTAACAAACCTCGCTTAAAACTAAAACATCGTTAGTTTAAACAATTAGTTTTTACTAAAAACGAATGTTAATTAGTTTTAAAAAATCCAAAACGAAACTGAGATCAATCGTTTTTCCGATCTTTTTTGAAAACTTAAAAAGGATCGGAAATTTAAAAATGTCGCTTTCATGTTATAATTTCAAATTAATATATCCTTGAGAATACCAGCTTAGAAATGTTTTGGAAAGATCTTCCATTACGTTAAAACATTTAAAAACAGAAATAAACTTTTAAAGAAAAAACAACAACATTCATTAAAAAAAAAAATTAAACTGAAAATTAACTGATTTTTTTGTTGTTAAATTTAGATTGTGTATAAATTCTACTGTTGAATATGATGACGATTTCCTGAAATCTGTTCTAGAGTCCAACCTACAGTCACTGTGGGGCAGTATAGGGACAAATTAACCTTTTTCATTAGAAATAACATTTTGAAACATTTATTTTTGAATTTAAATATTTACAAAATTTGACTATTTTTATTTAACCAATAAATTTGATTGTGCTTGATACCAATAGTTCTTGCCACTAACTTTGATTTTTTAAATCCCTACCTCACTGCAAACCAAGCAAACAATATTTTAGCTAGAAACAATTGCACGTTGCAATTTTAAATTGTATATGTCTAGGCTACAAAAATGTATAAGTGAGAAAACCAAAGGCCAAGGCGTTGCGACACTTTGAAGACTAACTTTTAGAGTTGTTCTGATTTCAGAACCCGATGTAACCCGATGTCGAAGATCTTTCATATTTTAAACTGTTATTCTGTTAGATGAAATATTTTGGAATATCAAAGTTTTCTGCCATCAAGTTGCAAAGAGATAAGGATAAAAAGTTTGTGGCAAGATATTAGTTAATTCCTTCAACTGAATGAGTGCCACAGATGATTCACTAATTATAAAAGTATGTTTCGACATAAACCTTGAGACACTTGAGATATTTTAAACTTTGGTCGTGTCTTTTTTCGACGGAAGCTTTTAACAATACAGACAGACAATAAAATCGATCACGGTCCGTTTAAGATGGATGATGAACTATTTTTGAAACTGGTTAATTTGTTTAGCTCTTGGGATATCCGCCTTCGGGATGCTGATCCTTGTTATTACAGGTACGACAGGGTTAATGCACTGTTAAAAAGTAAAATTTTTAAATAAATTTATAAAAGCGTAGCTAAAAAATAAGTCGAAAATGCATATTGATACACTGTTAAAAATTAAAGCTTAAATACATGGTACCGTTTTGTACATGTAAATGACAAAGGATGTTTAGATGCACTGTTAAAAAGTAAATAAATGCAAATATCGCAGTACTGGCTTAATTGTATATGGCCTGTGCACTGTAAGAAAACAAATCATTATGCACATATGCTTAACATATTTCATTACTCTAAATTAATAAATAACTAATAAATAAATAAAACAAATGAATTTTACTTTGCTTTAACAATAATAATAACAACTTGTTCATTAATGTTCAATAATGTATTCCTTTTATTATTTATCAATTTTAATAAAAACTCAAAAATGTGATAGTTTTTATAAATGCATAAGAGCATTTTGAACAAATATTTATTTATTATTATAAAATGTAAAAACATTTTTTAAAGCGGGCTTATTTTCATCTAGGAGTCTAAACTTAATTTGTCCTTTTTCAAATTATTCCTCATTAATTGATCCATTAATTGATTAATTAATATTTTTATTAACAACTGGTTAATCTTACAATTTTATTTATAACGATTTATTTTTATGATTTTTTATAATTGAAATGGTACGAGGAATATTTAATAATTATAAATGTTTATATTTTTCTCCTTTTTTGAACCGCAGGTCTGCAGGTTCTCATTTTTTACTTCTTTTTGCGACTTTACATATTTTCATTTTTAGGCTTGTACACTGGGTTAACTATAGCCAGGAAGGACAGAGCTGATTTCACGGGGTAAGTGCAAATATCTAAATTTATGAAGGACTAATTAAAAAAAAGTTTTATTTTAATGATTCATTTGTAATTGCTTATTACGTTACATTACAGCTACAACAAACCGGTCTATCTTTCTTCTTAGGTGTTTACTCTCAATGGATTAAATATATATTTTTTTTCCTTTTTTATTTTCACTGTTTAAAACAAGAATTGTAAGTGGAAACATGGTCCATTTAAAAATTAACATTTTCCATCTTCAATATGCAAATTCAGAAAATTCAATAGTCAAGTGCATTTTCAACCACATTGGTAAACCATGGATAAAAATTAGAGAAATAAGTATTTGACAATTTTGACAAGATTTTCAATTTTTTAACTATCAAACTAAATTCTTCAGTGAAATTAACATACTTTTTCTTCTTATCGATCTGAAAGGTTCTCGCCCTCCTGTTCAAGGCGCCCCTATTATGTTAAAGCCCACTTTTTGCTTCAAGCTGGGAATAAAGTCCAGTCTTTTCACAATTCATGTAAACCACTCCCCTCCCCGGCCCCTTCTAATAAATTAAGATTATAAAATTTGTTTATTTAGTGATTCAGAGCTACAAAGTCTTCCCCTTCATTATCTTCTTCTTCTTGGTCTTCTTCTTCTCTTCTCATCTTCCCTTCCTCTTCTCTTCCCTGTAGGGAACCTTTCATGTCTGCTTAGGTAAGTTGCAGTTTATGATTCACAATTTTCTTCAAACTTTAAAGGATTTTTACAGTATTGACTGCTCATACAATGCTTTTTAGATTTAAAATCTACATTCCCAGGGCTACAAATAAGTGGATGAAGTGTGTCAGCGAGTTTAAAAGCTAAAGCGTTACTACCCTGTACTAAACAATTGATACATCTTTTTTGATCTGTCTGGATCTTAAGCTGAATTTTGGCAATGTTTAAAAAGTTTTTTAAAACAATTAGTGTCTTGCCAGAAAATTTCGAAAGGGAGCTTTAAAAATGAATAATTATTTTATGACATTTTTTTTAGAACTTTACTGCCAGGAGTAGCCTTTGCTGTAATACTGTCTAGGTATACTTTATTATTATTATTATTATTATTATTATTATCATTATTGTTATCATTATTTTTCATATTATTTTTATCTGCTAGCATGCTGGTCAACCTTGTGTCTACCTGGAAACGAACTATTTATACCGTGAACCCAGCAGCTTCCCAGGTTCAATTGTATAATTTGACAACATTTCAAATTTACATTACTTTAGCTTTTAATTAAAATCTAGGATAGGTTTTTATATTATGTGAACAAATTTAAATTATATAACTCAAAAAAATACAGCTTGATATGTTCTCTGTATACGCGTAATTTCAAGTGACCCTCCATGCAAAGATGCAATGCCTGATTTACAAAACTAAAGTGAATTACTTTTATTGAGGCAAGCCACTATTGTTAGAGTTGAGATTAAGAATAATTAATATGTCTTTTTAAGATTTGTTTCTGTATCTCCAATCCAAGCTCAGAATCCTCAGCCGGACTCTTGCTCTCAGCTTTCTGTCTCATTTTTGTCCAGGTTGTCTTTACAAGTTTAAAGTGTTTTTATTTTATTTACAATTTTTAAAAAATTGGAGATTAGCTTTAAAACATACTTGAACAGAAATTGCTTCTTTAGTTAACGAGTGTTAATGTTAACGACCATGGCATTCGTTATTTAGTTATTTATTTATTTATTTATTTATTTAGCAAATTTAGCAGAAACCGGAACAATTATGAATTAACGTAGTGAAAAAAAACTTTTAAAAATGCTCAGATTTATTTTCATTAATAGGCTTTTAGTGCGGTTCGCGCCCATCTTTTATTTCAATTGTGAACATGTTTTCTTTCTTTGTGTACACTGTAAAACAAAAACAATAAAAAATTTCGCAGATTTATAAAAGAAATTTTGTGGATTTTTTAAAATGTTTATAAATAAAATTCTGATGGAGACTCTTTGAAAATTCGATCATCCTTAAACTTTCATTGGGGTTCCGCGAGGTCCCACACAAAATGTGGGCCCGATCGGTTTAGCCGTTTTGATGTTTATTGGATACAGACGGACATCGAGACAATCAAACAGCAGTTGTACAAAATATTTTGTGTAGCTAATAAGGAAATTTATAATATTTTATCTAGATAATTATAACTGGAGTTATCTTGGGTTTAAATCCTCCTGTTCCTCTACTAGTTGACACAACATGGAGATGTCAGGCATTTCAGGCAGAGGTACAGGATTTTACCAAATACGCCGCCAAACTAAATTTAATGTTAAAACAACAACAAAGTAGTTTGTTGGGTCACTTAATAAAATAGGACTGTAATACTTTAACAATTTTCATATTTTGTCGTCGATATTAGATCATTAAAAAACAAATCAAAATCCTCCCTCCAGAATGGAGAATCCAGAATGGAGAATTCAGAATGGAGAATCCAGAATGGAAAATCCAGAATGGAGAATCCAGAATGGAGAATCCAGAATGGAGAATCCAGAATGGAGAATCCAGAATGGAGAATCCAGAATGATTTGAACGATCGAATTAGCGCTCTTGCTGTACAATCAAACACCGTAAATACTTCTCATAGGTCTCAAATGAATCCTGAAAAATTTCTCTCAGCTGAACTACCACGTCGAGCCGGTCACTCCCTTTAATAGGACCTATCGAGATCAATACTTAATCTCGACCTTTTGTTAATCTCCAGATTCATTTCATCTTTAATTAACATCCCGCATGGTGATCGTATACACGCTGAAGTGATAATTGAAATCAAGAGATGAAGCATTGATTCCCAAGATATTTTAAAGTCCCCCATCTCTGTTTAATGGAATTTTTTTTTGCCTGCATATTTTATATATAAATAAGATCATTACAAAAAGTGTTTTTTTTTAATTGTATCAATTTAACTACTAGATTATTATTTTTTTTGCCACTTTTATAGGAAACGAATTGAGTCTTTGCCACAAACTCTGATTTTGAAATCCCAATTTATTTACAACCCATGTGTCGTAGACCTTAGATATTTCAAATTATGAATGGAATTATAGTCTTAGTTGGAGATATCAAAGGTTTACACCATCAGGTTAAAAAGATTTAAGAAGTATAATTTTGAGTTTGTTTATAATTATGAAATTTTTTAGGAGGCTGTCATATTTATGCACAGTTGGCTGTTTGTTTTAACTTTAACCACTGTGGTGGTTGCTTTAGCCTGTCTTAAATACTGTTCTTCTAACGGAGAAGCCAGGTAATACTATATAACTTTAACCACTATGGTTGTTGAATTAGTTTGTCTTAAATACTGTTCTGCTAACAGAGAAGCTAGATAACACTAGATAACTTTAACCACTGTGGTGGTTGAATTAGTTTGTCTTAAATACTGTTCTTCTAACAGAGAAGCTAGGTAATACTAGATAACTTTAACCACTGTGATGGTTGCTTTAGCTTGTCTTAAATACTGCTCTTCTAACAGAGAAGCCGCGTAATATACAGCTTGAGATAGAAACTTCTGAACCGCTCCTCTTGGTGAGATTACCCAATCTTCTTTGAACCACTCCTCTTGGTGAGATTAACCAATCTGATTTGAACCAATTCCCAAACTTTTGAATGCACCATGAGTTGAATTTATTCTCTTCTTTATGCATTTTCCTATATGTTATGTGTATATTCCCAATTGTTAACAAACGAACCAGCATCAATCGACATCCTCCCAAAGAGAACTTTTATTTAAAAGTTTCAATCTTTCTGTAATCTACAATGTACAATTTTTTGTACGAAAGCAGGGGGTGGGGGTTAAACTAGACCCCACCCCCTGTAATTTAGGGTTAATTTGGGTTTACGGACGTTATTAAATAAAATACATTATCAAAACCTTCTCTGAAAGAAAAAAAATATTATTCATAAATGTATTTTTCTCTTTTTTTCCTTAAATATGAATCTTGTTTTTATCTAATATAAAAAATAAGAAGTCGACCTAATACATAATCTTAATACATAATACAGGGTTATCCATAATGCATGACATATAATTTATTTTATCTTGTTTTTTAAAAATATATGTTTGCAAACTTAATTGATTCTAACAATAGTCATGATATATGTTTTATCATTCTTAAGGATGTAAAGAATTAACACAAATATTTTTTTTGTATTACTAATATTGCTAATTCTAGATGGAGCTTGCTGAGCTTACTTGGACTTATCACTATATGGACTACTTGGGGGGTACTCATCAATATACTAGACTACAAATACAGGTAGTAGGGGTGGTCAGGACTTATACGGGAGTACTCATCACTATACTAGACCACAAATACAGGTAGGAGGGGTAGGGAGGACTACTTGGGGGACATTCATCAATATACTAGACTACAAATACAGGTAGGGTAGGAGGGTAGGAGGGATAAGGAGGATTACTTGGGGGACATTCATCAATATACTAGACTACAAATACAGGTAGTATGGGTAACCAGTACTTCTATGAGGGGTACTCATCAATACCCTAGACTAAAAAATACAGATAGAAGGGGTGGTCAGGACTTAAACGGGAGTACTCATCACTATACTAGACCACAAATACAGGTAGGAGGGGTAGGGAGGACTACTTGGGGGGTACTCATCAATATACTTGACTACAAATACAGGTAGTAGGGGTGGTCAGGACTTATACGGGAGTACTCATCACTATACTAGACCACAAATACAGGTAGGAGGGGTAGGGAGGACTACTTGGGGGGGGGGGGTACTCATCAATATACTATACTGCAAATACAGGTATAGGAAGGGGGACAAGTTTTTTTAAACATATTTTTCAATAATCTGGAAAGCAATGGTCTCACTTCTGGACCCGCAACCATGGCGCAACTTTTACACCACCTGGTGGCAAAAAATTATTACTTAGAATTTCTAAATTTGGAAGGCATGTGCCTAGCAATACTTAAGAATTGTGATTTTGCTTTTCAACTATGAAAGAAAAAAATATTTTAAAATTTTTAAATACTTCACAAACAAATTAACTTTAATTGACTGAATGTTTTGTTTTCGTTAAGGAAATATTTGATGATTTTGTGGGTAGTTTTGACAATATTTTTACTATTTGTAGGGAACCCGTTTCAGTCCTTGGTTTAGTAGTCTCAGCATTGGTTGTTCTAGTCTGTGTTTATGCCAGGTGAACATACAAAATCAGAATTTTTTTTTCTTCGTTTATTCATTAAAAACTGCTCATTTAAATGGAAGTGGGAGTGGGACGGGAAAGTAATAACATAGTGTGGTGGGAAAGTAATAACACAGTGTGCTGGGAAAGTAATAGCACAGTGTGGCAGGAAAGTAATAACATAGTGTGAACGGAAAGTAATAAGATTGTGTGAAAGAAAAGTAAAAACATTGTGTGAAAGGAAAGTAATAACATAGTGTGAAAGGAAAGTAATAACATAGTGTTAAAGGAAAATAATAACATTGTGTGAAAGAAAAGTAATAACATTGTGTGAAAGGAAAGTAATAACATTGTGTGAAAGGAAAGTAATAACATTGTGTGAAAGGAAAGTAATAACACAGTGTGGCAGGAGAAAGTAATAACATTGTATGGCAGGAAAGTAATAAGACAGTGCAGCAGGAAAGTAATAACACAGTGTGGCAGAAAAGTAATCACACAGTGTGGCAGGAAAGTAATAACACAGTGTGGCAGGAAAGTAATAACATAGTGTGAAATGGAAAGTAATAACATAGTGTGGCGGGAAAGTAATCACACAGCGTGGCAGGAAAGTAATAACATTGTGTGGCAGGAAAGTAATAACACAGTGCGGAAGGAAAGTAATAACACAGTGTGGCAGGAAATTAATAATAATAAGTAATGATGCAGCGTTGCAGGAAAGTAATGACGGAGTTTGCCAGGAAAGTAATGATACAGTGTGGCGCGAATGCTAAAGTAATAGCGCAGTATGGCGGGATTTTAATGACACAGTGGTAAAGTTATGACATAGTGTGGGCTGTGGCATGAAAGTAATGATAACATGTGTGGTGGTAAATTAATGTCGCAGTGTGGTTGTAAAGTTATGACATAGTGTGGGCTGTGGCATGAAAGTAATGATAACATATGTGGTGGTAAATTAATGTCGCAGTGTGTTTGTAAAGTTATGACATAGTGTGGGCTGTGGCATGAAAGTAATGATTACATGTGTGGTGGTAAATTAATGTCGCAGTGTGGTTGTAAAGTTATGACATAGTGTGGGCTGTGGCATGAAAGTAATGATAACATGTGTGGCGAGAAATTAATGTCGCAGTGTGGTTGTAAAGTAAGGAGTAATTACTTAATGTGACAATAAAGTATTGACACAATGTGTCTGAAAATCATAATTTTTTTCATTTTTCAAATTAAAATCGATTATTCATTCATCTGTATATTTTTAGGAAACTATACGAGCTCTCAGAGTTTGGTAAACTAGACACTAAACTAGAGTTAATGTCAAACATATTACTCAGGAAAATATTTATATTGTTTTTCTTTTCATCTATTAATATCATATCTATTTTGTCTATTTTGTATGGGGTCTGTCAATAAGAGAAACAGTAAACAGCAAGGACATGCAGCGGCGAATACGGGAACTAATAACTTGTATAACATTCGCCGAGGGGAGGAAGGTCAACTACAACATTTTCTCGTCCGAGCCACATTCTCCTCATTCACTCGTCCGAACCACCTTGAAACAACAATTATAAAGAAATTTCTCTTTTTTACTGAACAGGATGGTAAGGCCTGCGGGCTTGTTCACAAACTGTTGTTTATTTTACTTAAGCCTTAAAATATTTTTCTTTCCTAATCTTGATATTGTAAAACTTCGAGATATCAAAATATGAGTTTAACATAATTAATATTTACATTACATTCAAAAGATACTGTGATCAATTTTTACAAGTATGCGGCAAATGTTCAGTTTCTTTCTGCAAGAAGATACCAAGACACGGGCAGCCGTAGTACATTTGAATTTCCGAGCCGGGTCAACCTTTCCGGTTCCAGTTTGTAATGGGTTAAATAATGCAGGCACTCAATAGGACTAGCCGGTGCAACAATGTTGACGCGGTCAGGCTTCAGGTTGAATTTACTTTTACTAAAAGGTCAGAGGTGCGTGTATATGTAAATTGAACATTATCAATTTTAATGTTCCTCTAATAATAATTCTTTTCATAAAATGTTATTGAACATTATTGTTTTTCTTATGTTTCTCCAATGTTGGATGGTATATTTCTTTTTCTCCGTGACTATAGAACCAATAACATTTCTCGTAATGAGCTTATCTTAAATAAGAGTGTTTTTAGCTGTTTACTGTTTCTTTTTAATTAAATAATAGAAACTGTTCTCTAGAGAAAGAAAACCTTTTAAACAATATAAACTATCCCATAGTGAGTCCCCGACACACTCTCAATCTACTACCAGATCTTACGGAACCAATGTACTGCCAGGAATTATAGGTTTTTACCGTTTATAATATTGTACTGGACTGGAATTATAGGTTTGTACAGTTTATAATATTGTACTGCCAGGAATTATAGGTTTGTACAGTTTATAATATTGTACTTCCAGGAATTATAGGTTTGTACAGTTTATAATATTGTATTGCCAGGAATTATAGGTTTGTAAATAATATTGTACTGCCAGGAATTATAGGTTTGTAAATAATATTGTACTGCCAGGAATTATAGGTTTGTAAATAATATTGTACTGCCAGGAATTATAGGTTTGTAAATAATATTGTACTGCCAGGAATTATAGGTTTGTAAATAATATTGTACTGCAAGGAATTAAAGGTTTGTAAATAATATTGTACTGCCAGGAATTATAGTTTTTTAAATTTCATATTATTGTATTGTCAAGGATTACAGGTTTGTACAGTTTATAATAATGTACTGCTAGGGTCTGTAGGTTTGTACAGTAAACATATTGTACTGTCAGGAATTATAGGTTTGTACAGTTTAACATATTGTACTGCCAGGAATTATAGGTTTGTACAGTTTATAATATTGTACAGTGTACTGTCAAGGGTTATAGGTTTGTACATTTAAAATATTGTACTGTCAGGAATTCTAGTTGTACTGTATAGTTTATAATATTGCACGGCACATGGATTTTAGGTCTGTACTGTACAGATATAATATTCCATTCCCAAGGATAATAAGTTTGCACTGTACAGTTTATAAAATTACACTGCCTTATAGGTTTGTATTGTACAGTTTATAATATTTTAACACTATCCATACCGGGGTACTTGACAACCAGGATATGGGGGGGCTCTAAATCCCATGTTTGATGTCCAAATAGGCAAAATTAATACGTCATTGGAAAGCTCTTATGCTCTACTTTTAGAATCTGCCACAAAATCGGCAAATTTTTAGAAATACGATTTTTTGCGCAAAATCTAGCTATTTATGTATCAAATATGTTTGCAACAAAGAAAATGTCCAAATAATGATTAAATTGTAAAAGATTTATTCACACACAAAGATGGGCATACAATACAATAATAAATATACATATGGTGTAGTTATGGTGTAGTTAACATTTTGTTGTTCTTGAGAATATAGCTTACAAAAATATGCAAAATAATATGAAAAAATCAGGCGACATATTTATAATTAATCATTAAATAAAATATCTATCATATCACTAATAAGCACCTATCAGGGTTTAGCTGGCAATAATTGTACTTTGTTTAGCGATGCCTGAGTTTGAAGATAACTCTATACTTGGAGAGGATATTTACCATGCTGTACAGTTTGAGGGTCGACAGAATACTTCAGGTATGTACACTATGATCTCTAAAATGTAGGCACTAATCAATGCTCTTTTTCTTAATCTCCAGATTAAATAATGCTTGTTTTATTATGCAAACTACCCTAAAACGATAAAAAAAATGTACATGTCAAAGCAAAGAGAATAGAATATTTATTAGAGTGGAATTTAGAAAATCCCTTGGTATGAATTTTGTCAGTCCCTTTCAGCCTGAAAGGGCGTACAAAGTGTACAAATCATGTAAATGTTCACAAATTATATGCAATAGAGTACATTAATACAGTATTTTCCCTAGACTATCCACTTCAATTTCAAATTTTTGAAAGCTGTTAAATAAACTTTATAAATTGAATTGGGTGAATAAAAAACATCATTTGATTTATTATAGTTATACGGAAAATCATCGTTTGTAAAGTGAAAGGCATAGAGTCTATGTGAAATGATCATTGGCCTGTTATGAAACCAGCCCATTTCATAATTTGGTTTTCTTTTAATATTAATTTTAGATTTTCTATAAAATGATGTTCCAGGGCCCAAAAGGGTATATATAGCACAAATGTGTGAAGTATACCTACAGTATGGAAACAGTACAACAAAATGGCCGTTTTACACTTTTTTCTAGTAAATTCCCCTCTATTGTATATTCTATTTTCTTTGGTCGTAAGTCGTAACGATCATGGTCGGATTTAAAAAAAAAATTTAATGTGAAAGCTATTGCAAAGTTTAACAAAATACAGTTTTGACATATTTGAAGTTTACTTAATTTAACAACACTAATTTCAGGACCGGTCAATATGAAGATGTTTGAAGTAGAAGCATACACTGACGACAGTGAGGACAAAGGTAGATATATATATATATATATATATATATTACTGAATAACAAGAACAGCTGTGATAGCGCACAATTATTACATTTTAATTTAGCCAGAACCTCTTTAAACACTGCTGGTTGTTTTAAATGAGAGAAATAAGAAAAACTAGCTTTAATTTAGGATATAGTTGCAAAATTCCCCAACAGAGGGAGGTTAGGTTACCTAACGTCCCTTGGGACAGTTATGTAAAATAACCACCCGTTCTGCGTAGTTTTTTAGGAAAAATTTCGCGCATTTTCATCTCAAAAGACTATAAAATTTTTCAAGAAATTGAAAATTTTACTTCGCTGTGCTCTAGGATGTTTTGTAAACCAAATTGGTCTTGGGAACCCTTGGTAAAGTAATATTTCTTTAACTTCCCTGTAAAGTAGTTGTGATATAATTAAAACGATTTATTAACCCTATCCCTGCTGGGGTACTTGAAAACCAGGATACGCTGGGGGGGTAAATTTGACCCCCCCCCCTCTAAATCCCATGTTTTATGTCCAAATATGACAAATGATACATCATTAGAAAGCTCTTGTGCTCTACTTTTAGAATCTTCAAAAAATTTGCAAATTTGCGAAAATTGAATTTTTTATCGCAAAATCCAGTTTTATAGTAAAAATGTTTGCAAAAAAAAATTTGTCCAAAAAATGACAAATTATACATTTTTGAAAAGCCCTTGACCATGCCATTTCAAATATGCAAAAATTTTTGCAAAATTTTAAATAACCTGATTTTTAATCAAGAAAAACTAAAAATGTGCAAATTTCCTTTGACAGGTTGTTTGCAAAAAATTTGCATTTTTTTTTCGCAAAACTTGTGCAATCCGTTTCGTTATGTCATAGGCTTTCCAAAAAGCTAAATTTTATCAAAATCTGATAAGTGAAAAGGGTCATAACAAAGATTTAGTTTGTTACAGGCAAAAGCAGTCATTCAGGCAGTGTGCCTGAGGACTCAGGCAGTTAGTATTAAAGCTCGGTTTTAGGCCTAAAGGGAGGGCTTTCGGTATGTAAGAAAAGTCAGAAAATTTCAACAGCCTCAGACCAATACTTTTTGATTTATATAAAAAAAAACTACAGGGGGGGGGGGGCAAATTGACCCCCCCCCCAGCGGGAATAGGGTTAAGAGATCTTTAAAACGAACCGTAAAAACACTAGTTATAGAACATATGTTTTAAAAACATAGAAAATTGATACTGAAAACTATGACTTTGATAGATTAAATATTCAAAGTTTGAATTGGAAAAAGTTTTCTAAAATAAAAGTGTTTTCAGACGAGTTATCAGATCCATTGTTCCTTTAAAGAAGAAATCTTTTATAGATCGTATTTTGTTCGATGAGATTAAACTACTTAATTATCATTCAAAATCAACATATTCAATGGATCTATCCTTATACAATTTCCAACGGTTTAATTGAAAATAAAAATAAGAATTTTACTAAATTAAAATTTAGATTTTGAGAGAAACTCTGGATTTGACACGGATACGGTTCGTAGTCCTACGATATCCCGGTTATATAAAGAGGAAGATGAGGGAGGAGAGGTGGACAGTATATATCATACCATCAGTCGAGGGGTCAGCTATACACCTGTACTCAAGAAAATAGGATCTAGGTAATACAATTTAGTTTTTCACCTGGCTTAGTAAAATATTTAAGTGTTTTTTTTTTCACGACAAATTAAAATAAAAAATTGAGTTTTTGTCACAAAAGTAGATTTTCTAATCCCAAAATGTTTGCAGCCAGAGGCTGAATTTAATGAATTGCAATCGCGTCGCTGAACCGCCAATCGTCGGCGCTGGCTCAAATCTTGTAACATTCAAATTTTAAGTTGAGACATTCATTTTTGAACCGCGTCTAATAAAGGTCTCCGAGAGCAGGTTGTAAAGATATAGGAATTAGAATTTGTGGCAAAACTCGATTCCTTTTTATTTTTGATTGAAATCTTGCATATTTTCGGGTCAATTTATTTTGTTACAGAAAATCGATTCAAAACATTTTTTCTACTAACTAACTCTTCAATTGAAGGAGTTCTGAGTGAAAACATTTAAGGTTTTATCTCAGGTGCAATTGTCACTTAAGCTTGACGTGGTTTGCATTAAATAGGGTATTTGGAAGAAATTGTAAAAAAATGTATAAGATAAAAAAGCCTTTGTATATATAAAAATACAAATATTGATTGCGTAATAATGCGTATTCTGCAACGCATTTTGACGTAAAAGCGTATGTAATCCAATGTGATTTAGCATGCCCTGTAAATTTCCATTCTCAAAAATTGATATTTTCTTAGATTCAATATTAAAATAAAACAATTTAAGAAAACTGATCGTTCAACAAGTTTTTTTTGTTTTTTTTTGTTTCTAGTTATACAATTAAATAGAAATAGTAGATTGAAAATTTAATTTATGAAAAATAAGCTATTAAAGCGACAGTAAAAATATTGGTAAATGGGTAATATTAAAAGTTTCAAATTCATTAAAAATATTCTAGCATAACCAAGGTTATAATGCAAGGAAAGTTATTTCAGAGGTGTACGCATTTTTTGTACTGTCTTTGGGCGGATACCAGACGAACACTGATGCATCTATTCTTCTTTACGAATTCCACCTAGAGAGAACTGGTTTCAATATGTACGCAGATTATACGCGACCGCAATTAACTTTCCTTGCAGTAGTACCTTGAGCATAACTTTCTACTTTTTATTCTAAGGTTTCTCTTTATCTCTTCTTCTAAGGAATATTTGATTAAATTAATCAATGAAAAATGGAATATTGATTTTCATTATTGTTACTATTATTATTATTATTATTATAATTATGTTAATAAAAAACATCATTTGATTTATTATAGTTATACAAAAACTACACAAGAAATATTTCTGGAGGAAGTGCAATATTATTCATTTATTAAAATATCAGATATTTGTAAAGAAATATATAATAGAAGATAAATGTATATATTTATACAAGTTCGTAATAAATTGAAATTAATATAATTGAATATTGTTTATAATCTCTAAAACAAAATTTGTGTAGAATTAAGTGTTCAAAAGAAATTTTATTTACTTCGTTTGCTTTAAAATTTCAATATTTAAAAATTTTGTTATCTGTGTCCTATGCCCAGTTTCCTGTGTCTTGTATTCTGTATCCTGTATTCTATCTTTGTCCTGTTTTATTCATTAGTATCTTTATCCTGTATCTTTATCCTGTATCTTTATCCTGAATATTTATCCTGTATCTTTATCCTGTATCTTTATCCTGTATATTTATCCTGTATCTTTATCCTGTATCTTTATCCTTTATCATTATCCTGTATCTTTGTCCTGTATATTTATCCTGTATCTTTATCCTGTATCTTTATCCTGTATCTTTATCCTGTTTCTTTATCCTTTATCATTATCCTGTATCTTTGTCCTGTATATTTATCCTGTATCTTTATCCTGTATCTTTATCCTGTATTTTTATGTTGTATATTTATCCTTATCCTGTACCTTTATCCTGTATATTTTGTCCTGTATCAATTTATCCTGTATTTTGTATCCAGTAACCTTTTCCTGTTTGAATCATTATTCTATATTTTTATCATGTATTCTGTATCCTGTATCCTTATCTTGTACAGAACAGTGCACTGTACAATATACTTATTTGCATATTGCATCTATCTTGAACTACTAGACTTGTTAAACAACATTAATTCCCAGTCTTGATTCTTACAAGTTGTATGTTCTAAGTGGGTACTTAGAAGTTCCAGTATTTGTGAGTACCCTGAGCAATGTTCATCCCAACTCCAGGTCCTCGATTCAATACAGAGAAAACACCGAACCTGTATTCACGAGGGAAACTGGGAGAGGAGAAGGAGAAGAGAGGTTCAATTATCTCTGGTTTCTAAACTATTAGTCTCTCTAAACTCTTCTAGCAAACCTATTCTCCAGAACAACACCTGCAATAATGGAACTAAAGGGACTGGACACACATTTAATGAATTTTTAAAGTTGTTTTTTAAATACCTCTTTCACTGTAAACCCCGGTTCATTTATAGTACCGGACCGAGTTTAACCAACTAAGCTTTCGGTGTGTTCTGTGCTAATTTGCTGTATACTCAGACCAAAGAATTAACGGGGGTTTAGTGGAGGAGAGTGACATATATACGTTTATTATTTTTTGAAGAGAATATACAGGGAGACCCAAAAATCTATAGAATAAGAAAAAAACTGTTAGACAAATTGATTCGTAGAAATTTCCAATAAATCTATTTAATAAAACAAGACATTCGTATATATATATATGTTGCGTATAGCCGGCCAAACGGCTGGACTGATTGGGCGGAAAGTGTTTCTGTACAGTCATGGGTGGCCGGGGGGTGTTATAGGCTAAAAAAAAATAGAATTTTTTCTTTCAATTTATTTTCTTTTAAACTTTTTTTTCCACGCGCATTGCCGGGCTCTTCAGCTAGTATGATATAAATACAGTGTGCAGTGTAAACAAACCCACTGCACTTGATCTATTAATTTTTAAACTATTACTGCCTATAGTATTAAAACTGTTTGCTTTGAAACAACACTTGGAAACACTTCAGATTGTTTAAATATCGGCTTATTATTCCACAGTTTTTTTAATCTCTCTGTATATTTGTAGAGCGACAACAAAATTGGTGAATCATATTTTAAAGTGATTAATCGGTTGATATACAGTGTCTTGAGAAATTGAAAACGATGCCATTAAAATCTAAATCTTTAGGTTAAAAGAAAAATAACACAATAAAGAACTCTTGAAAACTCTAATTCTGTGACAAATAAAATGGGGTTTGGAACATAAAATAATTGTCAAAAACATATGGATTTATCTAAAAATACCATATTTTACATTTCAGTCACTGTTTTATTGGCTTTTTAAAAACCAAGTACAATTTATTGTAACTTTATAGTTTCAGAATTGCAAAAAAAATACATTTCAGTTTTCTGACAATTTTTAAAGAAGAACATTTTTTTTTGAAATTTTAGATATTTCTATTGATTCACATGTCATACAATTTTAAATATTTCTATTGATTCACATGTCATACAATTTTAAATATTTCTATTGATTCACATGTCATACAATTTTAGATATTTCTATTGATTGACATGTCATACAATTTTAGATATTTCTATTGATTCACATGTCATACAATTTTAGATATTTCTATTGATTCACATGTCATACAATTTTAGATATTTCTATTGATTCACATGAAAAAGAATATCGCTGAAAGATCTCGTTGAGAAAAACTCTATTTTATCTCCTGTTCCTTTGAAACCTTTGACGTTAGCGTCCAAACAATGTTTTTCCGATTGAAAGATCTATTTTTTTCTTGTTAGAGAGTCGAATAAAACACTAAACACTCACTTAAAGTAATAAATATTTAAATTAAGACAAAGGTGGAAGATAAGTCTAAAATAAAAATAAATGTTTGGCAATATTTTTTTTAAATTTACCATTAAAAATATCAAAACATTTTCTTGTTGCTTGGTTCTTGTTGCTTTACAATGAACAATGAAAAATGAAGAAGGTATCATTATTACACGATGGAGGAACTGCAATCTTGAATGCAATTGATTCCGATATTGATTGCGGGCACTTTTTAATTTGAGTATTTTAGGTTCACAAAACAAACAGGTCTAACTGAAGATAACTGCTCGTAAGATTGAAAATGATTGAAATTGATTGAAATTGATAGAAATTAATTTAAATTGATTGAAATATTTTTTTGTCCCAACTCATCTTATTCTATTTAAAAGATTAAAAATAATTTGAATTTCTAATAAAAACCGAGAAAAAAATATTTCTTATACTTGTTGAAAAAAAAATTCTTTTTTTTTCTTCATTTTTGTTGCTCTGGTTAATTGTTATGATCCAAACATTCGATAAAAATAATTCAAGATGTTCATGTTAAAAAAGGCAAATGCCGGTAACGAAACGATCGTTCCGTTCTTACCTTTAAAATTAACGGCTACCTGAAATTTTTTTTATGGTTGGAACTAACAGTTGACGAAAAAGGCTAGACAAATTTGGAACGTGCCCAGCCCTACAGCGCCAAAACTTCTTGTCAGTAATGTTGCATTCATTTGAATTTCTTCTTTTATTTACAATACAACCCAAAGTTTTGAAATTTAGGAAATTTCTTGCAGTTTTTTGTTTTTTTGATCTGAAACATCAAACATTACAGAATATGCACCATTCAACACAAACAACAAAAATTAACCAAATGAACCAAACAAAGAATTTTTCTCAAAAAATAAATAGTACATTTATATCTATTTTTTTTATTTTTTCTGTCTAGATATAACTAACTTCATATTTTTAATTTAAAATACCTAAAACTAAACAACAAAAGAATTAAATTTAACTATTCCAAACTTATGAAAGCAATTGTAATGGTTTTAAGTCAAATTATAAAGCTTTAAAATGGTAATTGTGTGTGAAGCGAAAACAATTTTCTTGGGATTAAGAATACAGAGCTTAATTTCACAAGATAGATTTAGATTACAAAATATCTAGGGTTTCATGGATGTAAGTATACAGAGTTCAGAATATAATAATCATGGTTTCAGAATATAAATATCTAGGATTCAGAATATAAATATCTAGGATTCAAAATATAAATATCTAGGATTCAGAATATAAATATCTAGGTTTCAGAATATGAATATTTAGGTTTCATAATATAAATATCTAGGATTCAGAATATAAATATCTAGGATTCAAAATATAAATATTTAGGTTTCAGAATATAAATATCTAGGATTCAGAATATAAGTCTAGGTTTCATAATATAAATATCTAGGTTTCAGAAAAGGTAAACCTGGAATATAAAATGGTTTCTGTCTCCGGAAGAATACGATTAAAAGAAACGTTAAAAAATCCAGAATTTGGTTCAGTTGATAGGATTGATAACAATCCTGTGAGAGAAAAAGGTGAGCCTTCTAAATTCTTCACGTTTATACCACGCGTATTCAACGTTAGACACTGACGAATTTCTTAACCCTATACCTGCTGGGGTACTTAAAAACCAGGATACGCTAGAGGGGGAGGGCGAGGGTAATTGGACCCCCCCCCCCTCTAAATACCATGTTTGATGTCCAAATATGACAAATGATACAGATTTGGAAAGTTGTAATGTTTTATATGAAAGAATCCACATTTGCTAAATTCACAACTAGGGTTGTTAATCGTTTTTGAAAACGATCATTAAACGATCGTTTTTTTCGTTTTCCTATCGTTTTTTGTTTCGTTTTCCGATCATTTTAAAAACAATTGTTTTAAAAACTTAAGAAAACGATAGTTTTTAAAACGATCGGAAAACGAAACAAAAAACGATAGGAAAACGAAAAAAACGATCGTTTTTCAAAAAAAATGAAAATGTTAACATCCCTATGCACAACGCAAAACTAGTTCACACGCTCGACTAATATTACACAAGAAACACGAAACAAATACTTTATTAAATAGTCAAAGAAAACGAATTATTGGTTGAGCTATGAATTATGTACACAAATATCCTAGACAGTCACGATCATGATTCTTCTCCTCCTCTTCCGTCGGATCATCGTAGACTAACTCCTTCTCCTCTTATGTTGACCAGCTCCTTTTCTCCGAGAATCCCCGATCTTCCGGATTCTCAGGTGAATCGTTGACCGGTATTCCTGACTCTCCATGGGCCCCACTTGGCGCGCGTGGGGCTAAGAATAACTATACACAATACAGTTGAGGGAAGGGATATATTTTTCCCCCTTGAACTATTTACAACACCAAAAGATCACTTTATCAGTTATTACAGTAGGAAATACCTACTCCATAACAATTTACTCAAGACGCATCTGTCCAGGTCTATCAGTTAACACAACAAACAGAACCTGCTCTAAATACCACTGCAACAGCTTCAGACCAATACTTTTTGAGTTATGTAAAAAAAACTGCATGGAGGGGGGAAAATTGACCCCCCCCCCCAGCAGGAATAGGGTTAAAGTGCCTTTGCTTTCATTAGCTGTCCAGTTCTTTAACGAGATTTAACAAGAGTATAGAAAACGAAAATTAACGAGATTATCTCTCAAGAAGTGTACGCCCGTTTATCGAAATTCCCATCCTTATTTTCAGTAACAGTTGTTTTCCTTCTTTAACGAACTGGACGTTATTTTCGTTTGTTAACGGAATCTTCCGTAAATATATTTTCGTTTACGTTTGTTAACGGAATCTTCCGTAAATATATTTTCGTTTACGTTTGTTAACGGAATCTTCCGTAAAATTTAGAAAATGACCCCCATCTATTGACTAAATAATAAAAAGGTTGATGACACAAGGTATGAGACTAACCCTCCCGTTCTTAACCTTCTCCCTTTTCCCATCTCCCATCTCCCTCTCCCATTCCACCTCTTTAGCCATTCGCCTTCCATTTCCCCTTACAACCCTCNTAAGCTTCATACTCAGCTTGACATATTTAAGATAAAGTAATGTGAAAAAATCTTAATCCATCTTGCACCTCCCTTTTTAATAAAAGCCTAGTAATAATTTATGTTAAGAAGACGTGATGCAAACATATAACATCCCCTTCCCTTTTCTCCCTCATCATTCTCCATCCATCACCCTTCATTAATTACTAAAACGTATTTTCAAGGGATCGTTCAACCAAAGATGGCAATACGTCCGATTCACAACAGTAGCCTTGAGATAATGTCGTTTTTTCAGGTTTAAAAGTGTTTATCTTCACTTTTGTAGAGAAACCACAATTCAAATTAATAAGTTTTTAAATTACAAATATTGATATATCATTCATATATCTTGAAAAGACAAAGCTTTAAGGGTACTCTTGTCAATTTTGCTTTTAGGGTCACTTGAAAATACGCTTACAGTCCCTTTTTAAAAAATGTTTAGATAACGTACTGCGAACCTGTTCTGTAGACGGGGGAGCACCCGGACAAAAGTAAGGAAAACTTCTTTCAAGGGAATAAGCTTTACAACAAAAGGACACGCAATATTTCCGCTGTAGTCGGCTTGGGAACTTTAACACTTTAAAGCCGAGCATTAGGGGGTAATGCTCGGTTTCTGCCTTACAGAAACCCCAACTTTTCATTGAAGGCCCCCAGATTATCATTAGGACCCCCAGCTCTTTATTGAGACCCCAGATTTTCGTTGCAGACCCCAAGAATTTCAATGAAGACCCAACGATTTTCGTTTAAGACCCCCAGAATTTCATAGTATACCCCCAGATTCCAATTGAAGCCCCCAAGAATTTAATCGGAGACCCCAGAATTTCATTGGAGACCTCCAGAATTTTAAGGAACCCACAGAATGTTATGGGAAACCCCAAGATTTTCGTTGAAGACTTCAAGATTTTCATCAAAGACCCGCAAATTTTCGTTGAAAAACCCAAGATTTGCATTTGAGACCCCAAGATTTTCATTGGAGCCCCCCATATTTTCATTGGACACCCCAAAATTTTCATTGTAGACCCCAGACTTTTCATTGGAGACCCCAGAGTTTTGTTGGAAACTTTAAGATTTTCGTTACATACTCCCAGATTTTCTGTGGAGACCTTATAAAATTCATTGGAGCCCAAGATTTTCTTTGGAGACCTCCAGATTTTCATTGGAGAACCCCATAATTTTTTGGGGCACCCCAAGATTTTCATTGGAGACAACTTGATTTGTATTGGAGACCCCAGATTTTCATTGGAAACCCAAAATTGTGGTTTAAATACAAAAACGTGGGGACTTAAGAGTTCTCCATGAAAATCTTTGAGTCTCCAATTGATTTAAAACGCAAAGTATGGGATTCTAAATGAAAATATTGGGGTCTCCGAAAAAAAATTTGGTTCGTAATTAAAGATATTTGGGATCTTCAATAAAAATCTTAAGGTCTCAATTAAAAATTTTGGGGATCTTCAATGAAAATCTGGGGGTCTCCAATGAAAAATTGGGGCTCTCAAACGAAATGGCCATAATGTTTCTATAGGGCAGAAACCGAACATTACCTCTCTAATGCTCAGTTCCTATAAGGCAGAAACCGAGCATTACCTCTCTAATGCTCAGTTCCTATAAGGCAGAAACCGAACATTACCTCTCTAATGCTCAGTTTCTATAAGGCAGAAACCGAGCATTACCCCCTAATGCTCAGTTTCTATAGGACAGAAACCGAGCATTACCCTCTAATGTTCAGTTTCTATAGGACAGAAACCGAGCATTACCTCTCTAATGTTCAGTTTCTATAAGGCAGAAACCGAGCATTACCCCCTAATGCTCGGTTTCTAAACCGAGCATTACCCTCTAATGCTCAGTTTCTATAGGGCAGAAACCGAGTATTACCCTCTCATGCTCGGTTTCTATAGGGCAGAAACTGAGCATTACCTCTCTAATGCTAAGTATCTATAGGGCAGAAACCGAGCATTAACCCCTAATGCTCGGTTTCTATAGGGCAGAAACCGAGCATTACCCTCTAATGCTCAGTTTCTATAGGACAGAAACCGAGCATTACCCCCTAATGCTCAGTTTCTATAGGACAGAAACCGAGCATTACCCTCTAATGCTCAGTTTCTATAGGACAGAAACCGAGTATTACCCTCTAATGCTCAGTTTCTATAAGACAGAAACCGAGCATCACCTCTCTAATGTTCAGTTTCTATAAGGCAGAAACCGAGCATTACCTCTCTAATGCTCAGTTTCTATAAGACAGAAACCGAGCATCACCTCTCTAATGTTCAGTTTCTATAAGGCAGAAACCGAGCATTACCTCTCTAATGCTCAGTTTCTATAAGACAGAAACCGAGCATTACCCTCTAATGCTCAGTTTCTATATGGCAGAAACCGAGTATTACCCTCTCATGCTCGGTTTCTATGAGGCAGAAACTGAGCATCACCCCCATAATGCTCGGTTTCTATAAGGCAGAAAATGCTTGGTTTCTTTAAGGCCTAAATTTAGCATTACCCCCTCTAATGCTGGGTTTCAAGGTCGAGAAAGTGTTTCAGAACTCCAACTGTATTAAATATACGGTCTCTTGAAGTGACGTCTACAGTCCAGTAATCCCTTGGAATTTAAAGAAACAGTAACATTTTAAAATTGTTGTTTCATTTTTTTTACTGTAAGACATAAAAAGTCTTTAAGTAAGAAATTGTTTAAATCTTTTGAGAGTAGAGTTAAGAGGAAAATACTATTTCTCTAGAATTTATAATGAAGTTGGAATTAGCAAATTCTTTCTAAAATATTTTTCAGCGAACAATTTTAATATGATTAAATTCTGAAGTGTTCCTGGAAATACAGGGTTACCCACAAATAATGAGACTGCCTTGAAAAAAGTCTTTTAATGGGTTATTTGTTATTATTATTAAAAACCATATGTTTCTGTTGACCCTTCTTTCAGGTTTAAATTTTTAAGTGTATGCCCCTCAATCAATATTTAACTAGACAATTTTTAATTCAAACCTAGACTTTTTGAATTAACAGAATTCATAGCAAGATAAAAAGCAAGTTTTAATCCACTTTTACAAAAGAGTTATCAACTGCTTGCATTATAATACTAAAAACATTTACATGCATTGGATACATACCCTTGCTATAATATTGAGATAAATATAAAATAGTATAAAAATACCCTTGCTATAATATTGAGATAAATATAAAATAGTATAAAAATACCCTTGCTATAATATTGAGATAAATATAAAATAGTATAAAAATAAAATATGATTTTAGGGCAATGAGTATGAGACAAATGAAAACATATTCAACAGAGAAACTGATCAAAAAAACATTCAGGTAGGATCAAGATCAGGATCAAGATCAGGATCAAGATCAGGATCAAGATCAGGATCAAGATCAGGATCAAGATCAGGATCAAGATAAGGATCAAGATCAGGATCAAGATCAGGATCAAGATCAAGATCAGGATCAAGATCAGGATCAAGATCAGGATCAAGATCAGGATCAACTCTATGAGAAAAAATAATTTTTTGTTAATTATTTTAAGAAAAGGTATATTAAAACTTTTTAAATCTGAAATTTTCAAAACTGCCGGTATAGAGGCCAGAGCCTATATTTGACTGAGAAAATATGACCAGTTTATATTACTATTATTATTACTATGAGAACTGTTATAGATATTTATTTTTGTTTAGAAACACCCGGCACATGGATAAACCAAAGAAACAGCTGAGTTTGGATAAACCTAAAAAATCTTCGCTGAGAAAAGGTTGACTATTTGATTTAAAAAAAAAAAAAAGTCGGATACCTTTTATTTAGGGTCAAAATTATTATTATTCCGACCTTTTAAGTGCGAGTGCAGATGGATTTTTTGTGTGTCTGATTTTAAAAATTTTGGTTTATTTGTTATTTAAAAAATGCAAACAATCCAATTAAAGGGAGTGTTCGCGAAAAATGAAAGGGGGTATATAGGCTTACAGGTAAAAAATAATCGATGACTTTTGTTTGTAATATCTGATCTATTTGTTTGGAATAAAAATGATTATTTTACGATCTGAGTTAAATGTTGCAACTTTATAAATTTGTATGGACGCTTTGTTCTTCAGCATGAGTCCTTATAGACGCAACAGATGGAAGTAAGGTAGCGATCAAAAGTAGTTATTTTTCGCCGTTCCCTCTTTCATTTTTCGCAAACACTCCCTTTAATATCGATTGTTCTTGTACAAGACATTCTTACTCTTTATTATTTTGATGTTTGATCATGAAATTCATCCATCAATCATTTTTTGAATTCAATTAACAACCTTAATTGCAATTCATTGTGAGTACTCAAAAAAAATTAAGTTCTTCTCTCAACTATTATAATTCTAAAACCCTTATATCTTTCCAACCTGTGTTGATTTAAACATTTAAAAGTTCAAACTTAGAGTATTTGATGAAACATACTTCATAGTTGGAAATATCAAAGATCTACACGACAATGGCTTAAATTTGCAAAGATAAAGGGAGTTGTGGCATGAACACAGTTTGTTACATATTATTATTGTTATGTATTTTTATGCTTGTTTGTCTCAAATTATTATTTACAAATTTATTTAGACTTACACGAAGCTAAGAGAGCATTCTCAGTAGATGTAGGATGTCCACCAAGGAATTTAACCAAATTAAAAAAAATGTCAAGTGCAATTAAGAAAAAAATGTATAGTGCATTTCTTTAGAAAGGTTGTCTGAAGGTTAAATAGTAATCAACTTTAATTTATATTCTGAGGTGTGAACTCTTGTAATGTGAATATGGAGATCAATGCCTTATCATGCTCTTTTGTTAACCTGCGGTTCAATTTGATCTTTATGCAATATCCCCGCATAATGATAATACCTTCGAATATTAAGTAAACTATAGAGATTAAAAATATTGATCCTCTAATTAAAAGTGTCCACGACGGATATCGAGATCAAAATTTTGCGTATCCAAGTTCCCAGCTCTTCTTGACCCAAATCTCACACCAAACGAAGAAGTTCATTTCAATTACACTGGTTCGACATTTGTGGCATATAACCCATTTTAATGCTACACGGTCTCTGGAGCGAAAAAAAACACTTTGTTCTTACCAATACCTCTTGATAAAAGGAATTGAGTTTAAAATTTTGTAAATTTTCAAACTAAATGGACTGTGTGTTTGAAGAATATACCTAAATTTTATCAGTTTTTAAAGTCGTCTTTTATTCAACAGTTGAAAGGGTCTGGTGTACATGTGTATGAAGTTTTAATGTAATTTTGTCAGATCTAATTTTAACTTTAACTTTGGTCAAATTTTGCCAGACAAAAACTTCCGTTCCATGTGAGGTAATATAAGTTTTAAACGTATAATTTTTTTTAATGTTTAACATGGCGTTTTGTTAAATAAAACAAATTCTGAAAACGTATCCACCCCCAAAGTAGGAGTTTTGAACGTCGAATTTGCGCTCAAACTCAGGATTTAATATGTTTCAAATGATTCCGAAAGAAGTTTTTCACAACACTGCATACTCAGTTCAACTACCTTACATAGCCGGCCACTTCCTTTATAATTTTATCAATTATTCTTCTTGTTTACTAAGTTTTGGAGATGGATATTCGGAAGATCTTGAGGACGAGGACGAGACACCAGGTATTTAAAGTGAATGTTCACGTCATTAAATAATCCTCTTTTAAAGGGACTGTTCACGTAATTAAATAATTCTCTCTTAAAGGGACTGTTCACGTAATTAAATAATTCTCTCTTAAAGGGACTGTTCACGTAATTAAATAATCCTCTCTTAAAGTGAATGTTCACGTAATTAAATAATCCTCTCGTAAAGGAACTGTTCACATAATTAAATAATTCTCTCTTAAAGGGACTGTTCACATAATTAAATAATCTTCTCTTAAAGGGACTAATAACATAATTAAATAATCCTCTCTTAAAGGGACTGTTTACGTAATTAACCCTTTCTCTGCTGGGGAACTTGAAAACCAGGATATGCTGGGGGATCAATTTGACTCCCCCCCCTCTAAATCCCATATTGATGTCCAAATATGACAAATGATAAATCATTGGAAAGCTCTTGTGGTCTACTTTTAGAATCTGCAAAAAAAACTTGCAAATTCGCAAAAATTAAATTTTTTATTGCAAAATCCAGTTATATAGTAAAAATGTTTGCAAAAAAAGAAATTTGTCCAAAAAATGAAAAATTATACAATTTTGAAAAGCCCTTGACCATGCCATTTCAAATATGCAAAAATTTTAAATAACCTGATTTTTAATCATGAAAAACTAAGAATGTGCAAATTTCCTTTGACAGGTTGTTTGCAAAAAATTTGCATTTTTTTCTCTCTCAAAACTTGTGCAATTCGTTTTCTTATGTCAAAGGCTTTCCAAAAAGCTAAATTTTATCAAAATCTGACAAGTGGAAGTGGGTCAAAAAAAAATATTTAGCTTGTTACAGGAAAAAGCAGTCATTCAGGCAGTGTGCCTGAGGACTCAGGCAGTTAGTATTAAAGCCCGGTTTTAGGCCTAATGGGAGGGCTTTAGGTATGTAGGAAAAGTCAGAAAATTTCAACAGCCTCAGACCAATACTTTTTGAGTTATGTAAAAAAACTACAGGGGGGTCAAATAGGACTATAGGGTTAAATAATCCTCTCTTAAAGGAACTGTTCACGTAATTAAATAATCCTCTCTTAAAGGGACTGTTCACGTAATTAAAAATCCTCTCTTAAAGGGACTGTTCATGTAATTAAATAATCCTCTCTTAAAGTGAATGTTCACTTAATTAAATAATCCTCTCTTAAAGTGAATGTTCACGTAATTAAATAATCCTCTTTTAAAGGGACTGTTCACGTAATTAAATAATCCTCTCTTAAAGGGACTGTTCACATAATTAAATAATCCTCTCTTAAAGTGAATGTTCACGTAATTAAATAATCCTCTCTTAAAGTGAATGTTCACGTAATTAAATAATCCTCTCTTAAAGGGACTGTTCACGTAATTAAATAATCCTCTCTTAAAGGGACTGTTCAGGTAATTAAATAATTCTCTCTTAAAGGGACTGTTTACGTAATTAAATAATCCTCTCTGAAAGGGACTGTTCACGTAATTAAATAATCCTCTCTTAAAGGGACTGTTCACATAATTAAATAATCCTCTCTTAAAGGGACTGTTCGCGTAATTAAATAAATCAATCTTAAAGGGACTGTTTACGTAATTAAATAATCCTCTCTTAACGGGACTGTTCACATAGTTAAATAATCCTCTCTTAAAGGGACTGTTCGCGTGATTAAATAATCTTTTCTTAACGAAACTGTCGTCGTGATGCCGATTTTATCTATCATTTAAAAAAGAGGGATATGCCTGATTCTCAACAGTACCCTTGGCATTTTATCTTTTCAATACTGTGAGAGTTATTGCCGTTTTTTCTCCTTGAAAAAATGTGATCTAGATTTTTCCAGAAGCTAAAATCTACAAGTCAATTTTGTACAGTGTAACTAACAAATATGAATACATCGGAAGAATTTTTAAAATGTCGTCTTTATCACTATTCACTTGGTTATGTCACTGAGAATTATATGATATGTACTGTAGCGCCAACTATATGAAGCTGTTGGATAACATGTGCCGTGTATTTCGGAGCTATTTATTTATCTTTACAAAAAAATATTTTAGAAAACTTTCATTCTCGATAAAAATGTTGGCTCTATCTACACACAAAATTTATTATGTTTTAGTAAACTATATATATCCTTGCAAAGCAAAATTGAAAGTAATCTTTTTTCAAAAGTGTTAAAACATGGATATCTATTTCATTTTTAATCAAATTCATCTTTTGTGAATCGAACTATTGAAGGGTTACTTGAAATTACATTTACAAACGCTTTAACTTTAAAATATCAGGGAAAAATAATGGAAATATATCTCTATTTGTAATTAAATAGAACTTTATACTTTTAATATAAAAAATACACATAATATTTCGGATTAGACTTATTACTAAAGGGAGTGATTACGAAAATTTTAGTTTTCCTATATAAAACAATTATAGAGATATCCTTGGTTCCTGATTTGAAAACTGACAATTTTAAATTACCAATTTTCTTCTCAATTAATGTCTAGCAGATTTTTGCATCAGAATCTCAGACTATTTTTGCATCAGAATCTCAGACTATTTTTGCATCACAATCTCAGACTATTTTTGCATCACAATCTCAGACAAGACGCAGCAGATAGAAGTAAGATTAGTAGCGATCAAAAGCGCTTTTTTATCGCATTAAGCCTATACCCCCTTTCATTTTTCGCGAACACTCCCTTTATAACCTTTGTTGTAACTTAGTGAGACTTGAATATTTATATCTCAGTTCGTTTAATATTACAAAATATTACAAAAAAGATTAGGATTGAAGATTATGGTAAATATATTTTCTGTATTAGGAATCAAATCATATTTTTAATTACAATCCAGAGCTTACTTTATCAAATATTTCACCATTATACAATTATATTTGTTAAACTACTTTCATTTCCTTGTTAATTTATCCGCCTACAGTGGGCAACTATATTATTTAAACCCTTTCTGGACAAAGCATGCAACTATTTAACACCTTTGTGGACATAATGGGCATTTCCTTAGTGGGCAAAGTATTAACTATTAAACCTCTAGTTGGCAAAATGGGCAACTATTAAACCTCTAGTGGGCAAAATGGGCAACTATTAAACCTCTAGTGGGCAAACTGTGCAACTATTAAACCCTCTAGTGGCCAAACTGTGCAACTATTAAACCCTCTAGTGGGCTAAGTATTCATCTATTAATTCCACTTTTGGGAACAGTATGCAACTATCAAACTCATTAGTGGGCAAAATGGGCAATTTTTTAAACCTTACAGCAATTTTTCAACCAGTTAGCATTTGTTTCGCGTTTTCAATTATGATCATTACGATGTTTTTAAGAACGCGTTTGTATGCCTTCGTTAATTGTTCAGAACGATGGCAATTGTTACCGGAAATCCCATTCTTTCATTTAAAGAGATACAAGGGTGCAGAACTAGAGATGGGCATCTCTAGATTATCTGGAGAACTAAAGATGCATATCTCTAAAGTAACTAGAGAGAACTAGAGATGCATATCTCTAGAGAAACTAGAGAACCAGAGATGCATATCTCTAGAGTAACTAGAGAGAACTAGAGATGCATATCTCTAGAGTAACTAGAGAGCTAGAGATGCATATCTCTAGAGTAACTAGAGAGAACTAGAGATGTATATCTCTAGAGTAACTAGAGAACTAGAGATGCATATCTCTAGAGTAACAAGAGAGCTAGAGATTGGTATCGCTAGAGTAACTAGAGAACTAGAGATGGGTATCTCTAGAGTAACTAGAGAACTAGAGATGGATAATTTTTGCATCACAATCTCAGACTATTTTGCATTTTGCATCACAATCTCAGACTATTTTTGCATCACAATCTCAGACTATTTTTGCATCACAATCTCAGAATATTGTTTGAGAAATCAGAGAAAGGAAATTCTAGAGAAAAACACTTCGCTGTCTTCCTCATTATTTCTCAGAAAAAGATTAAAAGGTGTACCGTTCGTAGCGAATAGGATGGTCATGTGAAATAACGCAAACAGCCCCTTTAATGATAAATTGTGGAGACCTGTAGATATCGGCTTCCAGTATTGAAGCTCAACTTACCAAACCAAACATATTTAATAGTACCTTAATGGGAGTGTTCGCGACAAATGAAAGGGGGTATAGGCTTAATGCGATAAAAAGCGCTTTTGATTAATTTAATTCCAAACAAATCATTCAGATATTACTAACAATAGTCATCGATCATTTTTCGACGCATTCGTAAATAGTTGATATTTCATTTTATTTTGTATTTTTCATGATCTGAGAGTTACTTTTGAAAACATTTTTTTGATAATGAAGACGACATTTTTCGAAAATCCAGCGCCAGCGAAAATTATTTAAAAAAAAAAAAATTCAAAAATATTATGAAATATTAACTATATAAGAATGCGTCGAAAAATAATCGATGACTACTGTTTGTAATATATGAATGATTTGTTTGGAATTAAATTGATTTGTTTATGACTAGAGAACTAGAGATGGGTATCTCTAGAGTAACTAGAAAATGAACAAACCATTTTTTTGAACAAACGATATTACTGAATTCAAACAATTTTACTGAAAAATCGTTCACTGAGAAAACGAATAAAATCTATTTTTTGGTACGATTGAAAAACACAAAGAAAATTTGGCATGTTTACAAAAAATGAACGAATGAGAAAAGTCGAATATGCTCCTCTCTATGCGTGGAGCGTAACCAATCAATTTTTCACTTAACGACGATGAAACCTGTCCAGGTTGCCCGGAGGATGATGAGAGAGGAGGGAGGGAAAAGAGAAGGGAGGATGGAGAGAAGAGTGGAGGAGGGACGGATAGTAGTTCAGGAGAACCCGGAGAAAAGATAAGATCTAAATCCATCTCCTGTTCGTCCCAGATACTAGATCCAGAACTTAATCAAGAAAAGTAAGTGTACACAAATTTCTTAAATATATATTGTGTGTATGTCAAACTATTCTCTGAATTTGATAGTTAAGATCCCCAGGGATTACAAATAATCGATTTTGTTCAGTTAAATTTTCAGAAAATATTCTCTCTACAAGGGGTAAGGGAGGGGGAGGGGTAAGGGAGGGGGGAGGGGGTGATAGGAAAATATTTGTAATTATGTTTTCATATTTTTATAGGGGGGTACTTTAACATTTGTCTTATGACAATCTTTTTGGGGGAAAATAACATACTTTGATTTCATTTTTTTTTTAAAATCTCCATCCGATTATAGCTTAAGTTAATTAAATCGTGATTAAAAATATATTTTTAATATACTCAGGTTAAAATCCTGTAAAATGTATAATGTGTCCAAAAAAGGAAAGAAACTGAATTTTTGCCACAAACTCAAATCTTCTAATTATTATATCTTTGCTACGTGATGGTGTAAATCTTTGCCATTTCAATTGATAAATCAATTGATGGAACATAGTTTGAAATATCAAAGGTCTACGACATTGAGTTGCTAATGCCGAGTCCATTAGCGCCTGATCCAATCAGGGGTAAGCCATGTGTTTGTTGTCTATTCTAAACCAATAGAAATAGTATTACGGTAATATTTATCTTTCTATCTATCTCATTATCCAATCAGAGTTATGAATCCTTCAATCTGCACTGTTAGTAAAAAGAAATATTTACGACTACTGAAACTATGATGTGCAAAGGTATAGGAATTAGAAAATCAGAGTTTGTGGTAAAAACTCAGTTTCTTTGCACGAATCCAAAAATTTCTAAACAGATTGAATTCTAGGAATTGTGAAATCTATGACTGGATGAGTCGTAATAGAGCATCTTTCAGGTTTGTCTTCATTTTCAAAAATAATTTTAGTAAAAATTTTCTTTTGATCATCCATTACGAATATCGACTATGATAGTAATTCACGTTAAAAAAAACTATTAAGTCAATCTGATTGTATATGAGATAATTTTATAACGAAAAAACTTCCGCAAATGTAGAAAAAGAAAAAGTTTCTAGGAAAAGTGGTGAAAAATATATTGAAGGAAAAAACTTTACAACGGTACCATCAAAACCTGTGTTTGTCGAGTACAGAGATATATGTGTGTAAACTTATCTAAATCTGCAGCTTGTGTGATCAGCTGCAAATTCCGGGGAGCACATCATTGTACTCGACGAACAAAGAAAGGTTTTAAAGGTACCTTTGTAAATCGACATTCACGTGGATTTAACGGTTCTGTCAATATTTCAGAAAACTGTGACTTTCGATCACAATTTAACCCCTTTTACATAATTTTATAGACTTTTATCTTAAATATTTTTTTGGCATATACATGAAAAATTATAAAATAAACAAATCTGTAAGTCTAAAGACTGTTGAGTTATAGACGAAAACACGTTTGATTTCAAATAAAAGAAACCGAATGCTTCTCTCCCTCGGTAGTTCAGGGTGCATTCCCTTCTTTGCATTGAGGGTCACTTGAAATTACGTTTACAGTCCCTTTAAAGTCGTTGTTTCACTCTTGTTTTTTGCAAGACCTTGTAAAATATCCTCCCATCCTCTATACAAATGAATAACTCTCTGCTTGTCAGTGAGTTTATAGATTCACTTATAAAACTTTAAATTTTCTTCAAAATCAATCTCGATAAAACTATTTCCTGGAAAAGGAAAATTAATGAAACAGTTTTATGATCTCTTGACGTTAAAATGAAAAGTATTTTTTACTTTTTTTTTACAGAATTATAAAATTTAATTCTTTTTACAGAACCTGCAAAAAATAGTACTAAATGCATTTTCACACAGCACGCATTAAAGCATTCTAAGACCCCAACATTGCTAGGAGTGGGAATTTTACATTTTCTGACTTGTTCTAACGCACTTTATAGGAGGGGGTTGGNGCTTAACACGTAATTTTTTATTCTTTTATTTTTTATTTTTATAAATAGCTTACTCATACACAAATCCTCTCCATACTAAATAACATTATCTCTAATGGGGGGAAATGAATCTACAATCAAATTAAAATAGAATTCAGATATTCGTTAATATGAGAAATAAAAATAAAACAATTCTGTGCAGTCGTGTCTGAAATTTGATATTTTGTGGGTAACCATTAGTTTATGAAACATTAAACAATATATAAAGAGGTTTCTGAAGATTTCAAAAACAGCTATTTGCTTTAAAACAACATGCAATTCACATAAAAATTGCTTAAATGACTGTCTGTCATTCCGCTGTTTTGGGTCCAATAGATCTTTCTCTAACTTTTTTTTCAACTCGTTAAAAATGTTAAAATAAATTACACTTCACCATAAACCAGTTTAGTTAATGGTTAAGGATTTGGACAAAATTTAACATTGACGATGATTAAAATCTTAGAAAGTAAATAAAGTGGGTGTTATTTCCATATTTAAAACAAATATATTTTGAACCTTCAGTTCTTGAGATTTGTTTCTATAGTGCAGATAAACTAAAATTGAAAACAATAGAAATTTGGTTGTTGATTTCTACACGATGCAAACTGAAGAGCTGTAACTATATAGAAAACAGGATTTAAAGTTAAGCTTTTTAACCCTATTCCTACTGCCAATTAGAAGAGTGAACAAGGACGACTTTTATTTATGGTAAAACTAGTTATTACTGTATTTCAGGGCAATAGGAGGAGAACGACGATGTTCTCTATCTAAGGTTCGAAGTCTGAGTACTCTACATGATACAGAAATTAGGTAAATAGGAGAAGAACAGTGATGTTCTTTATCCAAGGTTCGAAGTCTAAGAGCTCTTCATGATACAGAAATTAGGTAAATAGGAGAAGAACAGTGATGTTCTTCCAAGGTTCGAAGTCTAAGAGCTCTTGATGATACAGAAATTAGGTAAATAGGAGAAGAATAGTGATGTTCTTTATCCAAGGTTCGAAGTCTAAGAGCTCTTCATGATACAGAAATTAGGTAAATAGGAGAAGAACAGTGATGTTCTTTATCCAAGGTTCGAAGTCTAAGAGCTCTTCATGATACAGAAATAAATAGGAGAAGAATAGTGATGTTCTTTATCCAAGGTTCGAAGTCTAAGAGCTCTTCATGATACAGAAATTAGGTAAATAGGAGAAGAACAGTGATGTTCTTTATCCAAGGTTCGAAGTCTAAGAGCTCTTCATGATACAGAAAATAGGTAAATAGGAGAAGAACAGTGATGTTCTTTAACCAAGGTTCGAAGTCTAAGAGCTCTTCATGATACAGAAATTAGGTAAATAGGAGAAGAACAGAAATGTTCTTTATCCAAGGTTCGAAGTAGCTCTTCATGATACAGAAAATAGGTAAATAGGAGAAGAACAGTGATGTTCTTTAACCAAGGTTCGAAGTCTAAGAGCTCTTCATGATACAGAAATTAGGTAAATAGGAGAAGAACAGAAATGTTCTTTATCCAAGGTTCGAAGTCTGAGTACTCTTCATGATACAGAAATTAGGTAAATAGGAGTAGAACAGAAATGTTCTTTATCCAAGGTTCGAAGTCTGAGTAGTGAGTATACTCTTTTTGATACTGAAATTAGGTAAAGATTAACATTGTTTAACCTCTTTTGAGAAACTAAGAAACACGCAAAAAAAGTATTAAAAATATAGAATATAAATATTGTTGAATTAAAATCTAACTTTCTTAAAACTCCTTTCAGCCCCCCCCCCCCTCAACATTGGATAATCATTTTGGGTAACATAAGTATTGTTGTGTAACATGCTTAGGAAAGAATGAACCCATTCTTTTTCGTTTTGATAAACTTATTGATTTTAATTTTTTATAGTGTGCGTGATAAACTCATTAAATTTGCTTTTTACAGTGTGTGTGATAAACTCATAAAATTTGCTTTTTACAGTGTGTGTGATAAACTTATTAAATTTACTTTTTTACAGTGAAGAAGTTGAACTTCATCCCGCCATATACGCTGGCAGAAGAAGGTAATTAATATATAAAGGATCTGGGGCCGAATAAGTGAATTTGAACTGCCTTCCGTCAGATTCAAATCTTTCCTTAATCTTTGAACCGTGATTCGGTGTTTTAAATTTGAACCTGCAGTTGACGTTGCTCAAATCGTTAAATTTAGATGTATTTTTTTGGGAAAACAAATAAAAGGGACTTTCGTTTTATTTTCTGTTGACCCTCCATCTAGACCGAGGGTCATGCCGGATTCCCAATGGTACTCTTGAAATTTGTATTTAATCAAAAATGTTGGAGATATTGTCGATTTTCTTGCTTTTAAAGAATATATCATGAATTGGGGGTCGAAATAAATTCCAGTATAGAACTATGAAACTAGTTCGAATTTAGTAAAGCTTTCATAATTCCTGACATTTTGAGATGAGAGTGAATGTTTGACTCCATTTTCAGATCCTTGAAGACCCAGCCTGTTAGAGGGAAAAGAGGCGAGGTTTATAAACACCCTGATTTACCAGTCTGTAACGAACAGGTTAGATATATAGCATATAGGAACAGGTTAAATATATAGTTTGTAATGAACAGATAATATATATAGTTTAAAGAATTAGGTTAAAGATGGAGTTTCAAGGAACAGCTAGGAGATGGAGTTTAAATTTGGAGCAGGTTGGAGATTGAGTTTAAAGGAACAGGTTAGATATAAAGTTTAAAGGAACAGGTTAGATATATAGTTTAAAGGAACAGGTTATATATATAGTTTAAAGGAACAGGTTATATATATAGTTTATAGGGACAGGTTAGATATATAGTTTATAGGGACAGGTTATATATATAGTTTAAAGGAACAGGTTAGATATATAGTTTATAGGGACAGGTTATATATATAGTTTATAGGGACAGGATAGATATATAGTTTATAGGGACAGGTTATATATATAGTTTAAAGGAACAGGTTATATATATAGTTTATAGGGACAGGTTATATATATAGTTTAAAGGAACAGGTTATATATATAGTTTAAAGGAACAGGATAGATATATAGTTTATAGGGACAGGTTATATATATAGTTTATAGGGACAGGTTAGATAAATAGTTCAAAGGAACAGGATAGATATATAGTTTAAAGGAACAGGTTATATATATAGTTTATAGGGACAGGTTATATATATAGTTTATAGGGACAGGTCAGATATATAGTTTATAGGGACAGGATAGATATATAGTTTAAAGGAACAGGTTATATATATAGTTTAAAGGAACAGGATAGATATATAGTTTAAAGGAACAGGTTATATATATAGTTTAAAGGAAAAGGTTAGAAATATAGTTTGTAACGAACAGGTTAGATATATATATAGTTAAAAAGAATTAGATTAAAGATGGAGTTTCAAGGAACAGGTTAAATTTAGAGTTTAAAGGATTAGGTTACAGATGGAGTTTCAAGGAACAGCTAGGAGATGGAGTTTAATGGAACAGGTTGGAGATTGAGTTTAAATTTGGATCAGGTTGGAGATTGAGTTTCAAGGAACAGGTTATTGATAGAAATTAAAGGACCAGGTTCGAGATGGAGTTTAGAGGAACAGGCTGGAGATAGAGTTTAAAGAAACTGGTTAAAGATGGAGTTTAAAGGATTAGCTAAGAGATGGAGTTTAAAGGAGTAGGTTAAAGATAGAGTTTAAAGGAACAGGTTGGAAATGGAGTTTAGAGGAACAGGCTGGAGATGGAGTTTAAAGAAACTGGTTAAAGATGGAGTTTAAAGGATTAGGTAAGAGATGGAGTTTAAAGGAGTAGGTTAAAGATGGAGTTTAGAGGAACAGGTTGGAGATGGAGTTTAAAGGAACAGGTTAAAGATGGAGTTTAGAGGAACAGGCTGGAGATGGATCAGTAATTTATCCTTCAATTAAAAAAATGTCCACATTTGATAGCAAGATCAATATTTAAGATAAAGAACACTCCACTGCACAAAATTGTAGACCGTTGATCTGGATTGGATTAATATTGAAAATAAGTGAAAATGCTTCAACAGAGGCTGAAGACTTTTAGATAAATATTTGTCAGTTCTCTAGATATTATATACAAGTTAATTCCACTTTATTCTGGTTATTATTGAATTTACTTCAGGAGGTTCTCTCATCGATCTGTATGTCAAATCTGTACAGCCTAGACGAGGTGAGATAAAATTCGTCTTCCTAGTCCACACTTTTCTGGTTCTCATTTTTTTTGTATAGCTCTAAAGGAGAGAAGATCTCTGACAACTTTTATTTATAATTCTTGTTAAATCTAAAACCCGTTGACAGTTCCTTTAATTAGCTTAAATTCCGTTTACAGTTACTTTAATTAGCTTAAATTCCGTTGACAGTTCCTTTAATTAGCTTAAATTCCGTTGACAGTTCATTTAATTAGCTTAAATTCTGTTGACAGTCCCTTTAATTAGTTTAAATTCCGTTGACAGTTCCTTTAATTAGTTTAAATTTCCGTTGACAGTTCCTTTAATTAGTTTAAATTGTGTTGACAGTTCCTTTAATTAGTTTAAATTGTGTTGACAGTTTCTTTAATTAGTTTAAATTGTGTTGACAGTTCCTTTAATTAGTTTAAATTTTGTTGACAGTTCCTTTAATTAGTTTAAATTTTGTAGGTGAAGAATGCTTGGGCTACCAGCCTGTTTTATACTAAACGAGGAACTATCCGAAGCACCGGTACAAGAACTGAGGTAATTATGAAAATAAAATAAAAAAACAATTAAAAATTAAATGGATTTTTAAAAGTCTGAGTTCACGTAAAATAAAGAAAATTGTGCATTAACCCTATTCCTGCTGAAACCCCACATGTAAAGATGGCAATGCCCGATTCAAAGAAGTACACGTTTGTAACATTTATTCTATAAATTACAAACTGAATTTTTTTTAATTAATATTTTTTTAATTCTTTTCCCTGTGTATCCTCTCTCATTTCTTTCTCCTGGACGTTTCTAATCCAGGTCTGCAGTTCATCTTGATCAAGAAATCTAAACAACAAAATATTACTTTTCACAATTAAAGGGACAGTAAACCTAATTTCAAGTTATTCTCCATTAAAAACGTTGTATGCCTCAGCAGAGAAGAAGAATGAAGTTGACAAAATTTAAAATTTGTTTAAGCTACAAAACCAATTTGCCTCCTGTTTGGTCAGATAAAGGTTTAAATGTTACGTTGTGAATCTCTTTAAATAGGGGGGTCGCTTATACTACGGTAATTCCGTTAATAACCCATTTCCGTATCATGAATATTGGATACGAACATTGTGCAGATACGTCGGAATCAGATATTTCAAATTTTAAGTCAACATATTCTAAATGATTCTAAATTCTAATGTAATAGTCAATGTCATTAAAATTAGATGTTTTTTTAAAAGAAAAAAAATGGTGTGGACAATAAAAAAACATTTTTATTTCTTACTTATAAATAATGTCATTTCCACATTAGATTTCGTTAAGATCTTAACATACTACATTGACGACAAGAAAATTTAACAATGAGTAATGACCATATTTTTTCAAAGTTTTGCAGAGTAGCTTTTCTAAAGATTTCAAAAAGTAACATCTTTTTCCTCTTAGAGTAAAACTATCATTTTTATATTACTGCCTTTTTTGTCAATGTTTGGTAAAAAGTTTAGTTAAACTTAAATAAATTCAGTTTTTTTACAGATCTTTGTAGTTAATGTAAAATAAATGACTATAATGAAAGATATAAAACAAGGTGAAAGCTGAAAGGTATGTCATGAAGCCTTTATTAGATTGAGTTTGTAAATCCCAGAAATGAGTGGAAAATGCAAATCAACCCCAATTAAAACCAATATTATATAGATTATGAGAGACATAAAGATCAAATCAATCACTCATGATTTTCCATATTTTATTTTCCTTGATATTTTGCAATTACTCTACTCATAGATGAATTAACAATAACGATAGAACACTAGATTAAGGAGTTTTCAAGGGGGATGATAGTTCTCTACCTGTGTGCTCGGTTAGCTGTACTGTACACTTACAAATGTTTATTAATATTGATAGACTAAAGGTTAGGCCAGAATCGATTCTCCTTATAATTAACAAATATGCAGTGCGCTCTCGGTATAGTTTATGGTCTATACAATTAGCAAAGGATTAGCGTACATCATCACTCTATACACTATAACCTCGTTGGGGTTTTTGCTCTGTCTTGTAATTCAACGCGGCATACGCGTAACTCCTTTGGGCTTCTGCCTCAGGGTTATTGTGAACAAAAAAAACCACGAATGTGGAAAAGACGACATCTAGTATTATATCTGTTACTGTTGATTAATTTATGACTCTACTGCTCAAGTTTCTTCTTAATGTCTGTCGTATTAATTGAAGATAAATGTTACATATACGTGTATTGGGCATTGCCATATTTACATCCATAACTTTTAACAACATTTTAAAAATAAAGTTTTATTCATTCTTAATTGCAGGCTGGTTTAGAATTCACAGACATTGAGCAGGAGGGGTTTCGGACACAATCCATGGAACAAGAAAGGTAAGCTGCACCACAAGTAGGGAAAGAGATCGTTTTCGAATTTCTAAAAACCGAGTACTGATCGATTCGTGAACGACGTTGAAAATAAAAGAAAATGAAATTAAAATTTTTTTTTTGCGATTTGATGTTTTGTTATTTATTTAACAGCCATTCTACTTAAACGAACGTTAACGATCGTTAACGACGACCCTTGTTGTCTCCAAATAGATTAAAACCGATGAAGAAGAAGCCACCTACCTGAAAGGTATCCAAACAAATAGATCTGAATTTTGTTAAATTCCAATGATTCAACTAAAGCTAGAATCAAGCACGTTATTGATTTAATATATAGTTTTAAGTGCTGCAAAAAGAACACGAGAAATAGTGAAATAAAACCAAAAATAATTAGTTTTTCTACAAATAAAAGAAATGTTAAAGTTATATAGTATCAAAAATAAAAATGCAAGTGTAAACAAATGAGTGAGGCATCTAACTTACCACACTATCCCCCCCCCCCCACCGCCTGTTTAGGGTTTTCTGAAACCTTTTGATAAAATAATTCATATTTTCATGTAATTCTATCTTTTTATGGACAACTTATAGCAATCAAAGTATCTTGCAGCATTAGACACAGAAATGAAATAAGATATGTTAAAAATCAGATTTTTTTCAATATTATTAAAGACATGAATTCACAATTTTTGGCTTGAATAACTTTTTGAATTTAAATTTTCATCTCAAAATAGATATTTTCAATCTTTCTTTTTTAGATTACATTAATAATTTTATTTAATTTAAATTTTGTTCAGAAAGTATTTTTAAAAGTCTAAGAAATAAGAAAACTTTATTTTGTTTGAATTATTTTTATCGTAAAAAATTCGCACAAATGAATGAAAAAAACTTTTTTCTTTTTTTTGACTTTAGAGGTTAGGGAAAATTTATCCGAGGAAGGGGGGTATTCCTCCGCCCTTCTTTCTTACAAATATCAAAAGTTCAAAATTAGAATAGGAATATTATTTCTTACGAACTTTAATTCAAATATATCTTTTCAGTATAATTTCGTAGGCTTTGGATATCTTAAACTATTAATTCTGAAATATCAAAGATTTTCCACATCAGATTAAAATCTTGGCAACACAATTCTAAAACGTATATTCAATTGGTCCTCTGTTTATAAGAGTGTCAGATTAAGAACGTTACCCTTAAATGTTTAACATTGATTCTTATTAATTTTTTCTTGACAATAGTTTTTAAGACAATTACATGGATGATCCAAATATATAGAATATTTATATAAAGCTTTCACACTAAAATGCCAGCAAAATACTAAACTGGAGGAAAGGGAGGACTCAGGGAGAGGAAATGATACGGGTAAAAAATCCACCCTGGAAATTTTACAGGTAATCTGGTCCTTTTGTGTCAAAACATGATCAGCTGTGGATGGACTACGGAATATGCGATACCATGATTTGAATTTTTTTAAATATTCATTTTGAGTAATTAAGTGGGCCCACAGGCAAGCAAACTTTTGAATCTATTGTTTAAATCTAGATTAAATGGCTGTAAGATGCCTGAGCTGAAAACTTTAGAATGAGATATCCTTAATCACGATCGCGTAATCTGATTATCCAATGTACACACTTTTGATTTTCTTCTTATAATCCTCTTTTTAGATATTTCTGCTGTATACAAACTACGTTTGAAAACAATTACAGATACAATGCTATATCGATTGGACTAATATCCGACTGAATTAAATTCAGCTGTTTACAAACAGGCTTTTAAACAAATATAAATTTAATCATGTTAATATGAACTTATTAAAAACAAATTTTAGGACTATTGTCATTTGTTAGTCTTAATAAACATTAATCCAAAACTTACGTTCGATGTTTAGGTTTATTGATATGACACCATCAACACCATTAATCAAAACCGGCTTTTTCAAAAGTTAAAGAGTACATCTTAACATGACACGCTGATTGGTTAAATTTATAACTTCTTTCATGGATATTGAATGCGTTTTAAAATAATTTGGGGTTTAATAAAATTATGAGTTGTAGCATGAATCTTGATAATCCACCATTCTAAAGTTTTCAGCTCTGAGAAAGATGTCTGTTGATTGGTTGTGTACTCCAGTAGAACCTGCTGTGGATTAAATATCGCATTTACTAACATATGACCTACAGTTAGTCTGTGTTCTGTCTGCAGTTTGTTATGTTGCTTCATCTAGTTCAAGAAATCAAAAAAATCCTAATTTGTGGCAAGTAATCGGCTTGTTTAGGTCTGGAGAAATGGAAGTCACTGTTATGGAGGAGGCTGACACAGACTTGATCAGAAAACAAGAAGACGATCATGAAGGCGAAAATGATGAAGAGGATGATGAAGAAGAAATCCCTGACTGTCATGCCACTGTATACAGAGTAAAGCCCAAGGTTAAAAACACAATTATACTCTCCACTAAAACCCATTTCTTCGGTTAGAGAACCGCAAATCACTACAGTACACACCGGAAGCTTAGTTGAGGGTGAAATTATGGTGCTGGGTATAATTTGTCAGGGGAGGATTTAAAAAAACTTTGAAAAATACGTTGGAAACATTTTAAAAAAATGTTTACTTTTAGCAAATATTACCATGTGAAACATGTTATTACATCCAATTTTCAATGGCTTTTTAATTATATACATTTTAGACCTGCAGCTTTATTAAGAAAAAGTTATCAACCTTTTCTGATATTTTTAAACATCGGCCCGCCGTTCGACTTTGTTGCACCAGACCCTTTGCATCAAAACAAAAAATTCAAAATGTTTTCACAACTATGAAGTTGATAAAGTGAAGAAGTTTTAGATATCTAATGTTAACCGTTTTTAAGTTATTTAGGAAAAAACAGTGGAAGCGGGATTTCCCCCCCAATCGTGATAAATCCTATCACGATTTGGGGGGGGGGGGGAAATCCCACTGTTTGGGTCGGAAAATCCGAAATTAATTTGACGTAGAAACATAAACATTAGACACTATTTCGTTTTTGCAAGTTTTTTTTGCAAATTTCTTGAAAGAAAAGCATAAATCAAAGGAATTTAGGTTTTGCCACAAACTCTGATTTTTATAAGCCCTATATCTTTACAACCAGATTTTTCAGACCTTTGATATTTCAAAATACAAATTCTAAAAACCAAAATGTCTATGTTTAAAACATCAAAGGTTTACATAATCAGTTTGCAAAGATTTAGGTAATAGGCAATTGAGTTTTTTGGCAAAATCTCAATCTCTTTTCCAAAATAAAACATGTATATTTTTAAAAGGATTAAACACGCATTTAAGCACAGCTCAAGGCAGCAAGACAGGATAAGATATTGTATCTTTTTTGTATGGAAAAAGTAATTAATTGGAAATTAAATTTTGTTTTTTGAATGTTTAGATTTCTAAATCCTTGGACAACCATGAGAAAGTAAAGATCTCCTGGATTCAACTCCCCAGCATTTTCTCCAAAAATAAGGAAAACAAAGGTTAGAACATTTTTTATAGATTTTATATTTATCATGGATGCTCCCCGCCCCACCCCTATCTTCTATCCGCATTTAAAACATTTAATTTTTCTAGGATTTGAGCTCATGTCACAAACTCTGATAATCTAATCCATGGTTTTTGCAAATAGATGTCCGTACTCCGTAGACATAGATCTGTTATAATAGTTTAAGTTTGAAATAAAAAAGTTGTATACCTTCAGGTTGCAAAAATATAAGGATTAGAAAATTTTAGTTTGGGGACAAAAACTCATTTTCCCCCTAAATTTCAAGGTTTCAAATCTTCTCTTCCCTTACGACATTTTGTATTGTGTGTTTCACAGAATTCTCTATCATTCCCCTTAACTTAGGATATTGCAAACGAACTTAAGATTCTAAATGTATATTCAAATAATTTAAAAAGAAAAAAGTTTTTTTATATCAAAAATTCATTATCTGTAGCAAATTCAAGATATTAAAATTTCAGGAAATACGTCACGGTTCGATGGTTCCAAAAAATCTGATGTGTCTAAAAGTCCAAAGATGGGTCTCAACAAAAAACTTAAACCAGAACCTTCACCCAAAACAAAGGAAAAGAAAGGTTTGTAAAAATTTTAGATAAAATAAAATAATGTTTGTATTTTTTAGAAACAAAACTTATTTCTGGTTTCGTGTTGAAAACTTATGAATATGGGAGAAGCGGTTTAACTCATTGCTTATTATCAGTTCGTCAATTATTAGTTATTGCAACAATCTTTGATTTTTTAATCCCTATTTCTTTGCAAGCCGAAGACTTTTAATCTTTCAAGCGATGAAGTCTGTCTAAATTTTAAATATTAAAAGCTTGAAAAAGATCTTGAAGCAGAACAACACCTTTGGAATGTAATAACAAACTGATTAAATTCTTTGAAAGAAAATAGTTCGAAACGTTATTGCAAAAATATTGTATTAAAGCCTAAAGGGACTGTGAATGAATTGTCATGTAAAGCTGACAATGTCCAATTTATAACGGTACCCTTAACAGTTAAATGCTTAGATGAGATATCCATATTTTTGTTTATTTAAACTATTTATCTTAATTTGCGGTTTCTCTACAAAAGTAGCTTGGGTATTTCTTGCTTATCAGAAGCCATTAAGAAATTATCAGAATTAAATACTTTTTTCGTATTAAGAAAACGGCGGTATCTTCCAAAATTTTTTCGATAAATGATTCAAGGGAACCTTTGTAAATCGGACATTGACATCTTTGCATGGTGGGTTACTTGAAATTACGTTTACAGTCCCTTTACTGCATGGTTTTATCGCTTGTCTGATTTAAAACCTCTTTTTGGTTCAAAAACAATAGATTTGTTGAAAATATGCTAAAATTTAAAATCTTTTAAATTTATTTAACTTTTTTTATTTTGTTTTTATTTCAGGGACTTCGTGGTCAAACAACCTTGTAATGGATTTATATTTAAACAGTCAAACTGCTCAACATTTAAACAGTCAAACTACTCAACATTTAAACAGTTAAACTACTCAACATGTAAACAGTCAAACTACTCAACATTTAAACAGTCAAACTTTCAAATTTAAATAGTCAAACTTTTAACATTTGAACAGGCAAACTACTCAAAATTTAAACAGTCAAACTACTCAGCATGTATACAGTCAAACTATTTAACATTTAAACAGTCAAACTTTTCAAATTAAAACAGTCAAACTTTTAACATTTAAACAGTAAAACTTTTAACATTTAAAAAGACTGCTTTTTAAGATCACTTGTAAGTTAAAAAAATATATTTTTGTCTCGGTTGGGTTTTGCGGCATCTTAAATTTTTGCGGTATTTTCAAATTCTATTATCTTAAAATGTAATGTGCCAATATTCAAATAATCGTGTTTTTTCCAGATAATTAAGATCACAAGAGCAAACTATTTATTTAGATTTATGTCGGAAATTTTGAATCACAATAATCCATATAGTCGTAATAATACACACCGTGGATAAGGCCATGGGAGATGAACTTTTATATGATGGAATCTTTTAACCTATACATTTTTCACAACCCATAAAACATATCTTATTTTTTCATACATTACAAATAAATATATCATTTTTATTTCTATTTTGTCGAAAAATACTAACAATTCAACACTTGTTTATATTAAATATGATGTGAACAAAAAATATGTAACTTTCCTTTCTTTCTTTTCTTTTTCCTTTTATTTTCAATTTTTCCTTTTTTTAGAATTGGGGGGAAATATTTTTGGAGGTTTTCAAATATTTTTTCCTTATACACTTAATTTTGTTTGTTTTTTATTTTTCATAAATAAATGATTACTTACTTATTTTCTTACTTGTAAGCACATTATTTGTAAATTTGTCAATTATTTGTGTACAAGTCAGGTGAAAAAAATCCTTGAAATTGTTGTCGATTGCACCGATAATTAAAAATATTTAAAATGTTAAAACCAAATATGAATAAAATAAATTTATCATAATTTTTCAAAAATGTGATCTGAGGTCAACTTTGTATTTGATGTTCACAATCTTTTAAAATTAAAATTCCTTTCATTTCCGTTTTGACTGGATTTAATATATAAACTACTAAATATTAATCAAAACATGAAAAAAATTAAAATGATGTTTATAACTTACGAAAATATTATGATATAATGGAAAAAATGTGTTGTCACGCAACGAACTACATTTTTATGTAACTCGATGTATAAAAAGAATATTTATCCCTTTTGTAGATAAAATTATTTCTAAAAAAAGTTTGATATATTTTGTATTGGTTATGTATGTAATTATGTGATATGTCAATATTGAAAAATCTAAAATAAATATTGGACAAATTATTTGGATGCTTTATCAGGTTTTAGAATTCTGTGAACAGACAAATAGGGATGAATCGTTTTCACTTTTCTGAAAAACGAATCGATCGTTTTGTTGACGGCGTAAATAAGGGAAAAAAGAAAGAAGTTTTTTTTTAAATTTTTGTTTAAGGTAATTTTCCTCGACATAGATTATATAAGGCATTCATAAAATTTTCTAATGAAATTGCTTTCAAAAACTTTTCTTTTGTAAGAGAACGATTTTACCCGTCGTCTTGTTAACGAATGTTTCAATTGTTTTGAAAGCACTTTTCTTTTATAAAACAACACCTTCGATTTTAGAAAAAACGATACGAAAAACTATCGTTTTCTTTTGTTTTAAAACGATTTTAAACCCTACAAAAAAACGTATATTTATACATAATGAAATGGACATTCATCGATCAATAAAAAGGACAAAGGTACATCTAAACATAGGTTTTAGAGACACTCCATGTGGTTTAGGATGCCCGATTGACAACAGTACCATTAAACCTCTTTCTGATCAGTGTCCGAATTTAATGAATTTAAGTCGCGTCTCCAATCCCCCAAAAACCGGTTTCAATTGAGCGCCGGCTTAAATCTTGAAAAATTCAATACAAATTTAAGTGGAAACAACAAAATTTGAGCCGCAGCTTAAATTTAAACCGCGGCTCAAATTCTTTAGATTTGGCCTCAGGATAAATGATAACTGCAACAATCTGCTCGAGCGACGTTCTGAGTTTTGCTGCAGAGAGACAATAAAGGACACTGTCAGAATTCAAAACGTAATATTTTTTTGTAAATCTAAAGATGGAAAACTGAAATTTTAAATAATTCTAAAATTTCTTTGGCATGACTCATGAGCAGTATTGTGCATAGCATTATGAAAACCTTTCTAAGTGAGAACAATACTAATGCAGCAGCCTGATCAGATTTCTGAGTATTCACGTCCTAAAACCACCTCAGTTATCTAATACCAATCCTTTCATTTACATATAAATAAACATTCAAATTTTAAAGGGACTGTAGATGAAACTTCAAAGGGTGCTCGATTTGTAGAGTGACATGTTTGATTCACAATAAAACCCTTCTTTTACCGATCAATGATGACGAACTTATCAATTTTATTTACAGAAATGTTTGTAATTATTGAACAACATGTTGGACATAGAATATGTAACGTCGTGTTGGGTTTAGAATTTAACGCATGGAGTTCTCTGCTCTTAACCCTATTCCTGCGGGGGGGGGGGTCAATTTGACCCCCCCTGTAGTTTTTTTACATAACTCAAAAAGTATTGGTCTGAGGCTGTTGAAATTTTCTGACTTTTCTTACATACCCAAAGCCCTCCCTTTAGGCCTAAAACCGGGCTTTAATACTAACTGCCTAAGTCCTCAGGCACACTGCCTGAATGACTGCTTTTGCCTGTAACAAACTAAATCTTTGTTTTGACCCACTTTCACTTGTCATATTTTGATAAAATTTAGCTTTTTGGAAAGCCTATGACATAAGGAAACGGATTGCACAAGTTTTGCGAGAAAAAAAATTATGCAAACAACCTGTAAAAGGAAATTTGCACATTTTTAGTTTTTCTTGATTAAAAATCAGGTTATTTAAAATTTTGCATATTTGAAATGGCATGGTCAAGGGCTTTTTAAAAATGTATAATTTTTCATTTTTTGGACAAATTTTTTTTACATTTTTACTATATAACTGGATTTTGCGATAAAAAATTCAATTTTTGCAAATTTGCATTTTTTTTGCAGATTCTAAAAGTAGAGCACAAGAGCTTTCTAATGATGTATCATTTGTCATATTTGGACATAAAACATGGGATTTAGAGTGGGGGGGTCAAATCGACCCCCCCCCCCTGCATATCCTGGTTTTCAAGTACCCCAGCAGGGATAGGGTTAATGATCAGTGATAGGTTTAAAGGGTACCATTGTAGATCGGACAGTCCTGGTATTTAATGATGAAGATTATAATGACGCTTCAGTCTCTATCAGGATAAAAATTTAAATATTACAAAAATACTATACATTAAACTAGGCTAGCGAGGTAGGTCAATTAGACCTTTGATAGGCCGAGATCTGCAGAAAGTCTGGCCGGGCCGGTGCTTGCCGCTCGTCACTAAGGCCGGTACAAGAGGCCGGTCCGGTTCGAATTCAAATTGACCTTAGTCCACCAGAACTAAATGAAAAAGATGTACAAAACACTTGCACAGTACGTCTTACTAATCTTGCAGAAATTTAATATATTAAAATTGTTTTTAAAAATTTTCAATGGATGAACAAATTTCTCTTCAATATTTTTATTGAAATAACTTTTAATATAATATTCACATTTTCATTATCAAAAGTATGTGAAAACTATTTCCCTTTATTAAAAAAAAAATCAAATTAGAAGAATATTTACGTTATGTTAGTAATATTTTTTTATGAAAATAAAAGGATCTACAACATATAAAAAATAGGACTTTGGAATTGAGTCTTTTACTCAAACTCTAATATTCTGAATCCTAAATCTGTTTAGACCAATAAAATCCATGTAATCAGAGATGGAATTTAAAGAATTTGAGCCGCGGTTTAAATCTGCTAAACCCTGTTTTAAATTAAGCGCCGGCTAAAATCTTGAACCATTTGATACCATTTTAAGTGGAACCAACCATATTTCAGCCGCGGCTTAAATTTAAACCGCCGCTCAAATTCTTTAAATTCGCTCACTGATAAAGTTTTAAATATTCAAGATTTACACCATTAGACAGCGAAATTAGCCAAAAATAGAAAATTTGAGTTTGTTACAAAGTCTCAATTCCTTTGTTTGAATTTGAGCTTGTTTTGCCAGTTATATAAAGAAGTTTAATTTCTAAAAAACAGAAAAAAATGGAAATGGTTGAAAAAAGACTGTTATCCCTTGTGTTAGCCTATCTTTATATACAGGTTAGTAAATATTTCAAAGGGACTGTCACCTACTTCAAGTCTCTAGCTTCAATATATATATAAATATAGTTTCAGTAGAAGTAAATATTTCCATTTTATGTATAGCCCCGATATAAGGATTCATCTCTTATTGGATAATGAGATAGATAGAAAGATAGATGTTACCGCCATACTGTTTCTATTGGTTCAGAAAAGACACCAAACAAACACATTGCTGAACCCTGATTGGATCAGGCGCTAATGGACTCAACATACTAGAGTGATATATTATGTAAAACTAATTAGATTTAAATGCAATGTTCAGTCATAGTTGGATCTTTAAGTCAAAACCCGTAGAAAATAGCGTTATAAGAGATCCTTTGTATATTTATTATTATTCAATAGATAGATAGATCAACAAAAAATGATTATATACGGCCCATCTCACATATAAGAATACATAGCAAGAGCGCATGAAATGTCGTCTTGAAACTTATTTAAAAATGTATGACAGTGTTATGCATCATCATTGGTCTGCTCAAAGAGAAAGCTGCTGAGATATTTGCAGTTTCAAAGGGTTGAACACGATTTATAAAAATATATTCAAATATCATTTATTTTTAATTCAAAGTAAATCAATATCCCTGAAATATAAAGAACAACCATTGATATAGTAAACACGTTTTTCTGCAGCATTTGATCTTAAATGTGAATACGACATTATAAATAATCTTGCTATGTATAAATATATTTGGAATTCACTGTTGTAAATTCTAAAAATCTACATTTAATTGAAAATAATTGGGTTAAGTTAAGACTTACTGGAATTTAAACCAGAATCTCTAGTTTACCGTGAACAGTCTTATTAGACTAACTCAAGATCTAGAAATGCGACCTGAGTCCAAAACTAAAGAACTAAAAGTTACGACTGAAATGTTTAGTTTCAGCTTAAATGCCACTTCTGACTTAATTTAAACCTGACTATTAAGCTGAAGATACTTTTGTTGTAATCTGACGATTTAAGAAAAAAAAATATTTTCCTTCAATCTGGAATAAAATAAATACATCCTGAGGCCGAATTTAAAGAATTTGAGCAGAGGCTTAAATTTAAGCCGCGGCTCAAATACAGTTGGTTCCACCTAAAATGGTATTCAATGTTTCAAAATTTAAGCCGGCGCTCATTGAAACCGGTTTTTGGCGGATTTAAGACACAGCTCAAATTCATTAAATTCAGACTCTGCAATCCTGAATATATGTTTTTAAGCACTGCTTTAACGTGTAACGAGAAAAATTAATCTTACGAACCAGAACAGTTGATGTTGCATTAATCTCTGTCGATCCGTGATTCCCAAAATCTAACTGATTGATATTTTTCCCGTGACATTTTAATTCCCTTCAGGATTAACTTAAGAGTATTTTTCAGAAATTTTATGCTATATAATTTAAATTTCGCGCATTCTTTAGTTTTAGACTCAGTGATGCTAATCGTTCACGCTTGTTTTTGGTTAAATTCTCTCATGGTGTGGCGGACAAGTCGTCCTACTTTCCGCCGTAATGTCTGCAACTACTGACCTGATCAAACTCATGTGATATATATATAGAGTCGCCATATTTGATATTTTATTTCTTTGTTTATTGAAAATGAAAATATAGTTAGTTGTTCTTAGACTTTTCGTCTTTTATTTAGCCGCCGCTAAAATGGTATATTTTCAGAATCTTTTTCCAATTCTTTTCTACATTATGCCAAAGTTTGATCCACAAAGAAGATCAAAAAAACGATTTTGGTTGGTTTTCATTTTTTAGTTGGATAAAATTATTGCATTGTTTTAATAAATACAATCTTTAACAAAAAACTGTTTTGAGATGTTGGATGTTGGCAAGGCTATAATGCAAGGAAAGTTAATTGCAGTTGCGCATACTTTAATTACACATTAAAACCAGTTCTCTCTGGGCGGAATTTGTAAACAAGAATAGATGCATCAGTTTCCTATGATCAGAATATTTTATTGATTTTTCATGTGAAAGATTGATCCCATGTCAGGCTTCGACATATGTCTTGTGTTTACATTACCGCCCAGAGACAGTACACTACAGTACAAAAGATGCGTACACCTCTGAAATAACTTTCCTTGCATTATAACCTTGGATGTCGGATGAATAACACTAAACCATTCGACCTAAGATGGATATTTCATAATTAAATTTTAGGTATTTAGCTAATACAAATCCTTTCTCAGAACTCCAGACACTTAAAATTTGCCATACAATTCTAATCCCTAAATCTTTGCAACTTGATGTTGTAAACATTTTATTGTTCAAAGCCACCTGGAAGAGATGCATTTGGTTTCTTTGATTTGAATTCAACCATGTTTATGTTCTATAATTCGAGTTTACTCCAATAAGGCTCGATCTGGAGTATCTTTGGAGTCTAGTTTACTCCAGGATGGGTCTGGAGTATATTTGTAGTCTAGTTTACTCCAGGATGGATCTGGAGTATATTGTAGTCTAGTTTACTCCAGGATGGGTCTGGAGTATATTTGTAGTCTAGTTAACTCCAGGATGGGTCTGGAGTATATTTGTAGCCTAGTTTACTCCAGGATGGGTCTGGAGTATATTTGTAGTCTAGTTTACTCCAGGATGGGTCTGGATGTCACTACTCCCTGATAAAATATGAGAATGGAACCTGGTGCTGCGGACCTGGTAGTAAAGCATCAGATACTGGGAGCTCTTTCGAGTAAGTTGTTAAAGAAATCACAGTCATATATCCAGTCCGCTTATAATCAGTCTTATCAATTTTTAAGACAGGGGGGTCGACTTTGAAGTGTCGCTACGCCTTGGGCTTAGATTTTACCGCTCTAACTCACTTAAACTTTTCTGTAGCCCTTTACATGTACATTTTAGCACTATAAAATTCTTGTTGTTAGCTTTGGTTTTTGAGAAGTAATTGGCAAAATTCTCATTTATTTTTGCTTAAAAGCGTAAGACCTTTAAACCACAGTGAATGTGAACCAAATTAAGTTTAGGTTTATTGGAATTTTGCCAATTACTTCAAAATCTCGAAATACGCGCGGTAGTTCGAAATTGTGCATGTATATTTCCTACAAAAATAATTGAGTTAGTAAAGGCCAAAACTTTGCGACAATTGAAACTAGACCCAGTCTTGACATTTGATGCATAATTTTTAAAAGCTGTCCGGATCAATTAGAAGTTTTATTCAGTTTGTCCACGGGTGTGATCATATAAGTGTACAGGGTTATCCACAAAGGATAAGACTTTAAAGACGACCTAAAGCTCTTTAGATACAATGCAACGGGTTGAAGGTTGCATTTGGATTTCTGCTTTAATTAAATAAAGTCTTTGAATGGTATTTTTAAATATTTGAGAAAAAAAAAAACAGGTTTACAATTTCAAGAAACCCATGGCTGTATGAAAAAAGACTGAATAATTTCAAGAGAGTCGTCTCTGAAGTCTCATCTTTTGTGAAGTTAATGTACAACAAATAAAAAGTGTATTTTTTTTATTTTACTTTAATAAATTAACATTTCAATGATCGACATTTTGTATAAGCAACATTTTTTAACTTTGTGAGTTTCCACAAAATACAAATTGGGCCTGCTAGGTTTAGCGGCGCTATAGCCAAGTTGGACTTTTTTAGGCATAAACTCGCCAAATATCTAAATTTTGCTTGTTTTGGTGTTTGTTGGTTTGTTTGTATCCAATAAACGTCAAAACGACTGAATTGATTTTACAAATTTTACAATTAATACAACAGAAAATGTTCACAATTGAAATAGAATATATGCTCGAAGCAACCTTGAAGCCTAGTGATTAGTGAATATAAATGAAAAAAAATGTATTTTTTAAAAGATTACCAGGAATACCGACTCCTCCGCAACCGGGACCTTCTCCATCCCCCTCGGGATCTACAACATCATCAACAGCAGCAAACTCAACAGAATCAACGTCTACTCTTCCTCCTCCGACAAATCCTGTGATTCCAGTAGGAGGTAAGGAACTCTTTTAATTCGAGTACAATGTCTGTTTGAGAACCAACCAGAAATATTATGTACCTTGTATAATAAAGATTACAAACAAATTACCGAAGCAATTCCTTATAGACTGTGTCTGTGGATTGGGAGCAAACTTGGTGGAAGATATAGAGAAACCAAAATCAAGGTTGATAATAATAATAATAATAATGATAAAAATAATAATAATAATAATAATAATAATAATAATAATAATAATAATAATAATAATAATAATAAACATAATAATACCCCCCCCCCCTCAGACTATATTTGGAAAACCAGAAGTCAGCCTGAATAGGGTAAATTGTGAGAAATCAAATTGTTAAATTGTTAAAATAGATTTAAAGAGAAACGTTCTTTCGTATTTTCATTTCATTTTCAGTTCATTTATTAGAAGAAAGTTTTAATGTTAAGGATAGGGCCAGATTTTTTTCGTTCCCGCAATAACCAACATTAAAAACTATTTCATTTTTAAACTATCCTTACTTTTTCGATCTTGTTTCGTGCGTTACTGAAACAGACAAATTCATTAAAAAAGAATAAAAACTATTATCAACTGCACAGTCATCATAACTTTTACCATAGTTAGGCCCAAAATACTCTTTAATTTAGGATAGCTTTGATGTTGTCCAGTGTGCGGATTCGTCAATTTATGGTAGTTTTGATGTTGTCCAGTGTACGGGGTCTTTGATTTAGGATATTTTAAATGTTGTCCAGTGTACGGGGTCTTTGATTTAGATAGCCTTGATGTTGTCCAGTGTACGGAGTCTTTGATTTAGGATAGCTTTGATGTTGTCCAGTGTACGGAGTCTTTGATTTAGGATAGCTTTGATGTTGTCCAGTGTGCGGAGTCTTTAATTTAGATAGCTTTGATGTTGTTCAGTGTACGGGGTCTTTGATTTAGGATAGTTTGGATGTTGTCTAGTGTACGGGGTCTTTGATTAAGAATAGTTTTGATATTGTCTAGTATACGGGGTCTTTGATTTGTTTTTATGTTGTCCAGTGTACGGGTCTTTGATTAAGGATAGTTTTGATGTTGTCTATTATACAGAGTCTTTGATTTAGGATAGTTTTGATGTTGTTCAGTGTACGGGGTCTTTGCTCAACAAAAGATGGTTTATAACTGCCGCACATTGCTTTTGTGGAACTATTGAGCCCTGTCCAGTGGGTGAGTGTTTCATGTTTTTTCTTAAAGATACTTTCATTTATTATGTTATTTCCAACATAACTGTTTTATGCTTGTCTGTTAAGAAAACTATTAAAATATTCATTTTTTTTCTTTCTAAAAAGATAAACATTTTTAAGAAAGCGAAAAGCAGTCTGAAAGGTAGAAAATCATTAAAAGAAAATCCCTTTGACAACCCAAAATCCAAATAAAGAAACGTTCGTTTATCAAGCTTTTAAGTTAAATGTTTTTATTTTTATTTAACTTGAATTGAATAAGACTATTGTGTTTCAGCCAATCAAGGATTTGAGAAAATTTTCAAGAACAAAATGGAAAGGATCCAGGTTTGAAATAAAAATTTTACCATTTTTTTATATTTTTATTCTAAAATACAGTGAAAGAACTCTTATTAGCTCTAATTCCCTTTTCTTCAGAATTCTGTAAAAATTCTTTGAATTGATAAATTAGAAAAATTAAAAAGATGAGATTAAAGTGAATTTAAAATGTTGTTAAAATTTCCAATTAAAGAAACTGTGGGCATAATTTCAAGTGACCCTCCATACAAAGAAGGCCATGTCCGATTCACAACTGTACCCGTAAAAGCTTTGTTTGTTCGTTGTGTACAAAGATACGTGTGTAAACGTATTTTAATCCTTTAGTATGATTAGCTACAAATTCCGGTGTGTGCTGCGTGAGGGAGGGAACCCCCTGACGCCATGAGCCTCCACTATGCAGACACGAGCCTCCCAGATTTGCGAGGCAGATCGAGCCTCAACTATGAAGACCAAGCCTCCCCTTTGCAGACCGTGCCTCTGTTATGCAGTAAATAAGCCTCCACTCTACAGCACAGCTTTTTTAAATCTTGGTTTTATGTGTCATAAAAAAATTTAACAATTTTTTTTTTGACGTTGTGGCATAAGAATTTTACTAAAGATTAGAAATATTTTTTGATTGACATGATTAGAAACATATATGAACTCTTAAAGTTGTTTATAAGAATTATACTAAAACTCTAAACATTTCTTACGCAGAAAGGAAGATATTTTGAGAAATATTTTTGAGTAAACTTAATTTGTTTTGTTATAATCTTTGACTTAAACAATACCTTTTGTTTTGAAAAATGTTAAGATTTAAATAAATGATACAAATTTTCGAGATTTAATTTGAACTACAAAAAAAGGTATTGCTTAAATCAAAGATTATAAAAGATAAAATGAAATTCAATTCAAATTTTTTTCTTTAAATATTTTCCTTTTCGTGTAAAAAATGTTTAAAGTTTTAAATACCACTTTATTAGTCATAATTAGGCACTATTTATGCTAATTGATAAAAACTTCCCATTTTTGAGAAACCTCCCATGCCACTTTGTTGAATAATTTGTATAAAAATCTTTTATTTAAATTTAAAACACAAATTTAAAAAACCCTCCTGTATTTTACATGCAATTTTGATGTATTGCGCATGCTCATTATTGCATAGCTGAGGCTCGGTCTGCCTAGCAAATCTGGGAGGCTTGTGTCTGCATAGCGGAGGCTCATGGCGTCCGGGAGTTCCCTCCCTCGCTTCGTACATTCTGAACTCACTGTGTGCGCTGTGTACAGTCTGAACTCACTTAACATTACGCCTTCAGTCCCTTAAAATACTTTAAGTTAATTGTTGAACCTTGAATTTGATTGTAAATGTAATTTGTTAACCCTATTCCTACGGACGAGTGATGTCTCCTTAACCCTAAAACTGAAAATGTGCAAATTCCAGTTTAGAGCTAGGGCAATTGTGTAGATCTATGCAACATTTATTTGCAATATGATGCAGTCTCCCAAGGATTTAATGCAAGGAAAGTTATTTCAGAGGTGTACGCATCTTTTGTACTGCAGTGTACTGTCACTGGGCGGATGTCGAAGCCTGACATGGGATCCATCTTTCACATAAATAATCAATGAAATATACTGGTTACAGGAAACTATATTATGTGAATTATCAAAATTATCAAAATTCAATGCTTTTATCCTCCTCTGATACTAAACGAACACTGAGACATCTATTCTTGTTTACAAATTCCGCCCAGAGAGAACTGATTTCAATATGTACGCATAGTATACGCAACTGCAATTAACCTTCCTTGCATTATATTCTTGCAGTTTTCAATTTTACTTTAATAATTAATAATTTTCGGCAAGATTTCAATGAAAAAAGTCGAAATTGTCGAAATCAGTATGATATTAAGGTTGAATTCGGAACACCGCGTACAAAGGTTGGAAAGCGGGGACCCTATGCTGTTCAGACTGTTATAGTTCATCCGGACTATTGGCAGGTAGGTTCACATACCAATAAAAATATGCAGTAGGAAGACGACCCTTGAAATAATGAACATGAAATACAGAAACTGTAAAGCTGGTCCTAGAAAGGACCAATAAGTATTAAATCACTTCAAATAAAAAGTTTTGGCCAATAATCGTTTCAAAATAAAAGTTTTGGCCATTAATAGTTTCAAATAAAAAATGTTTCCCATTAAGTTTTTGAAATAAAAAGTGTTGGCCATTAATTGTTTCAAATAACAACTTTTGGCCATTAATCAATTTTAATAAAAAATTGCGCCATTTTTTTTTCAATTAAAAAGTATTGGAAATTGAATTACTTTAAATAAAAAGTAATGGCCATTCATTGTTTCAAATACATTTTTCACCATTAAAAGTTTCAAATAAAAAGTATTGGCCACTAAATATTTCAAATAAAAAGTCTTAGCCATGAATCTTTTTAAATATATCTTTTTTGACTGTTAATTGTTTCAAATAAAAAGTATTAACAATTAATCATTTCAAATAAAAAAGTATTTTTCATTTTATACCATTCATTCTTACAATTTTTGGCCATTAACCCTTTCAAAAAAAAGGTATTGGCCGTTAACCCTATCCCCGCTGGGGTACTTGAAAACCAGGATACGCTGGGGGGGGGGGTCAATTTGACCCCCCCCCCTCTAAATCCCATGTTCTATGTCCAAATATGACAAATGATACATCATTAGAAAGCTCTTGTGCTCTACTTTTAGAATCTGCAAAAAAATTTGCAAATTTCCGAAAATTGAATTTTTATCGCAAAATCCAGTTTTATAGTAAAAATGTTTGCAAAAAAAAATTTGTCCAAAAAATGACAAATTATACATTTTTGAAAAGCCCTTGACCATGCCATTTCAAATATGCAAAAATCTTTGCAAAATTTTAAATAACCTGATTTTTAATCAAGAAAAACTAAAAATGTGCAAATTTCCTTTGACAGGTTGTTTGCAAAAAAATTTGCAATTTTTTTTTCGCAAAAATTGTGCAATCCGTTTCCTTATGTCATAGGCTTTCCAAAAAGCTAAATTTTATCAAAATCTGACAAGTGAAAGTGGGTCAAAACAAAGATTTAGTTTGCTACAGGCAAAAGCAGTCATTCAGGCAGTGTGCCTTAGGACTCAGGCAGTTAGTATTAAAGCCCGGTTTTAGGCCTAAAGGGAGGGCTTTGGGTATGTAAGAAAAGTCAGAAAATTTCAACAGCCTCAGACCAATACTTTTTGAGTTATGTAAAAAAAACTACAGAGGGGGGTCAAATTGACCCCCCCCCCAGCGGGAATAGGGTTAAGCCTTTCAAATTAAAGTATCGGCCATTTATCATTTCAAATACATTTTTTTACCATAAATTGTCTCAAAGAAAAAGTTTTGGCCATTAATCCTTTGAAATAAAAAAGTGTTGATAATTAATCCTTTCAAAAACAAATTTTGGTCAGTAATTTGTTTTAAAAAATTTTTTTTGGACATAAATGGTTTCAAACAACAAATGTTGGCCATTAATTGTTTTAAATAAAAAGCTTTGGCCCTTAATCATTTCAAATAAAAAGTATTGGCCATTAATCGTTTCAAATACAAATTATTGTCCCTTAAATTGGCCATTGATCATTGTCAAGAAAAAGTTTCGGTCATTAATTGTTTAAAATTAAATGTGTTTGCCATGAATCGTTTAAATAAAAAGTTTTGGCCATTGTTAGGGCTGGGCACGTTCAGACTTGTTCCGTTCTTGTTCCTTTTTTCAATCGTTCTGTTCCATTCTTGGTGTTCTTAGTCCAAGAACGGTTCCATCTTTCTTGTTCTGTTAATTATAGTCAAGAACATTTCCATCCCCCGTTCCATTCCTAATAAAGAACGATTTCATCCAAGACAAAAGTTTTATAGAAAATAGTAAGAGTTGGTTAAAAAGTAAAAAAAAATTACAATTTTACAATAAAAAGTTCCTGAGGGCCCCAAGTATACTTTAAATTATATATTTTAAATTTAAGGTTAAAAGAATAAGCTTAGATAATTTCTGGGCCGAGCAATGTATAATTTTGTAAGACAGTGGGGAGGGGCAAGAGTCCTAAAATCCTTAATGTACGATATACAGAAGTTTAAAATGCATTCTTGACTTAGAAAGCGTTCTTGATGATAGGAACGTGTTCTTTTTAAAAATTTCTGTTCCGTTCCTTTACATATCGTTCCAACATTTTTAAGAATGTGTACTATGCGTTCGTTCTTTTTTTGGAATGATGGGATCATTCTTGATTGTTCTGTTCGTTCATGTTCAGGAATGTCGCCCAGCCCTAGCCAATAACCCTTTCAGAACGATTGTTTGAATAAAAAGATATTTTTTATAAAACCATCGTTTTCAACAATAATAGTTTTTCCTTATTTGAAAGTTCAAAACAAGTGATTCATTTTCAAAAACGATGTTTTTTCCATAAAAGAAATGATTATACTTAGAAAAAAATAAACAAAGCGAAAAAGAATCAGTTTTTTGATAAAAAATAAACAAAGAAAAAATCAATCGGGTTTTTGATCGTTTAAAAACGATTAACAACAACAATTATATTAAGGCCCAATTGAAATTACGCAAACAGTCGAGAAAAGATAAAAGTTTATTAAAGATAAATCAACTTGATTTTGCTAATTAGTTTCTTTAGTAGTTTGTTAAATCAATTCTTAAGAACACTTTTCAAATACATCAGATCTGAATAAAGATGGCATTTCAATTCAATGTAAGATACCACTGGAAACACCGATTCAATTAACGTACAAATCCGATTTTATGGAGCTAGAGCTAGCTGTGTAAGACATTTGAATATACCCAATAAAAAGTATAACGGGAATCATTCCGTTACATGACTATTTAAATTATCCCGATGTGTATCTTTCGAGCTACGCACATCCGCTATACTCACCTTCTGACCTCTACACCAAATCCGCTATGCTACACTTCCACCTACTAGCATGTTGTTTTACAGCAGCTAGTTGTACTTGTGGCCGCTGCGCTCGGCCTCCCCTAACCTGCATTGGCATACGAGGGGGGCCAAGCCCCCCGGCCCCTCCTACGCGTGCCCTCCCTGAATGGGGCACTCATAATGGGGGGCTCTTTTAATATTACATCAGCTTGCATTTCCCTTCCTCAGGCAATCTACATTGTACATTGCATTGCATTGCACTTACCCAAACTTAAATATTTAGAAAAAAATAAAATATATTTTGATTCACAACAATACCCTTCAATGCTTTGTCTGATCAAGTATTGCGTTAAATATCCATGTTTCCCATTTTGAAAACTGAATATTTTTTGTGTGGTTTCACTACAAAAGTGACTTGCGCATTTCTTGCTTCAGAAACGATGGAGAAATGAAGGTTTCAAAGGTACATCGGACAGCCACTCTATAAATGGCGGGTCACTTGAAATTAGAGCATGTATTCCATATAAGTATAATTACATCGTATAGAAAAAATACTTTAAGATCTCACTTTTGTCCTTAACTATAAAAGTTTCATTATAAAAACTTTAATCAATACTGCATTCAGTGTAAATATATTTAATATCATAATTTATAATGCAATATGTATCAATCCTGTGAAAATATAGATAATTTTTTAGAAACATTTCCGTCAATATTTTTCATCACATAAAGCTTAAACCACAATATTAAGAGATTATTGCCTGATTTTGTGCCCNGGTTAGAAACCTGGTTTATAATATTGGAGGTTAGAAACCTGGTTTATAATATTGGAGGTTAGAAACCAAGTTTATAATATTGGAGGTTAGAAACCTGGTTTATAATATTGGAACTATGAAACCTAAGTTAGGAACCTGGTCATAATGGGAGTATTTACAATAATTCGCCATTTACAGATTAGTATATCCTATTCACAACAGTAGTCTTTAAACCATCATGCAACATAATGCGCATAATTCAACATTATTATCATCCTCTTTGGGCAGTTTGATTTGACATGCAAACAACTAAAACGGAAAAATAATCATAGTTATATGTTAATAATCATAGTCCCTGTCCACTTAGCTGACTTTAAATATGTCTTTTGACTGAGCTTTCTAAAATTGGAGCTGGTTTTTTTTTGTGAGATTTCGTTATTAAAGGACCTGAAAAGGAAGAGTGTCCGATTCACAATGTACCCTTATAACCTGATCAACAATTTGAAAGATATTGAACCGTGTAATCTATATCAAGAGCACTGGTTTACTTGAGATGAAGATCTGAGAGAGTAGATTCGAGTCTAGAGTTTAGGAGGCTTGTGCAGGAAGTTCCAATCAACTTAAGCAGAGCATGACAAGGTGTGATAGGAGTATCTAGATGTTTTCAGCCCATAGCTTGGTAGCTTAACAAATACATTGCGGTGCAGTCGAAATAATGTAGAATCAGTTTTCAAAATTATAAACATGAATATGTCATTCATTTCTGATCAAACAATTTTTTTTAGTGTACTGTTGTGAATCAGGAAGTGCTCTGCGCTTTAATTGGGTTCACTTAATAAAGCCGTTTTCCTAAAAGACGATGTGAAACACCTAATACTTATTTACTTTGTTTTTGTTGTGATGTAACGCCCAGTATGTATCTAGGGTCCTAATGAAGTTTCACAACCGTATGACGTAGCATTGGTGGAAACTGTAGAAGATATACAACTTCAGGTCACATATTTTCAATTTTTTTTACAAATTCAAAATACAGCTAGCATTACAGACAAAAAAAAATCGATAATCAATTATTTTTTTATAATAGACTAGCTAGTGAACCCAGCGTTGCCCAGGTTACTCATAGTTACCCCAGCCGTTTACCCGCGCTTGGTCTTAAATTACGATTTTAGTTATTTTTCCTAGAAAAGTCCACCTTCTCGACTTAGAATCTCAAACACTAACTAAGACAATTCCCGTGATTCCTTCAAATTCCCCAATCAAAATTTGAGTGATTTCGGTTAATCATGGGTCACTGAGTTATGATCGGACATACAAACAGACAGACAAAAAGAGATTAAAACTTTATATATGTAGACATTCCCAAGTCCCCAATAAAAAAATTCCTGAGTTATGATGATCGGATAAACAAACAGACAGACATTCATACATAGATTACATCTTTATATAAGTAAATAACAAAGATATGTGTAATCTCATATATTCCTTAATAAAAAACACCCATCTTTATCCCACCCCCCCCACGACGAATCAATTGGCCCCTTTTTATTCCCATTTATGGTACTCGCTCTAAATTCAATACTGTTTACAATCTAATATTTAACAATGCATTTTTGCTATTTAGTCCAGAGGCCACATTTAAAGAATTTGAGACGCGGTTCAAATATGGTTGGTTCCACTAAAAATTGTATTCAATGTTTCAAGATTTATGCGCGGGCGCTCAATTGAAACCGGTTTTTGGCGCTTACATTCAACAACACATTTTAACGAATAGGGAAATCCAAATTTGATTCAACTGGTTCAGCCGTTTCATATAATTTATTTTAAAATTTTAGGATATTACAGACCCCAATGCTAAAATCGACGGTTTAGTTCCTATTTGTAAGTAGAGCTTTATGCACACATGAATATAAATTATATATCATTATTAGCTAAATATCAAAAAAATCTGTTTAAAATTTGTTGAACCCTTTAATCTTATGTTAAAAGAAACCTACTTTATCTTAATAAAAAAGAAATTTTCTTCTTTTATACATAATTATAACTAATAAAATAACATTAGGATACAATAAAAATATATTTAAAGTGTAAAAATTAAAAGAATTTTTTCATTTGTAAATTTTTTTTTGCAAGCATTTTTGTTCAGGTCTTCCCCCTCCTCCTAGTTTAACTCCAGAACAGCTTGGACTTGGCAACACAAATATATCTAGAATTTTTCAAACAGTAAGTTTTTTGTACGTTTGGAGGGGGGGGGGTATTTGGTGCTCCACCTTCCTTTTTTACAAATTGTCTCAAAGATCCCTTTTCCCTGTAATGAAAGAGTAATTTAGAAATAAATTTAGCACACAAAAGCAAAGGGTTTGTACCCTTGCTAGTGAACTTTTCAAAAAAGAAAATGAAAAAATAAATTGACCCTGAAATGTTTACCACCAGTTGATTTTTAAGAACTGACAACTGAGAAATGTTTTAAAATTAATCAATTGGAAATTTAATTTCAGAGGTTTTTACAAAAAACAAAACCTGAAGAAAGTTTTGAAGACTTGGACTGTTTCCTGAGCAATGGAGCTGATGCATTTCCTTCACTTGGAGGTTAGAAACCTGGTTTATAATATTGGAGGTTAGAAACCTGGTTTATAATATTGAAGGTTAGACACCTGGTTTATAATATTGGAGGTTAGAAACCTGGTTTATGATATTGGAGGTTAGAAACCTGGTTTATANACAGTATTTACCTTTTAATTCTCTTCTCAACATTACTAGTTAATTACAGTATTTACCTTTTAATTCTCTTCTCAACATTACTAGTTAATTACAGTATTTACCTTTTAATTCTCTTCTCAACATTACTAGTTAATTACAGTATTTACCTTTTAATTCTCTTCTCAACATTACTAGTTAATTACAGTATTTACCTTTTAATTCTCTTCTCAACATTACTAGTTAATTACAGTATTTACCTTTTAATTCTCTTCTCAACATTACTAGTTAATTACAGTATTTACCTTTTAATTCTCTTCTCAACATTTGGAACAACTTGTCTCTTGAGTTTAGAATAAGCAATTCTTAAAATACATAATAAAAGGTCTATTCAAACTTTTGTTTGAAAATTAAGTTACATTTTGTTATAATTCGAATTTTTATTTATCTTATCTTAAATCATTTCTAATATTTAATATTTCTATGTTATGGAGCTTTGAAATAAACTTATGAATAATATAATTTTTATATTTATCATATCAATTTAAAATATCCTTCTAGAGTTTGATCCGGTTGTATCTATTTAAAATATCCTTCTAGAGTTTGATCCGGTTATATCTATTTAAAATATCTAGAGTTTGATCCGGTTATATCTATTTAAAATATCCTTCTAGAGGTTGATCCGGTTATATCTATTTAAAATATCAAGAGTTTGATCCGGTTATATCTATTTAAAATATCCTTCTAGATTTTGATCTGGACCAGGGATTTCTGAGATGCCATCCGGGTGCATTTACTGATCCAATGGAGAGTAAAAAAATTGTTAAACTATTCTTTTTGAAATCTAAAATATTTTTGAAAATCTTTACAACAATTTATTTGCAGGGCGTGAGCGTGCTTTCCAAAACAAGTTTTATCACAGCCTTTGGGAGCACAGCCAGAGAAGCTGGCCCAGTAACATCATTTATTTACTTTCTAGTATCATTATTATTACAGTAATAATCTTTTTGTTATTCCAGCATGGGGATAAAGGTCTGAGATACCAGTGCAGAACAAATGCTTATGGTCCAATGGATAGTATGTTTCATGATTGTTTTGGGTAAATCATAATTTTCTTATTGAATAAAAATTAGCGCTGATAAGAAATTTTAGAATCTTTTTCTGTTCAAGTTTTTTATTTTGGTAAACTTTAATTTTGAAATTTGTAAAACTTCCTAGATTTTTGAGTAACCAAACGGCCAAATAATTTAAGTTTGAAACATCAAAGGTTTACACTATAAAGTGGCAAAGATATAGGGATTAGAAAGTTTGAGTTTGTGGCATCAAAGATTCATTTCCTTTATTAGAATGGTTGTTTAGAAAATGTAACAAGGATGTTGTGAATCCATACAAAATGCAAGGGAGACAAGTTAATGTAAGTAAACAAATTTAAATTCATTATTATTAATTAAGGTTAAACGGTTTTTGATTTTTTTAACCTCTGCTTGGTTACTTAATACCAAGGTTGTAAAATAGGGTTGGTTACTCTACATGCGCTCTAATGTAGGGGAAATGTCGTCTCCTAAGATAGATAGATAAAAACCTCATATGACCTCACTGATTATAGTGGCAAGATTGATGTCATATGAGGTTTTTATCTATCTATCTTAGGAGACGACATTACATTGGAGCGCGTCGAGAGTAACCAGCCTTTTTATAAAACCTTGGTAAATACAAAACAGTGGGGGGGGGGAGGGGTTCACCCCGTTAATCATCATTATTCTAGGTGTCCAACCCGACTTTGAATGACCCCATCTGCAGAAAGTTTATTCAGAGAATTGTCCAAACTGGACAAATGGATTTAGACTTCAGAAAGGTAAACCTGAACAGTTAGGTTGTTTATCAAGGTTGCTTTCTCTCCATGCGGCTCCAATGCACTGTGAGAACCAGAAAACTCTGGAATAGGAAGACGACTTTTAGAGTCAAGTTAGGACATGAGACAAAGCAATAGTGTTGTGAAAACAGACCCATATATAACTTTATAATTGATTTCATAAATCACAAGTAAAATTATTTTCTATGTAACGACAACAGTTTATACTGTGTTGCTTTCATATCATATTAATATTCCACAGTTTCCTGGTTCTCACTGTTCTTAAAATGTCGTCTCCTAAAAATAGACAGTGCAATCTGTAAATCACTTGCCACTACAAATAGTGACGTTATTTACGAATTTTACTGTATATTACTGTAGGAGACAAATTTTTTCCGTAATTGAGCAATCGAATGTATAATTGCAACGTTTACAAACAACCTTGGTAAACAGTCGTATCCGGATTGATATTGACTAGTACAGCAGAACCTTGAGATCAAGATTGAGTTGTATCTTGTAAAACAGATACCTGAGAACAAGGAGGTGTACGCATCTTTTGTACTGCAGTGTACTGTCACTGGGCGGTAATGTAAACACAAGACGGATGTCAAAGCCTGACTGGGATCCATCTTTCACATAAATAATCAATGCAATATTCTTGTCATAAGAAACTATTATGTGAATTATCAAAATTATCAAAATTCAATGCTTTTAACCTCCTCGGATACTAAACCAACACTGATGCATCTGTTCTTGTTTACAAATTCTGCCCAGAGAGAACTGGTTTCAATGTACGCAGAGTTTACGCGACCGTAATTAAATTTCCTTGCATTACATTCTTGCCTAAGAATACGGGAGGTTATACCTAAATTGGTACAGACCTGAAGCTATTAGTGCAGTAGGACATTTACAACATAACATACACACATTTAAGTGAGAAAGGAGATATAATACTAAAAAATACAAAGTTTTTGATAAGTAATAAAAATAATAAACGGAGGAATTGAATCTTCGCCACAAATTTTGATTTTCATTTATCATTGCAACCCAATGCACTAAACCTTGGATATTAAAACTATGAATTCTGTTATATCAAATAATCAAAATTTTAATATCCAAGGTTTACACCATTAGGTAGTAAAGTAAATAAGTCTTACAAAATTGTTTACATTTTCTTTATTATCTAAATTATTAACATTTAAGGGGAAAGCATTTACTAAATCTTGTTTTTGACATATTTATGGCTTCTTTAATTTAATCTTAAACAAAATCTGGTGTAAAATATAATTCTCTATCTCAATGTTTTTATCAGAATATTATAATATTTAAAATTCAAATCTAAAATTCCACAAATATTTTAAATTATAGATACTTCATTTAAAAAATATTTGTTTTAGGATCCTGTAGCGTCCTCTACTGCTGGTATATCCGTTTCCAAAGTAAGAAAGAAAAAAATACTTGATTTTATCTATTTTTGGACATTTTCTTTTTTTAACAGAGGAAAATTATCTAAAACATTACTCCAGAAAAAAAAATTTCCTTTTGAAAATGGAATAATCCGGAAATATACCGAATTCCAGGATACTCCTAAAGAAAATGGAATAATCTGGAAATATATGGAATTCCAGGATAATCCTGAAGAAAATGGAATAATCCAGAAATATACCAAATTCCAGGATACTCCTAAAGAAAATGGAATAATCCGGAAATATATGGAATTCCAGGATAATCCTAAAGAAAATGGAATAATCTGGAAATATAAGGATAATCCTAAAGAAAATGGAATAATCCGGAAATATAAGGAATTCCAGGATACTCCTAAAGAAAATGGAATAATCCGGAAATATATGGAATTCCAGGATAATCCTAAAGAAAATGGAATAATCTGGAAATATAAGGAATTCCAGGATACTCCTAAAGAAAATGGAATAATCCGGAAATATATGGAATTCCTCCTAAAGAAAATGGAATAATCCGGAAATATATGGAATTCCAGGATAATCCTAAAGAAAATGGAAACTGGAAATGGGGTATCCATTCTGAATAATTATATTTTTCTAATTTCCATTCTGTAAACCAGATAAATTTCACATTTCCATTCCGTAAAATGATAAATTTCCATTTTGCATAGGAAACTAACCAGAGGGGATGGTCTAAACTTTTTTGACAATTCCGGGGTTAGGGCCTTATCCCCAAAGAGAATAGAATATATATTAGAGGGGAATTTATTAGAAAAAAGTGTAAAACGGCCATTTTGTTGTACTGTTTCCATACTGCAGGTGTACTTTTCATACTTATGCTATATAACCTATTGGGCCCTGGAATATCATTTTGTTGAAAGTCTAAAATTAATATTAAAAGAAAACCAAATTATGATATAGGCTGGTTTCATAATTGACCAATGATCATTTCACAAAGACTCTATGCCTTTCACTTTACAAACGATGATTTTCCGTTATAACTATAAATCAAAAGATGTTTTTTATTCACCTAATTCATTATAAAGTTTATTTAACAGCTTTAAAAAATTCGAAATACTCATACTGCATATAATTTGTGAACATTTACATGATTTGTACACTTTGAACTCCCTTTCAGGCTGAAAGGGACTGAAAAAATTTAGACCTACTTCCAGTCATTGGCTTTCTAATTGCATAGCTCTTTGGAAAGCCTATAACAAAAGCAAGCAAATTGCACAATTTTTGCAAAGAATTTTGCACTGATTTTTGCAAAGACACCTTTAAAGGGAATTTGCATATTTTCAGTTTTTCTGCAATACACAGAAAGGGTTTACAAATGTTGTAAATGGTTTTTCACATTTGATATTTGCTGGGTCAAGGGCTTTTCAAAAATGTATAATTTGTTGTAATTTGTAGAATTTTGTTTTAGCACATTTTTTTCTTAATATAATTTGCCATGCCATTTTTTAACATTATTAAAGTAGATCCCAAGGGCTTTCCAATGATGTATCATTTGTCATATTTGGACATCAAACGTGGGATTTAGAGGGGGGGTCAAATTGCCCCCCCCCCCCAAAAAAAAAAAAAAAAAGGCAGCCAGAGCCAGTGAACCAGACGTCAGGATAAATAGGGTTAATATACCCAGCCCTAAGAATAATATGATTTAAGAGTTAAAAACAAAAAAAAACATAAAACATAGAAAATTATCTATTTATTGTTTAAAATTATCATTAGCCAATATTATTTATTTCCAAATTGAATCCAATTAATCTTTTCCAGAGGTTTTCTTGGAACTAATTAGCAAACTAATCCCTTCTTTCCTGGTAGTTTTCCTTCTGTTGCTAAGGTTCGAAGACCTGCTAATGCTGACTGAAATCCTGCATTATAATCACATGCTACTTCATTTTTGATGTAGTCACTTCTTAAATCAGCATAGCTGTCATCCAGACCTGGGCCGCCAACAAGAGCTCCCCACAAGGTGCTGGGGTTAGGTCCAGGATTGTTATAAGAATTCCAGTCACACACAGCATTTGGATTTGTTGGGCAGGAAGAGGATCTATGGTGAGGGCGGGTTGGAGGGTTAGTTCCAAATCCAACAACAAAGCTTCTTCCTGTATCCCCCAAAGCGTAATGAATTTGATCCATGGCAAACTGTTGAAACTTTGTTGAATCAATACTTGTGTGATTTATTTTGGCAGCTTCAAGACAAGCAAAGGCAGCATTAGAGGCATGTCTAAGAGGTCCCCATTGTTGAATAAAAACCATGCCCTTAGGAGTCTTTACTTGTGAATTTATCATTCTATTGCAGAAGTCACTAACCTTGTTTATATATTTGATGTCACCTGTTAGCTGGGCCAGCAAAACTTGACCGCCAATTGTTTTGTCATCCCAAGAAAACTCACCCACTGACTTATCAACATAAAGCTGTGTTGCACGGTCAAGGTAGCTAGTTTCTTTGGTAGCTTTGTATAACCATGCCCCTGCCCAAACTAGCTCGTCCATATAACCACTCCATGATCTTGATTAATGAATAGTTTAAGAATCAGAATTTAGTCTTCTTAAAAATATTTTAACCCTTTTGCCTCAAAAGAAAAATGCATGTTAGTGTCCAGTAATAGGTAAGTTAGTAAGTAAGTGATTATTTATTTATGAAATATAACAAAAACATACAAAATTAAGTTTTTCAGAAAAACATATTTGAAAATCTCCAAAAGTTTCCCCCAAATTCAAAAAAATAAAAATAAATATATAAGGATAAGGAAAGCAGAGAAAAAGCAAAGTTACATATTTATTGTTTACATATTATTGAGGATTTTATGGCTTTCTGTAACTATTTTTAAGAAGCCCCTGACTTTCTTGCCAATAATTTCTTCTTGGTGCCAAAGGGTTAAATAAGGATAATAACTTTTCTTCATAATCTCTCACAGTTCTCAAATTAGATGCTGCATTATGATTATTAAATCATTACTGTACCTGTAGAAACTTCCTGCTGCTGAAACAGAATCACTGTAAGCACCTCTGTAGGTATCAGCAAAATTGAATAATGACTTTGCCTCCAAAAGCAAAGTAGAAGAATATGATGGATCAACATCTTTAAATGCAATTGAAGCAGCTGCAAGAGCAGCTGAGGTTTCTCCTGCAAGATCGGAGCCTGGATTTTGAGAATCTATTTTAAAGGATGGTCGATGAATTGTCATTTGCTCAACTCTAGTCCATTGACTATGATCAGCATTTCCATCTCCAACCTTAATAATTCAACATTTTGACTTAAAACATTTATATATATATATCTATTGGAATTATGTATTTTACCTGGGCCCATAATTCATTTGTATTTGTGTGGCATTTAATAAAGTAATCAGTAGCCCATTTGATTGTATTGAGAGTAGCATTATATTCTCCTGAAGCCTCATATCCACTCTTGAAGTCTATTGCACCCCATGCAATCAGTGTAGTTGCTGCTGCCATTGGAAAGTTGAATTTAACAAAGTCACCAGCTAGTAATAATAAAAATTAGAATTAGAAAAGAGATAAAGTTTCAATCTTACCATCATAATATCCACCCGATAAATTCACTCCATTGTCAGAACCATCTTGCAATGCAGAGTTTCCTCTGTATGGAATCATATCATGATTGAAATCTCCAAATGCATCCAGATTTCCAGACCTTTGAGCTTGGTAGAAAAGGTTTGAAAGATGAATTACTTCATTGTAGTCATACTTAAGTATTACAGAGCATGTGGATGCTGTAGTAGGAGAAGAAGAAGAGATTGTTGTGGAGGATGTGATTGGTACAGCAGTGGAGGAAGTTATTGTTGCAGTAAAAGTGGAAGAGGGAATCGTTGCAGTTGCAGTGGATAATACAGTTGTAGTTGTCACTGAGGAAGCAGTTGATGTAGATTCAAGAGTTGTTGATGTAGATGCTCCACAATCAAATCCATTAAGCTGTGCTGATACTACCCGAGGTGGACTGGAAGTTGGATCAAATAGTGCTTGCCAACCACATACTATTTTAGATCCTGAGGCCTGCACACTATTCCAACTAAGACTTTTAATTAAAAATGTTTTAGAATCAATCTTTGTAACTGATCCCTGGTAAAAATTCAGTTGATTTATTGGCTTATCAAAGATCAAAGTAACCTGCCAATCAGAGACTGCAGACAGAAAGGTTATATCAAGGTTTCCATCTTGACCCTGATTCCAGGAGTTACCATAGGAAACTGCTGTTGGACAAATTTTGATTATCCCCTGACTAGCAGTTGTAGTGATGGTGACAGTACTTGTACTAATGGATGAAAAAGCTGTGGTGGGGTTTGTTGTAGATTTTGTGGTTGTTGAAGAAGTTGAGGATATAGTTGAAGAACTAGGAGCTTTTGATGAAGACGCTGCACAGTCAAATCCATTAAGCTGTGCAGATACTACCCTAGGTGGACTGGAAGTTGCATCAAATAGTGCTTGCCAACCACATACTATTTTAGATCCTGAGGCCTGCACACTATTCCAACTTAGACTTTTAATTAAGAATGTTTTAGAATCAATCTTTGTAACTGATCCCTGGTAAAAATTCAGTTGATTTATTGGCTTATCAAAGATCAAAGTAACCTGCCAATCAGAGACTGCAGACGGAAAGGTTATATCAAGGTTTCCATCTTGACCCTGATTCCAGGAGTTACCATATGATACTGCTGTTGGACAATTTATCCCCATAGTGGGTGAAGAAGTCTCACTCAGGGTTGATGTTGTTAACAATGTAGATGTAGTAGGTTGGGTTTGTGCTGATGAGGTTGTTATGGAGGTTCCAGAAGTGTTACATTCAAATCCTACAAGCTCAGCAGATGTTACTTTTGGTGGAACAGACATTGAATTAAACAAAGCTTTCCAACCACATGATATTTTTGATCCTGCAGATTGCAAACTAATCCATGTTTTACTTTTTATCAAGAATGTTTTTGAATCAATCCTTGTAACAGTTCCTTGGTAGAAGTCAAAATCTGTCAGTGGTTTATCAAAGACCATCAAGACTTGCCATTCTGAAACCAAGGATGGAAATGTTATATCAAGGGTTCCAGTTTGACCTTTGTTCCAGGAATTACTATAGGATGCAATTGCTGGACAAAGCTGACCAAATGTAGGAATTGTTAATGATGAGACGACTAGTATTAAAAGCATGGGTGGCATTATTCCTGTCATGTTTGATACTGTTGTATTTGATTGATAAAATGTTCAGATTTATCATGAATAGAATACACAAGTGTTTTCTATGCCATTGTTTGGTTGTTATTTGTCATTATTGTTGACTTAAATCAATTATGAAATAAAAAAAGAATATGAAAAATTCCATAATTTAAATAAGACAACATTGTTATTCTCATATTTGATAAATTTATTAAAAATAAATCTTACATTCGGGGGAATTTAAAAAAAAGTTTAGTCACTTATGTAAGTTATGATTTTTTGTTTACTGCGTTTTAATAGTATTACCTAAGCCCTCTACAGATGTTTTAGAAAAATTTGTTTAATTGTATAGGATTATCTGTACAGGAAGTAATTATACTATTATGTTTAAAATAACAATAACCACAATAACAACAATAACCACTTATTTTTAGTTTAGAAATGTATTATAAATTAATTTCTTTTTAAATTATATAAAAGTTTGGGCAATTTTATGATTTTCCCCTTAGAGTTGAGAAAGAAGATTCTGTACTAACTTTCCTGGGACTTCTTAGTATTGACCACTTACTTGAGTAGTATAAACCAATGGAAGATTTTAAAGCATACAATTAAAAATTATCCATGAATCAAATGCAAAAAACGAATCTAGCTATAACCCATCACAAGGAACAGCGAATAGCAATATGGTATGCAATATTCATGTTAAGGGTAGTTTAAATTGCACCCATGGGTACCAGGGGCGGACACAGGATTTAAGTGAGGGGGTGGCAAGATTTTTTAGGAACAAAAAAATTGATAATTAGGAACAAAATTTCACGCCGCAGGGAAAAAAATGTTGACTTAAAAGGTACTGGAATAGGGTATTAAGGCCCGCGCACGAATGAAAGGTGGATAAGGTACGGGGTGACGTCTGACGTCACTGATTAAAACTATTGGTGGAGAATTCTCAGACCGCCAAAGAAATCCCAATCACAATTATGCGTATACTCGCCTACAACAGATCGTATCCCAAGACAGTTCTAGGACCAGTGTCCACTTTGTGCCCTGTACCTGGTTATGACGTAGGTTAGGCACAGAATCTAGAATAGTATGACTACCTTACCCTATTCCAGTACCTATGATTGCACCCCAAGACCGACAGGTTTCCTGACCCTCTAGCACCCTCGTTCATAAAGCAATCAACTTTTAATCTTATTTTGTTGAATTTAGGTTGAGATCTATGATGAAAATGATGTGATTCACACCTGCTTTCCATTCAGTAATTTTGAGGTATCTTTTTATTTCTATTCATATATGGTAGGTATCTTAATAACAAGCATTAATATTAGAAATTTTGAAATCATCCCCCCAAAAAATTCTTACCTACTTTCATAGAAATATTGTGCTGAATTTAGATCGATATTTTAGGGGGTCAAGGGGGAGGGGGGGGGTACTGGTTTTTGGCACAATCTTCATTTTAAAAGGCATGTGCTATGTGTTTATGAATGTATTTTGAAATCTTTTATTTACAAACATTGCATTTTGTAGCTTGCATTGATTTATTATAATGATTTCAATTTATAATTACTTTTACCATTCATATAATTATCCATGAATGGATCCTGTAACTTTGTAATATTGAGTACATTCAAGGAGGTCATAGTGAACATAGGTTAAGAATAAATTAATAATGACCATTAATTAAAAATTTGGGGCGTCACAAGCGCGCCCAAGTAGTTGTTTTTTCTCTGTCATTGAAAAAAAACTTTTTATTTTTGATAAGACAAAAGTTTTAAGACTACCGTTGTCAATTGACCATGCAGCTCTATGAATAAAGAATAACTTGAAATTACGTTTACACTTCCTTCTTTAGACTGCAAGCAAAGTTCGGAGTGCTTTTGACTTCCCATACAAACACGGATGGTGCAGGTATAGTCTTATGCAGTCTTCGTCGTAGATATGAATGAAGACGACTTTCGATTTCAATATTTTCTTTCTCGGGCTTTTAAACAGCATGACACATAAATAAGGAAATAAAGAGAAGCTTTAATTAAAAGCTTTTTAAACTTGTCATTTTTAAAAAGCATGTGCGAAATCAAACTTAAATAGAAAAATTGTCTTTATTGTATTGACATAAACGCTGACATAGACATAGGCGCTCTATATAAAATATATTGTCGATTTAATTCTAATTTCATTAAAAGGAATTATTAAATATTGACAACAATTTACTTCTGAAGGTATCCATTCAGTAAAAATGAGAAAGGGATTAGACAAGTTTTTTAGCAAGTGCTCAAGTATTTATCTCATTTAAATCATTATAATTTCAAGTGTGTGTCAAGGGCAATCTAACTCATCAAACTGTGAAAACCTTGTCAGGTAGGTTCAAACTATAAATAGTTTGTTATATCCCATGTTTATTGTTATATACCCCCTGTATTTTAAGTGAGGATTCGAACTGGGGGTGGTGTTTACCGGAATGCGATGAGGCATATATACAACCAGGTGTAGTTGGAAATTTCTAAAAGAAATTTGCGCGCAACGATTTTTCGTTCCTTGTATCTGATATCTATTGTATACCTTTATATTAGGTACGAAATTATAAACTTTAATAATATTACTAAATAAAAAATGGCTAACTTGTACTCTATTCTAGAAAAACACGAGTACCCGCATGAGGTAAGACAATTTAAAAAGAATTAAGGTTTAAAGAAGACAGAAAATAAGAAAGCAATTGCTTTTGTTTATTTAATGTTTCAGTACAAATTTTTGTTAACACTGTCTAAAAGATATTGACACTACAGTTTTAGAATCTGCTAAATATTTTTGATTTATGAACATTAATTAAATGTGAACCATTAAATTATTTAGATCTGTTTCATTTTCAAGGTTTATAATTTATGAGTTGGCTTTATTTCTAGTGACCCTCCACTTAAAGAGTTACATGCTTCTTTTGCACAAGAATTACCTTTGACTGAGACAAAAAACTAAATAAATCCTCATTTTTCTTCTATAGAAATGATATTTTTTATTGTGGTTTCATTTTAGAAGTACATTTATTGCTTCTAGATATAATTTCATTATAAATAACGAGTGTGTAAAAGGAGAGGAAGTGAAGCAGGTCTTCTACGGTTCCAGGGTCCGACACAACTGATTTGCGGATTTCATAATCCTCTTTTGGGGATTTCATATCCTCTACAGAAGTCCCCCCTAAGTCTCGAGTACAGAGTGTCGAGACTGATAATTAGCTCCTTGTAAGTGTTTACGGAAAAGGAGTAGAAGGAGTTCGGGTGATAATATTATTCACAACTAATTGTTTGTGAATTTCTGATCTGCCCCCTCCCCACGTCATGATCAACCTTGTGTAAGGCTGGCCAGTGGCCATTTAAAGAGATCTGTTGTAGTGAAGGTTAGGCGGGCATAGATTCAACATGTAGAGAACTGGCGTCCAAAATATCTACGAGTAGGTTAAGATGTTAGCTGAGTTGTTTGATAGCTCCAGAAGTATCTGTTTAGCTGATTAGCTCTGGGAGTAGCTGTGAAGCTAATTAGCTCCCTTTGTAGCTGTGTAGCAGATTAGCTTCTTGAGGGTTGAAGTTTAGTTTATTAGCTCCAGGAGTAGCTAAGTTTTAGCTTATTAGCTCCAGGAGTAGCTAAGTTTTAGCTTATTAGCTACAGGAGTAGCTGAGGTTTAGCTTATTAGCTCCAGGAGTAGCTGAGGTTTAGCTTATTAGCTCCAGGAGTAGCTGAGGTTTAGCTTATTAGCTCCAGGAGAAGCTGATTGTAGGACGAAGGAATAGTGAACTCGTGGATAAGAAGTTTAAGCTTGAGATTGTCATCCTCGTCCGATTCTTGAGCTGTTTCTGACCAGGAGGCTGTGTTTTCGGCCATGATTCTTTTCTTGTCTGGGGTCACCACTTTAGTAAAACATGCGGGGGGTGTATAGATAAACTAGTTAAAATGTTCAATTTCAAATGATTCTATAATTTTCCAATAAAAAATCCATCACTCCCTTTTATAAACTCACGCAGCAGAGACATGGAAAAAAGAAAAATATCTCTATTAATAAAACAACGATATCTTCCTCATTACTACTCACATAAAGATTTAAACAAAACCGTTGCAAATATGTCATTAAACCCTTTCAATGAAGTGTTACTTGTAATTATACCAACAGTGGCCGAATTTAAAGAATTTAAGCGGCGGTTTAAATTTAAGCCGCGGTTTAAAATGGTTGGTTCCACTTAAAATTGTATCAAATGTTTCAATATTTAAGCTGGCGCTTAATTTAAACCGGGGTTGGGCGGATTTAAACTGCGGCTCAAATTCTTTAAATTCCATCTCTGTTCCTTTAAGGTTGCAGTCGATGCATTTGTTTACGAAAACTGCAGTCATGGTATTAATACATTTAAAGAGTTTTGTACCGGTGCCAAACTTGCAACAGCTTACACTCTTAAATATAAGATAAGGTAATTTTTATAATAAATTATAAATATAATAAATTATAACTATTATAGATTATAAATATTATAACTTATAATTGTATTATAAGTCATACATATTATAAATTATAAATATTATAGATTATAAATATTATAACTTATGATTTTATTATAAGTCATACATACTATAAATTATAAATACTATAGATATAAATATTATAAATTATGAATATTATAAATCCAAAATATTATAGATTATAGATTTATGAATTATAAATATTGACAAATAGTTTACATAACTCTAGAGAGTCAGATTTCAAAATGAAAACAAAAATTATTGGTCTTTTGATCTTATTTATTTTTACAATGTCGTTAAAAGTTTTGAAATTGCAACTGAGGAAAAAGTTCTTGAAGTTTTGAATTATGAAACTCGGGATTAATTTGGTTCCTCTTTGATATCCTGTGATGGTCATACCCTCCAGGAATAACTTCAGTCAACGAATCCACCATTGATCTTCAACTTTCCATAGAATTAAAAAAGCAAGAACCTTTTAACTTAATTTTTTAAACTACTTTATGTAATGCTTTAGTTAAATCATAAAATTGAAATTATTGAAATTTGTAATTGTCTGATTTTACAACCATTCCTTGTAAGCACCACAATTTTATTTTATAAATTTCAAAAAGCATCTTAAGTTGTACTTTAATATGTTGACAAATGATAATTATAATAATAAAGAAGCCGAAATAAAAAATAAAAGAGATTAAAGACGACAAAAATAATAAAAAAATAATTAGCTGCACCATTTTTTTTATTAAAAAAATTTTTGAAAATTTATAATTTAGTTCAACAAATCCTGAGGAGTTCCTTTTATTGAGCGGAAAGCATGCACAGTTCCATCCTGGAGACCCTGCTTGGAACAATAATGGAACATTTATCAGGAACAATCAGAATTATGTTAAAGGGAGTGGCCTTGAAAATCAAGTTTTAGATCTTCACATAAAAATATTCCAGCCGATTAAAAAAAAAATCCAAATTGAAAAAAAAAATATTTAAACGAATTATATATTCTTTTAACAAATTTTCTGAATAAAGTATAATTATGTGCTTAATGTTTGGCAAAGAAAAAAAACGAGTTATTATCATTTATTTAATGCTAACAATTTCTTGAAAATATAATATTTAAACCTTTTGTTTAAAGCTTTTTGTGACTTATTCTTTACCTATGTTTATATAGGTTTTTTTTTTATTTTTGGAAGAAAAAAATAGATTTGATTTTTTATTAAAATTATCAAAATTAACATCTTATCTTTTGATAATTTCCATGAATTGATAAAACACTCTCCGTGTTATTTCATCATCAACAGTTTTTTTAATGTTTTTTTCCCTTTCGGTTAAAAAATGTTTGACAAAATTTGAGAAACTTGAATTAAAAAAATGCATCCAGGCTTCGGATAATTACTGTAAACAAAATTATAGAATTTAAACCTTAACTTTTTGATTTCCTTCTTTTCGATTACATATCATTTATACAAATATTAGCAAAATTTAAGAAAAGTAGAAAGTAAACTTAATTATGATTTGTTTTCTAAAAGACTTGGGGCAAAGTATCAGGTATTAAACAAATTTATCGGAACTATCAAGAAAAAATGAAATATTCAAGCTTTTTTCTATTGCTTTGAAGAATTATACTTTTCTTTCATCTAGAATAAAATAAAGGAACTAATAAATTGACTCAAATTTAACAAATTATATTCCTTTAACCCTAAAAAAACGTTTGACACCCCCCCCCTCTAGTTTGTTTGTCCTAACACTCTCCTTTCTGACACTCATTGTGAAATTTTGCAACTTTTAATGAATAGAACTTTAACCCTATCCCTGCTTGGATTCTTGAAAACCAGGATACGCTGGGGGGGGGGGTTAATTTTCCCCCCCCTCTAAATCCCGTGTTTGATGTCCAAATATGATAAATGATACATTATTGGAAAGCTCTGATGCTCTACTTTTGAAATCTGCATACAAAAGTTAGCAAATTTCAAAAATTTAATTTTTTAGCAAAATCAAATCATGTATTAAAAATTTTTGAAAAAAATGTACTAAAAAAGAATAAAATATACATTTTTGAAAATCCCTTGACCATGCCATTTCAAATATGTAAAAAATGTAGCAAAATTTTAAGTAACCTGATTTGTGATTAAGAAAAACAAAAGATATGCTGACGGAATGAAAATTTTTTGAAAACTGACTATTTTCAATTACGTGCAAGGTTTCTATACTAAAGTGACTTTTGCATTTATACTGCAGGAAAAAAACATAGGAATTATCAGAATTGAACACTTTTATTTCTAGAGAACAGACATTACCTGATTTGATTAAATAAATGTGTCATATATCGTTAAAAACGTTAAAACCTGGAATGGACTTGAACACAATAAACTGCCTTAGGGAACACAGCATACTCAAGTATCTGGGGATGCCTGCTATGGTGATGCTGGAGGATCAGTTTGGAAAATTTGGGGATTCAGGTTTTTTCCAAAGATTTTATTTAATTTTTTTGTGAGCTGTACTTCTCTTTTTATTTATTGTATGATATAGGATACAGTATACAGGAGCATGTGTTTTGGGAGCTGTACTCCTCTTTTTATTTATTGTATGATGAAGGACACAGTACACTAGTACATGTGTGCTTTGTGCTTGAATAAAACTATTTATTTTACTGCTGGGTGCAGGTATCCAGCAGTTGATAATAAGAAAGTAGAGGGAGTGGATACAAAACGCCCAAAAACAAAATTCCCAATAACAAGACACCCAAAATTACACATCACCCAAAAACAAAACGCCCAACGCTACAAATCGTCCAAAAACAAAACACCCAAATAACAAAATACCCAAAATAACAAAAAGCCCAAATTTACAAAATGTCCAAAGTTACAAAATGTCCAAAAATTACACAATGTCCAAAATTACAAAATGTCCAAGGTTATAAAACATTCAAAGTTACAACTTTTTGGTTCTTTTGTACTATTTTTATGTTCATTTGACCTGGTCTATAACATTATTGACAAGGTCTTTAACATTGATGCAACTTTTCATATCTTTCTGTATCTATGTGGGTTAAAAATCCTTTTTTACCAACAAACTCACTAATAAGTTACAAAATGCTCATAGTTACAAAATGTCCAAAATTACAAAGTGTCCAAATGTCCAAAATTTGCAATGCCTTACATTGTCTAAAAATGTCTTGCATTGATTACTAAATGTAGTATATAACATTTTGTATCTTAGTATCTTAGTAACTTGCACACTAAGTATCTTGTATCTTTGTATCTTAGTAAGTAGGGATTTTTAATCTTTTTAGTTCATAAATAAAAATGCTAGTTTTTAAGTTGTAACTAAACATGTTATTATTTTGACATTTTTAGAAAATTTTGAACATTTTGTAATTTTGGACAGTTGGACATTTTGTAATTTTGGACATTCTATAACTTTGAACATTTTGTAACTTTGGAAATATTGTAACTTTGGGACATTTTTTATCTCTGGTCATTTTGTAACTTTGGACATTTTGTTATTTGGGCTTTTTGTTGCTTTGGACATTTTGAAATCTTGGGTGCTTTGTTTTTGGGTGTTATGTTTGAGGTGCTTTGTTATTGGACATTTTGTTCTTGGGCGTTTTGTATCCACTCCAAAAATATAGCTAATAGAAAAATAATTTTAATGAAAAAGAGAAAATAAGCTTTAACTTTCTCCAAAAATGTATGAAAATTTGAAAATTTAAGCTTTTCATTTTTTGACTTATTGCTTGATGCCTTAAAATTATAGAAAGGGGAATATCTAGAATAAAATAAA